CGCTCCACTCTTCTTATTCATCATCATCATCAACATCAGTAATAGCATTGCTTTGCTTTTGTTCTTTCCTTCTTTTTTTTAAGTCTTCTTCTTGCTATGTTTTACTGCTTGCTGGCTTGATGATGTGCAATAAAAATTCCTTTTAAAAATTTAAATGTCCCGAAAATGAATTATTGAAGGAAGTTCCACTTTGCTTGTTTTGGCGTTATCATAACTAAATGAATATGAATGACACGCATTATGTTTAAATTTTTTAATCGAGCATTTTTGTGGTGCAAATCCGGAGACGAGAATTGAATGTTGGAAGGATGAATGAAAAGTTTTAGTATGAGTGGGGGGAACTAAGCAAATAAGTCTCAATATGAAGCGCTATAAATCGCAAATTTGACTCCACAACAGCACTTTTAAAACCCGTTAAAATTTGAATTCAAAAAAGATCGTTAAAATTCTGAAGAATTCAATTAAAAGTCGTTAAAATTTTGGAGAATTCAAAAAACTCGTAAAATTGTAAAAATTTCAAAATGATCAGTCCCGCACCAAATGCGCATTAATGCCAAAAATCCAGACACAATTAAAAATTCTCTCTTTTGAAGCTCAAGTGGCTAAAATGTCTCATTAGCATTAACATTTTTTTGCATATGTTTTTTTTTTCTCCAGCCAGTCATTGAATAACAAGAATAACATAAAAAGGATGTTTGGTGAATTATTGTTGTGAATTACTTATAAATTGGGGGGCGGAAATGACTGGCGTTATTCCCATAAGTCTATAAGTGACACAATTTTAGCATTCAATAAGAAAAACTTGTTCCATTTGTAAGCAGCACAAAAAGAAATTAAGATATGAACAAAATTAAGAAGTTCCATTTACGCCCCACATTAAAACAGCAATCCCATCAGTAACAGCATCGTCTTATCGTTTTATACGCTCGTTTTATATCAAACAATATTTTTTTTTTTTATCTCCTAAATGTGCAATTTCGCATGTCGCAGTAATTTTTTGTACAGTGCATATTTCAACAGCTGATATTGAAATGACTTTTATGATATGCAACATTTCGGGTGCGCGACGGAACGGAAATTCTCATTTTCTACATCCATATGAATCTGCGAGTGGGGTTCCAACAAGTGTTTGCTTTTCATTCTTATTCTTCTTTTCATATTTTTTTTTTGCATTTCATTCTCAAGTCATGGGAATCTTTTTCGGGACTTGAAATATGAATGGAATATAAATGGAATGACGTCAACTGCACTAATTAGTATGAAAGGAAAGAAAAATGTTTCTTTAATTCCATATTTTTTTATTCTTCTCCTTTTCGTTCTTAATTGACGGCTTGATGATGGTGCGGCAAAATGCATTTTCATTTAGTGAATTGGACCAGACAAAAGAGTCATGAGAGATGACGATCATGATGATTTTATGCCTGGGTTTGAGGATTTGAATGAGAACTAAGGAATTTATTTATTTAGGAATGTCTGTTGCATCCCTGCGTCCATCGCAGGATCATATGTAAAAAAAATATGCATAAATCAGAAGAATGCAAGGCACAACTCGTACGCGACTGCAGGAGAAAAAAAATTATTATTATCGGAAATTGAAAACGAGCAATCTCTCGAATGGACACTAACGAGGCACTTTCGGGGCGAAAAGAATGGAACAGTTTCATGAAAATTGCATTCCAATTTTTTTTTTATTATTTCTTCTGCGTTTTGAGGCTCAATACGGACTCTCTGTGTGCGCACAAAGCGGTGCTTTAACGAAATTCAAAAAAAAAGTATGTACAAAAGAGAGAAAAATTAAAGAACACGAAAATCGAGAATGTGCAATAAAAGGAGAAGACACAATCAGTGCCTTGTGATCAAGAATCAAGAACAGTGAGATGGAAAATTTATTTAAAAACGTTTCTAAATCCCTGAATTTTGGTCCACAACAACTACTCTGTATATATCTTATGCTTGTAATGAAAAAGGAGTGAGTGAGACGATGAATTGAAGAATGGAATGTTGTAGGCGATATTTTCTCTTGATTTTATTTATTTTCTTGGGATGTACAGCATCCAGTACCATACAAACATCCCAAAAACAACAACATACATTCTGGAATATAATATGATAAAAAATATAAAAAAAATTTATCGCTCATTTCTCTTTACTTGCACATCACAGCACAGCACATAAGGAGCAACCCGAATATAACTTATGTATGTAATAAATGTAATGTACAGTGCGAAGAAAGCGCGCGCAAAATTATTCTCACGGTTTTCTCGAGCAGAGATTTTTTATTTTCGCTTATTCTTACAGCCCCCGATGGCACAAATGAAATTCATAATTTTTTTTTAATACTCTTTTGTTCTCACTCTGGAACATTATTCCTTATTTGCTGCTCAGAGTCGACTTTATGTGTGTGGCTGTAAAAAAAAGCTCCTTTTCTAGATTCACTTTGATCGCACAAAGCCTCAGGACTCCAGACATTCGGCCAGGCTCTCTCATCTTAATGATTATCGGTCTATGTGTATTGTTGTTCCTTTTTTTATTCGTTGGTCTTCGGCATGTCAAAAACTCGTAATTCTAGGTTTTTATGCTTTGTTGAGCTTAATAGCAACCACCAAAGAAATATATAAATTTTATTTGAAAGAATCGCAAGCACTAAATCTTCCTCATGTCTCTTTCCTCCATGTTACTTAAAATCATCTCATATCATGTTACTAATGCAGACACAATTCACTGGAATTTCACGACTTACTGATTGATAAAAATTGCCATTGCGATGAATAGAAATTTATTGTGGTGGCATTTGAAGGACATGGGTAAACAAAAGTCTTAAATCATCTTGCATTTACAAACTAGCCAGATCAAATGACTCAAAAAAAACTAATATTGGCTGCTTGTTGGAACCGGAGACAAATCGTGAGTCAAATCAAATTAATTGTTGTGACTTAATTACCCACACACAATATTATGTAGAGCGGCATGGTCCGTGAGGATTAGAATGTGATTGGAAACGAGAAGAAAAATTAATTGGCATTGAGGGATACCAATGAAATGGAAAAAAAGGTGAACCCATTAAAATATTATTATTATTTTTTTTTGTGGCTAATAAATTGCACACACTCATTCACGGAGGCATTAAACAAAATTCCACTGAATTTTTCGTCATTCGATATTTCCATTCTTCAACCAAAAAAATTTGGGCTCACTAGTAAGTTTTTGTTCGCAGCATCCAGCAGTAATAATGATAATGATGAAGAATGAGTTCTTTTTATAAACATAATTGACTCTCGGACTTTGCTGTTGTTCACTTAATTATATTAAAATACTTCTTTGATTACATTCATTCATTTTTATTTTATTTGTGTCCTGGACACACTGTGGCATGAATTACCACACGCAACTTGAAGCCGTTATCAAACGGTCAGTGGATCGATACACATAAACGTAAATAAAAGGTGCCAAATGTCGTCAATTGATGATTGATTACATCAAATACTTTTTTAATTGAATTTAATTGCGTGGAAACGGAAATTATATTAAATTAACAGTTTCACTATGTATCAGGTTCTTTTGAGTGATCTCAATGCGTGAAAATGATGGATCATTATGTTCATTGATACAATTCATTCCGCATTTTCAGTTAATTTAAGCTTTTATTTAATGATGTTAATGAATTGGAACAATTATAATAACGAACTTATTACATTTAAATTTAAACGGCTTTCCAAAATTTCTTCAAAGACGCAAAAATTTAAAAAAATTGATAACGACAATTTACCAAAATTGCAGATCTAAATTGCTATTCAAATCATTGTTATTTAACACATTCCGATCAACAATAAAAACATATAGGGGCACCTTAAATCTATTATATTATATGATTATGATGAAAAATTATTATTTTCCCGTTCCTCTCCTCCTTTCCATTCCCTTCTCGTTATTGTAAATATACATATAAATGTTAAAAATGCAACAGCATAATAATCATCACCAATCTCTCGCCATGAAGTGAATTCTTTTTTTTTTCATTCCTTTTCTTTGCTTTTAGCACGTTTGAGTGGCGCCGTTCTTGTGGCAAAATTCTAGAGCGGCACAATTTCTTTGCTCTCATAAAAGAAAAACGAAAATAAAGCCAAAAATGTTGTACATCACGAAAAACTCCAATAATGGAAATGGCGAGGAATTTGCATTTTATGCTCAGAAAAAAATCTTTATTTGTTGCATGCTTTTTAGCCTTTCTGGTATAGAATTAGCGGCATCAGGCTACATCATTTTCCAAGGTTGAAAGGTTAATTGGATATCGAACACAAGACGCATTGATGTTCAATTTTCGCATCAAAAATGTGCAAATTTGCGATTCTCGCTCATTTATCTTCTCACTTACAGTCGATTCCAATTTTAAACGTGTAGATCGACTTGTTTGAAAGCGAAAGTGAAGATGAATCATGCCAAACAAATTATCGCAAATTTTTGAAGTATTGTTTGGCTTATTCAATTTAACTCACATTGTTGCTTGAGCCCTCATAATATTGCCTCATATTGAATTCTATGAACGTTGTAAATAGTCGTAAAAGCAAGAACTTTATAAATTTTGTGTGTCGCATAATTTTCTCTGATGTTGTCGTCAGGCTGAGTCTTTTTTGATACAAATTAAATCGAATAAATAAACTTGAAAAAAAAAAGTTTTGTTTGAATTCTTCGAGAATTAATGTTTGGCATAATTTTATAATCACATTATGACATTCGGCTTAAAATGAATGAATAAATAAACATGATGTTGACTATGTAACTGGATGGAACTGATCTTGATTTGATGGTGAAATTGAAATAATGTTTCTTGAGAAATTTAACGAGCTTCAAAATTTTGAATTTTTGTAATTTATTAAATCATCAAAATCCGTTAATTATTCATCTCAAGGTTCAATAAAGTCCATCCAATATTAATAAATAACTCTTAATTCATGAAAAATATATTTATAATAAATTTTCTTCCTTTATCTTTTCGTCACCAGAACACGATTTTTCAATTTATTCGGCTAGCAATATTGCTGCATCAAGTATCGCCGCATCATTGAGTGGACTCAATTGGCACGCCAAAAGTCGCATTTCGATCTACGATTTAGTCGATAAATTGGCTGAATTGTCTGAATCAGATAGTGTAAGTATTATTTATAATTATCAATTCATTGCACGTAACATCCATAAAAATAGCTAGTCGACACAATAGAGCGACTTATAGAATTATGAGGAATGAAATTCCTTCTTCTATTCATAAATTAGTAGAAAAATGACATAATATACAAAATGTGGCATTCATATGTGATAACACGCATACTGAACTTGGCTGAGTTCATTGATATTTTTTTTTCAAGCATATGAGAGACTTTTTGGAGAATGTGCAAAAAAAGAAGGAACAGAAAAAAAATTCATCACCATTGCTATTGAAATTTTTTTAAAACGAACAAAAACTTGCCATTTCTGGTCTCATTCAGAAACAACAGCTAAGAGCAACAAAAAAATATTTTATGGAGAAAAGGACAGAGACTTATAATGAGGAATAAGAAGCATATTCAGAAATTTATTATCAACATTAATGCTATTTTTTTCTTCTATCTTTGTCACTAATATCTATTGCTTCTATATGATGATGAAATATGCGCAGTGCTATGCCTAGTCACACATATGTTGGACACCTGTTTAGATTCTATCAACGCTCGAGTTAAATGAAATACAAATAAAAACGTTTTTAATGTTGATGAACTTTTTATGCGAAACAATTCAAGGGCGCATGTGAAGCCACACATACTTGCCCTCGAAACCTTGAAAATATTTTTTTTGCTGTCTTCCAATTTTCGATCAATGCTAAAATAAATAAATAACTTGACATATTTTTTGTTCCTAAATAATAATATTAATGAGAATAGAATGGCAACGACAATGATATCGAATTCCATGCTCGAGAAAAAAGGGATGATTGCTGATCATATGGAGCCGACTTAAATTCATTCATTCATTCATGTTCTCACTGTGAATATGTAAAATAAAAATGAATGAATTTAAAAAAAATAAGTTCATAAAGATGTGGGATACAGTTTGATGTTCTTAATCTACACATCACCAACAGAACTCTTTTTTTTCTCGCTCATATGAATGCGATTTTCACTGTCACATCAAAATTTTTTCACATTATGAAAATTTATTGCCCAGAACAATTAAAAATTATTTTATTTTCTCTTGTTCTGTTATTCATTCCTTCGCGATGCCGTTTCTCTCAATTGAAACTTTTTATGTGAATCACATTCAATCTCTAAACTGAATTTTTAACAGACTTTTCTGAAAAATGTGTGAGATTTTGCAAAGGATTTTGTCGTAATGTCGAATTAAGAGATTTTGAGATTTTAATGGTTCCAAAACTTTCAAATTTTTGATAGTTTCAAGCCTCTTTTTTTACTGATGCAAATTTCAGTCAAATTCAACCATTTAACAAGGGTAATGGCAAGAACAGAAGCGCCTGTTGCAAACTAATTTCATTTCCTACAGTCTCAAGATCAGGGATTTATTATATTCAACAAATGTGATCTTAACATTTTTCTAACCTCATTTTTCATACGTCCCTGACACAAGTCGTTCTGTTCATTTTTTTGGCGCATAAATTGATTCACAAAAAAGCGAATAAGAAGAAGATTGAAAAGAATTTAAGCAAAATTTGCCCCCATGCAAGGATTTAGATGAAGCTAGATAATAAAAAAAGAATTAACGAAAAATAAAAACATGCGGGTTATGAATTATTGTTCATTTGTGTCTAACGTTAGTAAGGAAATCATATGTTGATGTTGAGTGATAATGAGTTTATTAACATCTTCGCGAGTTTAGAAGAAAAAATAATTTAATTTTTTAAATTTTCTTTTCTATTCCAGAAATTTATCATTTCATGTATGAATAAAATGGAGCAACTATTTCAAGAGCAACGTCGTAATCTTCTCAATATGATGATGCTCGCGAAACAAGGAGGTCTATCTGCATCAATTAACAAGGTTGAGTCAATGAAACAACCACTCAAAGAACAAAATAAACAACAGCCAAAAAGAAATCAGGAAACGACAAAAAATAAGAAAAAGAAACAAAAATCGTCGTCGCACGTTGAGGATGTTGATTTTTAGGATGAATGATGAAAAGTTCAAACCATACAAAGCTAAAAAGAAAATTCTTCCTTCATGGACGATGCAATTCAACCTTATTCTACGATCTTATTTCATTAATTAATTTTCTTTTCGAAATGTTTTTAATCACTTCCATGGAATTTTTTTACGAGGAAGATCAGTACATCGCTGTATATCTTTTATGTAAATATCTTCGTGATGGATGCTATGTTAATTTCACTCGCCACTCACGCAATCAATTTATATACGATGTGCACATAATGCTGTGAGGTGAATCAACAAATTTTGATGATGGAAAAAAAACGTGAAAAGAAAAAAAATTCGTTTGGTGCTATTCTTGACGACAGTAAACTACTTTCGATGATTATGAAGAAATATATCAATGACTTGAAAGCCTTTTTTTCATAACTTTAAAATTTAATTATTTAAATTTAGCTGTTATTTCCTCTAAAACAATAATTATTAATCATATATCCAATAATTATTCTTATTATTCATCTAAGCTATAAGAACTTTAGTTCTATAAGAAAAAGTACACAGAAAATTGATTGCTAGTTAAAGATCATTCTGGTGGACATGAGAGTCGTTATAAGATGACATTTTCTGAGTTAATTCAAAGCAGCACATATTGTAGAGTAAAATATGCAGCTCTATAATACAGAAAATACTAATTTACCATAGCTAGCATATTTTGTACTAGCTCCTGGGGTGTAATTCGCAAAAGGCATCTGTCATCACTCAAATTTATGGCCAGAAAATGTTTCGCTAATAACGACACTCTACCCCCACTAGAAACAAAATTGAAATTGAAGGAATGAGCCAAATTTTTTTTATAAACTAATTTCACAAAACCACAAAATAGTCACAAAATCGCCATAAAACTTCTTTTTTTAAATAACTTAATTTCTTCTTAATAAAACAAATTTTTTCAGTCTACACACAGTAAGAAGAATAAACCCGTCCGCTATTCATCATTTCATTAAAGTAATTAACACAAATAGACTATTGTGTATGCACGCACAACCAGCAAATTGACAATCATAGGGAATGAGCTTTTCTATAGAATTAAAAAACAATATTAATTAGATTAAGTGGGACCAAAAAAACACAATTGAATCCTTAATAAACGTCAATGTAAATACTATTGCAATTAAAACTAAGTGAAAGAAATTGAAAAATTTGTGCATGATTGTTTTTTTTTATTAAAGATTTTTTGTCTTTCGTCTTTGAAAGTTTGTTACTGCATTTTGAATTTTGTTGTATGAGAGATGAATATGAATTTTATTTTTAAAAAAATTGAAAGATTTTTCCCATTATGAATTATTATTTTTTTAATGAATTATATATATAAATTAGTTGATGTTTTTTTTCTACAAAGATTTTTTTTTGTCATTGAGTTTCTATCAAAAAAAGGAAAACCGGAGAAAAATGATAATCCAAAAAAATGAAAATGGGGAAAATGCGCTAAAAAATACGCTTTAAAAATTTTTTTTTCTTCTCTTTTTTCGCTCTGTGTGACTTCATTGAATTTTTCTTTCATCGATACATAAAGGAATCATATCAAAGAGATAAGAAATATATAAATATATGCATAAATAATTTCATGAAAAACATAATAAAATGAAGTCCTGTGAAGACGAGTAGAGTAAAAGAAAGTGAAACCAAAAGTTTGTTAACAAAATTTCGCCATAAAATGCATTTGAATTAAGTGAAGAAATTTTATTATTTTATAATCTTTTCAAAATTAATCCGCAATGTTACTTAAAATACAACCAATAATAAGATTAATCAATTACAATACACTTATCATTAGAATTTGAAAAAATGTAATAGATTTCACCTAAATTATGACCGATTATTTCTTAAAAAATATTTGAAATTCTAGTACTATTTCAGAGGTGATAAATTATATTAAAAATTTTGTACTAGATTTTCTTATATTCTATATATTCTAGATTAATACAAAACTTTCGAATCTTTGAAATCTTTTACAATTTTTTTAAATCCTCAAAATCCTCCAACTGAAAATATCTTTTCGGCATTTAAGTTGCAGGAGATACATTACATATAGCATAAGCACATGTTTGCTCAAAAAAATTGAGATAATAGGATAAAAATTTGACGAGAAAATTTCTCCATGAAAGTGTTCATTCAGATAAAAAAGATTGTGATGATTGTTGAATAAGACATATCCGAAACATAGAGACCTCAAGCAAAAAATTTTGGCATTTAGAAGTCTTTTTTTAAAAAAAATTACGTGAAAGAAAAATGTATTTTTAACATAGAAACTTTGTTAACAAAGAAAAAGAAGCATAAAAATGAGAGTAATGAGAAACTCTTGAATATGATTAAGTTTGGAATAATTGTGCGTAGAGTAGAATGCATTTAGTTAAGATTCTTATAATATTCTTATATTATTACTACATACCCCATATTGAAATATGATGTTAATTGTCGCGTATAAAATTTAATTATGCTATAAATAATTACACTACATAAGTAAGAGAACAAGATTAAGTTCAAGAAACAATTACGCTTATTAAAACTATTATAAAATTATTTTTATAATAATTTCTAATTAATAATTAATTTGTGTGTGTATATCGTTTAAGGTTCGTAGCTTATTGCAAGCATTGAAATCTTTTTCTTCTTCTATATTTTCACCCATTTCTTTCCCTTCCTTTTTCTGAACGATTTTTCATAAAATTTTCTTCATTTTTTTTCATTTATAAATAAAACATTTTCTTACTGAAATCAGGAATTTATGTTATTTGGTTAAGTGTGTTCAAATGACAACCATCAACTAGCTTTTATTAGCCCAAATATCAGCAAATTTATTTGCAATTACTTCTAATAATTAAATTAAAGCAGACTTTTAATAATCTTACCTGTTTGAAATCTCAAACAAGACTGAAAATGTAAACAATCAAGAGGGGCATGCAACTATCAATAGACTTATTTAAATTCAAATATATTTAAACCGTTAACATATCAAACATTATTTAAAAGAAAATAGTAAAAGTCATTTGAACACGTCAATCAAATACACACGAAATGGAAATAACTGATGGGCACTGAATGATATTGAAAAAGAAAAGAATCAATATAAGATACTAGGAGACAAATTTTTAGCAAAAAATGCATGTTAGGACAAAAAACTAAATTAAAAATTGATTCATGTTGAATTAGAATGATATGAAAAGGGATATATTCCAATTGTGAGAGCGACCATTAAATAAAAATAGCAAAAAAACTAGATAGATGAGTTTAGGACAAATTAATAATGATTAAAATATCTCAATGTACACTAGGCTGGATATGAAGAACTTGTGTACTATGAAATATTAAAATTAGCAACCACATAAATCTGCCCAATCATATAAATTTAATGGACATCATTAAACTTGTAATTTAATAACTATTATTTTTTTTGTAAACTTTAATGTTCGTGTTTTTATTATTTTCAAATATATGTCAATCAATGCAAATTAAAAAGGAAATTCAAAAGGAGTTGTATTACAAAGTGGACTATATAATTATCTAAAAAAATATTTTAAACTCCTTGAATTTCTCTTTTTTCGATTATAACTATCCCCAAAATATGTATTAAGCTATTTTTATTGATAAAAGAAACGAATGAACCTAATGTAAATAATAAAAATAAACAACATTTCTATTAGAATTAAGTCAATTAAAAAAACATTAAGTAACTAGGATACAAGATGTACGAAAATAAAGAGAAGAAAATAGCAAAGATTTTTAAAGTTTAAAAGTTTTTGTTAAGAGAGAATAAAAATGAATGAAAAAAAAAATACACAATTAAGTTTAAATTTAAGCTACAAACAAGTCATCAAATAAAAAATAAAAAAATAAAAAATTCAAAGTCTTTAGACACAAAAAATAATTTTTGTTGTTATTTATTATATTATTCAGATTTCAGGAATGATTTTTGAGCTTTTTTTTCAGAACAATTATTTTTCAGACAGCTTTTTAAAAATAAGTACTTTTAAGGCATCAACATAGAAGATAGAACAGACTCAAAACATGCATAATCACAATTAAACTTATTGCCAATTCAATACTATTTCTATGCAAACTTTAATTTTCCTCTGAGCTTTTAAAAAACTGAACAATTTCAAAAATATTTTTTTAGATTTTAAAATTTTTAGCACATAGTCATGCTAAAAAAAGCTAATACTAAACAGATTTTTCAGCACTAGTTTAATAAGTTTTAATTTTTTATTCAGCACAGCACATTATCCATATTATTTTCTGTAATATTTTTTTTCATGGTTCAAGTTTAAATTACAAGAAGTGTGTTTAATATCAGAATATAGCAGAATAAACTTTCAAAATTGATGAAAAACTAGTGTATCGGGTAGAAACCCAATGCGTATATATTCACACCGTACCATCAAAAGTCTTATGGATAGACCAAGATTTGCTCAGCATAAGTTTAAAGGGTGGGCGTGTAGTACGGCCGAGACCCATATCGACACAGTTCAAAAGTTATACCTAATTTATGTTATAATTATTTTAGCTACAAAAACACTTAGTTTGAATTTTGTCACCCTCGGGAACACTATGAACCAGTTTAGCTGATTTTGGTCCAAATCTCGGCCATACTTCACACTTATTTGAACCACATTTTCTCGTAAATGTTAAAATATTATTAAAAAGTAATTAATCCTGAATTATGTCGCTATTTTGTCAAGTGTTTTAAGATAAAGAATTTGTTTTTTGGTTTCCACAGTGAAGAGTATGAACAAAATTCAGATGGGGTAGTCGAAATTTTAGATTTCGATTTTTTTTAAGCTATGCATTACAAAAAGTAATATTTGTATGTGATTTATGTCAGAAATATGTCAATTTAAATAAAACATCCAAAAAATTTTTTTGACCAAAGTACACCATAGAAAATCAATTTTCAATTTTGGACTAGGGGCGACCCTATTCAAAATCAATTTTCTCCCTTTTTTGTTCGAAGGTTTATCCAATTACAGTGAAACTTTGTGTGAGTATACTAATATTATACAAAACAGTTTTAAATATCTATAACAAGAAGTGTATTCTATATAAATAATTCTATAAATAATAAAAATAATAATAATATGTCGTCAGACCCAAATTTTATAAATTTGGTTGTTCATTCAAAAACAACGTGACTTAAAATTTTGTCCAAAAAAATGATTTTTATTAATTCAGAAATATGTGACCTGAGGATTAGAATGCTCAAAAAAAGTTTTACTGTATTTGGATTTATCCTCGAAGAAAAAAAAGTGAAAAACTAGATTTTGACTGGACCTGTCCCACGTTCATAATTGAAAATGTATTTCCTACTTGGTTCTTTGCTCAAAATTTTTTTTAAGAATGTTTTATTTGTATTTGTTTTAAGCACTAGAATATTTATGCAAAGTTTCAATCCATTTGGATAAACCATCGAAGAAAAAAGTGACAAAATTGATTTTGACTAGGGTCGCCCCTAGTCCAAAATTGAAAATGTATTTCCTACTTGGTTCTTTGCTCAAAAAAATTTTTGGATTTTTTATTTGTATTTGTTTTAAGCACTAGAATATTTATGCAAAGTTTCAGTCCATTTGGATAAACCCTCGAAGAAAAAAGTGACAAAATTGATTTTGACTAGGGTCGCCCCTAGTCCAAAATTGAAAATGTATTCCCTACTTGGTTCTTTGCTCAAAAAAATTTTAAGATGTTTTATTTGTATTTGTTTTAAGCACTAGAATATTGACGCAAAGTTTCAATCCATTTGGATAAACCATCGAAGAAAAAAGTGACAAAATTGATTTTGACTAGGGTCGCCCCTAGTCCAAAATTGAAAATGTATTTCCTTCTTGGTTCTTTGCTCAAAAAAATTTTAGGATGTTTTATTTGTATTTGTTTTAAGCACTCGAATATTTATGCAAAGTTTCAATCCATTTGGATAAACCCTCGAAGAAAAAAGGGACAAAATTGATTTTGACTAGGGTCGCCCCTAGTTCAAAATTGCAAATGTATTTCCTACTTGGTTCTTTGCTCAAAAAAATTTTAAGATGTTTTATTTGTATTTGTTTTAAGCACTTGAATATTTATGCAAAGTTTCAATCCATTTGGATAAACCCTCGAAGAAAAAAGTGAGAAAATTGATTTTTACTAGGGTCGCCCCTAATCCAAAATTGAAAATGTATTCCCTACTTGGTTCTTTGCTCAAAAAAATTTTAAGATGTTTTATTTGTATTTGTTTTAAGCACTTGAATATTTCCGCAAAGTTTCAATCCATTTGGATAAACCATCGAAGAAAAAAGTGACAAAATTGATTTTGACTAGGGTCGCCCCTAGTCCAAAATTGAAAATGTATTTCCTACTTGGTTCTTTACTCAAAAAAATTTTAGGATGTTTTATTTGTATTTGTTTTAAGCACTAGAATATTTATGCAAAGTTTCAATCCATTTGGATAAACCCTTGAAGAAAAAAGTGACAAAATTGATTTTGACTAGGGTCGCCCCTAGTCCAAAATTAAAAATGTATTCCCTACTTGGTTCTTTGCTCAAAAAAATTTTAAGATGTTTTATTTGTATTTGTTTTGAGCACTAGAATATTTGTGCAAAGTTTCAATCCATTTGGATAAACCATCGAAGAAAAAAGTGACAAAATTGATTTTGACTAGGGTCGCCCCTAGTCCAAAATTGAAAATGTATTTCCTACTTGGTTCTTTGCTCGAAAAAATTTTTGGATGTTTTATTTGTATTTGTTTTAAGCACTAGAATATTTATGCAAAGTTTCAATCCATTTGTATAAACCCTCGAAGAAAAAAAGTGACAAAATTGATTTTGACTAGGGTCGCCCCTAATCCAAAATTGAAAATGTATTTCCTACTTGGTTCTTTGCTCAAAAAAATTTTTGGATTTTTTATTTGTATTTGTTTTAAGCACTTGAATATTTATGCAAAGTTTCAATCCATTTGCATAAACCCTCGAAGAAAAAAGTGACAAAATTGATTTTGACTAGGGTCGCCCCTAGTCCAAATTTGAAAATGTATTTCCTACTTGGTTCTTTGCTCAAAAACATTTTAGGATGTTTTATTTGTATTTGTTTTAAGCACTAGAATATTTATGCAAAGTTTCAATTCATTTGGATAAACCATCGAAGAAAAAAGTGACAAAATTGATTTTGACTAGGGTCGCCCCTAATCCAAAATTGAAAATGTGTTCCCTACTTGGTTCTTTGCTCAAAAAAATTTTAGGATGTTTTATTTGTATTTGTTTTAAGCACTAGAATATTTACGCAAAGTTTCAATCCATTTGTATAAACCCTCGAAGAAAAAAGTGACAAAATTGATTTTGACTAGGGTCGCCCCTAGTCCAAATTTGAAAATGTATTTCCTACTTGGTTCTTTGCTCAAAAATATTTTAGGATGTTTTATTTGTATTTGTTTTAAGCACTAGAATATTTATGCAAAGTTTCAATCCATTTGTATAAACCCTCGAAGAAAAAAAGTGAAAAAATTGATTTTGACTAAGGTCGCCCCTAGTCCAAAATTGAAAATGTATTTCCTACTTGGTTCTTTGCTCAAAAAAAATTTAAGATATTTTATTTGTATTTGTTTTAAGCACTAGAATATTTATGCAAAGTTTCAATTCATTTGGATAAACCATCGAAGAAAAAAGTGACAAAATTGATTTTGACTAGGGTCGCCCCTAATCCAAAATTGAAAATGTGTTCCCTACTTGGTTCTTTGCTCAAAAAAATTTTAGGATGTTTTATTTGTATTTGTTTTAAGCACTAGAATATTTACGCAAAGTTTCAATCCATTTGTATAAACCCTCGAAGAAAAAAGTGACAAAATTGATTTTGACTAGGGTCGCCCCTAGTCCAAATTTGAAAATGTATTTCCTACTTGGTTCTTTGCTCAAAAATATTTTAGGATGTTTTATTTGTATTTGTTTTAAGCACTAGAATATTTATGCAAAGTTTCAATCCATTTGTATAAACCCTCGAAGAAAAAAAGTGAAAAAATTGATTTTGACTAAGGTCGCCCCTAGTCCAAAATTGAAAATGTATTTCCTACTTGGTTCTTTGCTCAAAAAAATTTTAGGATGTTTTATTTGTATTTGTTTTAAGCACTTGAATATTTATGCAAAGTTTCAATCCATTTGGATAAACCCTCGAAGAAAAAAGTGACAAAATTGATTTTGACTAGGGTCGCCTTTAGTCCAAAATTGAAAATGTATTTCCTACTTGGTTCTTTGCTCAAAAAAATTTTAAGATGTTTTATTTGTATTTGTTTTAAGCACTAGAATATTTATGCAAAGTTTCAATCCATTTGGATAAACCCTCGAAGAAAAAAGTGACAAAATTGATTTTGACTAGGGTCGCCTTTAGTCCAAAATTGAAAATGTATTTCCTTCTTGGTTCTTTACAACCAATTTGAAATCTGTTTTTTGAAAATGATGTAAAATTTCAGGCACAAACTTTTCTTCTGTGACCTTTTATAACCAATTTTGCTTTGTTTTCTCACAAAATGCGAAAAACTGATTTTTCAATCTGAACAAAACCAATAGATTCACACGTGAAAACGGTGTGAATATAAAAAGAAATTTAAAGCATTTCAAAATTTCGCGAAATTTTCATATTGAAAAATTAATTTATTTTTTGATTTTACGGATTTTACAAATTTTTGATTCTAATTTTCGGTCAATTTAATAATTGCATGATTTTCATTGAGAATCGGTCAATTTAGTCAGTAAAATGAATAACATAGTTCCAAATAATATGTCAAGTGAACTTGAAAACTTAAGTGATATTTTAGAGTTACCTTTTGTATTGTTTGGCGAGTCAATAGAAGAAATGCTCCCAGAATCTCTTAGACCAACACTCATTGAAGCAGTTTGTTTACCTTCAATCAATTCTTCGCTTCCGAATAATGAACTATATCAGATGGTAAGTTATATTTTCAAATATCAAACCAGTATTTTAAATAAAAACTAATGTACTTAAATCCTGCATTGAAGGAAAATGCATCAACTAACGATAGAGAATTTTTGGATATATCGTACAATATTGGACCTGGAATTAGCAGCTTAGATATAGAAAATACACCAATAGTTCCAAACTCTATTAAAAGTAATACAATTAAAGAACAAAATTGTATTAAAAATAATACAAACGATGTAGATTCAAATGCAAATTTTATAAAATTAATGAATGCAGAGGAAGAACTTAAAGAATTGGAAAAAGTAAAACAACGATTAAGAAATGAACATCTTCAATTGAAAAAGAAAAATGAGGAAATCAAAAGAGAAATTATCGAGTTTGTGAAAATAAACAACATCCAATTCGATGCAAATATCATTAAGAAGATTCTAAAACGGAAGAATTTAGCAAAAATCAAGTCATTAACAAGTATTTCATCACCAGCACCAAGTCCATCGACGTGCAGTTCTGATAATCCAAAAAATTCCAGAGGTCGTCCAAACAAAGAACTATATAAAGCCACTATAGAGCTTGAAGAAGTGAAACCAAAATTGAATCAAAAAGAGTTTAAAATTGCATCAAACAATCTAGCATCAATCAAGTCTCGAAAGAATAAAAACAAGAAACTAAATGAATTGTGTGCTGAAGAACAAATGTTGACTGAATTGAGAAAAGATCTTAACAAAAAATATAGAAGAAATAGGAATGAGATAACAAGAATTATGAAATCAGCTATTAAAATTGCCAATAAGCTATAATATTGTACATCAGGAACGATGAAATTAAGTTTTCAGTCATTCCTGATATTTTAAAAAGATTATTGTACAACTTAAATCAGTTAAATTGTGTTCATAGCAAGAACATTAACATTCAGAATTAATACCGAAAATTCATTTAACAATTTGTTTGGATTTCCAACTTTAAGACGCTTTGGTTCAAAATAAGACAGTATTATTGAATAACAAGGCATCTAAATGTAATCGTTCATCATCTACACGTTTTCGATCTGCAACTTTTCAATATGAAGCACATAATCTCTATAAATATCTCCTGTAGATGTCCTATTTTGCAATAGCTTATCAATTTAAATTAAATGAAAACCTGAAAATATATGAACAAAAAAGCTACAAATTTTTATGTCATTTTTAAACTATCTGTTAAATACATATATACTTTATTTTTCGGGAAAAAAAACTTTATCAATCAAACTTTCATAATAGCATCATCCCCTTATATCTTATTATGTCTATTATGTCTACAACGTTTCATAGACAAAAATCAAAAGTTCTAATCAGATAAAAACATTGGACAGTTAGATTAATCATAAATAACCATTTCTTATTATTATTATTAGCTCAATATCATGTTCTGTTCATTACTCAAGAGCGGAATTGAAAATATTACGCTCCATATCTTGTCAGTTTCTTCAAGAAGTGAACGTATCCTTATATGAGAATCGACTGACAACTTCCATTTCTCAATTGTACTTTCGAGCTCGTTCATAAAAACGAAAGTAAAAGAATTCTTTGTAAGGCTTTCGAGTTCTACTAGGTTTGCCATTTCTTCGATTTTCGTCACATGCTTACAATCATTTGCTCGACTGCTTACACTTTCACATAGCCAATCAAAATTGGTCGTTAATATTATTGATTCCGTTGTTATCACCAACATTCCACGATCAATTGTTTTTGGAGCCACAAGAACTTTTGTGGAGTCTGTTGCCGATAAAACTGATGTTTCGCAGCTATTGTACATTGCTAAATAAATCAGTTCATTTTGATCTGATAACTTTAATAATTTTGTGTTAACGTGTGCTGATAAATCTCTGCTAATCTCAAGTGTTTGGTCTGCAAGGAAAATTATGAATGAGTAATGTCCAAAATGCAATGAAATTTTAACTTACTTGATGTTGTAATGTGCTTTTGTAGGATTGTTGACAATTTACTGTCACGAAGTAAAATGTGAAAATTAAAGTTTGCCTTCATAATGAAACTTAGGCCGTTGTCAAAAATTATGTTTCTAATCATGATAATTTGATCAACAGAATATGTCATTGATTTCCTTATCCAAGACTCGACATTCTCAGTTTCTTTCCCAACAATTTTCAATAGATAAATCTTCTTTGTAGACATGACAACTAATGCTGCAGTCGGCATGAAGTTTGAAGATGTATCGTCTTCTATCACAATACATTTTACTAGCCACATAAACTTCTCATCATTATCTTCGAGAACATTTTGAAAAATGAACAACTTTAAACGATGATCGACAATCGATAGATTATCGAAATTGTACTGAATAGGCTTTGATGGATGATTAACGGGTTCTGGTTCCTTTTTTGAGATGGTCCTTGACAATAAAAGGCTTGATGTCTTGAATATCCCCTCTAATGGACTCTTTGTTTCATCTTTCACTGACTTTTTCTTGCCATTCTGTTCATATGCTGTACAAACAGACTCGCAAATTGATCCCGAACTGCTTGATTCTGTTAAATTAACATTACCGATACTTAGTATTACTTTGGGCTTTTCAGCATCAATCTGTTGCTTTTCCTCAACTTCAATTTCTTTAATCGTCTTTTCTAAAATTGCTCCTTCACTCTTTCCTGGATCATCGTCAATTGTATCTAAAGATGGTGCTGTTGATATTCTCCTCTCTTCTGATTTTCTACTTAATTGATCAATAACTTCAATCGAGCTTTGAGATGTATGCGAAACTTGTGAGGAACATTCACTAAGAACTTCTACAGAACTTCCAGCTACTGATTGATTCGAATCAAATGCACTTTCTAAAAATTCAAGACATGAAGATCATATTACAGACAAAAAGAAATAAATTTACCAATGCTACTGAAAGAATGACTTGTTTTCGGAACAACACCAACACCAACGGGATTTTCCTCACCTTTCTTCTTGTCTATGCTTATGGACGAAGCCGGCCTTTGCATTGCAGTCAATGTTGTCAGAACAGTTCCAGGAAAGAAACTGGATTTCGGACTTGTTGCACATTTACTTGTTTTCTGTATTTCGATAATATACTTGTTTCCACATGACGGACACTTGATATCTGTGGATTATATATTATATGATTAAATTTAAATTTTTTACTACTGCTACGAATTTTAATTATTAACTGCATTTAGCACACTACATTGTTATACAACTGATCATAATCAGCAAAAAATCGCATTGATCATGCATCGCAAAATGATTTGCCTTTCTAGTTCAATTACCTAGTAGCAATCAACTATAAATATGTCAGACTTAATAAACATTCAGACTATAATTAAACAACTGTTGTTTTATGGCTCAAAATTGTGTTATCAGATCGTACTCATTCGGTCAGATTTTAATACAGTCAAGGACGTTTAGAATAAACATAAACAGAAACGACCTTGAAATCTTCACTGTTTACACGCACTCAAAATATGAAGAAAAATAAATAATCTGAATATGACTCACCATTTTGACGATTCTTCTTTCGATCATCGTCGTTTTCTCGACAGAATTGTGAATTGCATTTCGGACATTTGTAGACTGTTTGATTCATTTCAGATAGTGGACGAGAACTCAAATAATCTCTCAAGATCTTCTCAACTTCTTGACAACATGGTTCTTCCATTCGATAAAAACGTTCCTTCTTATCCTTTCTAATTGTATCGAAAGTCAAATGAATAAGATTTGAACGTTTTCTTTCAACACTTAGTAGTGTTTGAATTCCCCATTTAATCAATGTTTTTCCAGTCATTGCATCGCGTTCTTTTATTATCTTATCGGCTATAATTAAAATCAAATCTTCCTTAGTTGTCTCATCAACCACAATGAATAATGCCTCGTTGTCTTCAGGATCTGACAATGTTGTTTCATCTTCTGTAGTAAAAGTATCTTCAAGTGCTGATGCATAATTACTTAAACCATTTGTGCTATCATCGATACTCTTATAAATAGTTTTATCATCACTTTCGACTAAAGTGTGTTCTTGAGGCGTCGACGTTTCAATCGGATCACTTGCTTCAAATGATTCATCCATTCTCAAATGAATCGGCGAGCCATACAAAATATTTCCTGAATTGAGACGTCTCTTGGATGTAGATTCTCTTTGATTTTCGTAACCAGGAATTAAATCTTGATTAAATAGCCATTCATTTCCGTATTGTTCTCTCAATTGCTCAATTTCTCGCTTTGTTGTCAAATGATCCTTACTTCCTTCTCGCAGCAATTTCTTTTCGATTGGAGATTTTTCTCTCGGTTCCATTCCACTCTCTTCAATTTCAGATATTGACCTTGGTTTAACTTTCTTTTGTGAACTTGTCATAACTGTCGATCCATTTAATGTTGAACTATACGAGTTGCTTATATTGGAGCTTAAACTAGTATTGTCTGGTGTATTGCTTACACTTTTTGTAGTTGGCGTATGAGCATTACTATTACTAGATGATGTTCGTCCAAGATTCATACGATGTCCATAAATTGGATAATAATTTTCATAACTTCCAGCTAATGATTTTTCTTGTTTTGACAGTAATTCACCATCAAGTTGAAATTGAACTGTAGCTGCATTCTTGCTTAAATATCTACATGTAGCAACGCGATGTTTTGGATGAAATGCAAGTGGATTTCCAGACATGTTTAAATATCTTAACGAGCTTAGCGTACACAATGGTAATAAAAGTGCATGATCAAGTAAGCAATTTCCCGATATATCCAATTCTAATAATGCATCAAGACGAACAAGTCCAGATAAATCCTCAATAAAGTTATCATTTATGATTAAAACTTGAAGTCGACGATATGTTTCGACATTTAACTTAGGCATATTTGTTAACTGATTAAACGATAAATTTAGAATCTTCAAGTTTGGTAGATAAACAAGCGCAGGTATTTGAACGATCTTGTTGTGGGAAAGATTTAAAAATTGTATATATGGCGTAAATTCGAATGAATTATCTACGCGCTCTAAATTATTGTATGAGAAGTCGATTCTTTTAAGAGAATTCCATATAAATCCACTACAATTATCACCTGCACAATGCATAATAAGATCTTTAATATCTGTTAAGCTCTTCTCAACGACAAGCTCTTGCAGTTGTTGCCTTAGTTGTTGCAGTCCAACAATTCGCTTGATTGAAACTCTTTGAATTTCTAGAGTTGTCATATTTCGAAATTTGGATATATCTATTACACAGTTATCATCGTCCTCTTCTATCGTTTCATCGTCAATATATTTTGTTAATTTTAATACTAGAGTCTTTTGAATAAAATCATAGATAAACATCAGTTCTCGAAAAACATTAGACTTTGAATTATTTGGCTTTGTCACTTGAAATGTTTGCGGTGGCGTTAACTCATCATCATCAATAATAAGCGAAAATGAGTCGTTTAATGCTCGTAAAAGTTCACCTTAAAAATTAAATACATTGTTAATATTGTGAAATTACGTATTGAGCATAATTTTATTAAGAATATACCCGTTAATTTTAATTGAAATTCAGATGTAAGCAATTTGTCGCCTTGTTGACGTATTAGCTTCGATAAGTTATGAATTTTTTTTGGATCCATTTTGTTTATTATTTTTTTGAATGATTCTTGTTTTTATTTAAAATCTTTTTTGTTTTCTTTGTTAAAAATTTCACTTTAATTTTTCTCACTTCTCCTCAAAAATTAACGATTAATCCGATAAGTTTTTGGTATAAGATAATAAGCTTATCGCGTTTATCATCAAAATAAGCAAAAAATAATGAAGGAAATGACTAAAAACTTAAAAATTATAAACTATTTTTGAATCTCAAAAAACAGCTGAAAGAAAAACAGAGGAAAGTTTTTCAATTCGAATGGAGACTTTTAACATTTCACATTTTAAAAACCGTTAAAAAATTTATTAATTGAAAAATTGATTTAAATTTTGTATAAAGTTGTTCAACTTGTTTAACTAGAAAGAAACACGATTAGAATGGATAGATGGGTCTAATGACTCTACAAGAATCTCCTTGACAATTTTTCAAATCTTCGGCTGTCAATTGATATAAGGCTTGCACTGATGGCAAAAGATCATATGCTACATTGTTCATTTGATAAGGATCAGCTGTTAAGTAATATGCCTCATTAAAGCTCACGTGGTCATTAAATGTACAATAAATAAAATCAATATCGGATGCTAGATGTCGAACACATGCATAAGTATTATTCCATGAATCCTGACATTTGCAATCTGCATCAATTGAGCAACCAAATAATCTTTGACTCTTTCTATAAGGACATTCAGGATTGAATGTGTCTCTAGTTCCTTCACCATAATGTTCGATGAGAATTTGTCTCTCAAACATCCGTTCAGAATCAAAATTATTAATGTCAATTAATTTATCAAAAGGTTCGCCATCAAATTGTGACAAGTTGTAGGATATTCCAGCCAGAGACAACACTGTCGGTGCTAAATCAATCAAAGCAACAGGAAAGTCAACAACATGTTTCTGTGGAACATTTGGACCACGAATTATCAATGGAATCTTAATATCTGTTTCATAAGGTAGCCTTTTGTCCCATGGCATTGCCCAATTACCCAAATGGTATCCGTTATCTGATGTAAAAATTATGTAAGTATTGTCAATTAAACTTTGCTTTTCTAATTGATTAATTATGTCTCCAACCATGTCATCGACCGATAATAATGTTTGTAAACGTGAGCGATAGTAATGCTCTATTTTACTGATAACAGTTTCAGAGAGCTTTTTAGGTTTCATTGTCAAAAGCCAATGTTTTTCTGTGGCTTTTGCGCCCACATTAAAATTATCACTTCGCGGCACTGTATAATTTGATAAAGCATCTTTATACTTTTCTTCTGGTGTGAACGGTGCATGACATGATGGTGTTGAGATGATTGCTAAGAATGGCTCATCTTTTGATTGATTAGTAATAAAATCTTTGGCTTGATTCTTTATCACATTTGTAAGATAGTCCTCAGGCATATCTCCATACTTGAAAACCTTTCCGTTCTCTGTCAATGTGTAGTTATAATATTTACTGTTTCCATGTAAACCATAAAAGTCATCATAGCCATAAGGAATATTTTTAGAATAATAATCGTTCAAATATTTTCCAGCATAAAATGTCTTATATCCATTTTCATGTAATATTGCTGGAAAAGTTCTCCTTTCATGTTTCTCAATCCACTCATTTGAATAACATCCTCCTTCTACAGAATTATTAAATGTTCTAGTATTGTGTGCATATAGACCGGTTAAAATTGCTGATCGACTAGGACAGCATATAGGAGATGTCGTAAACTATAAAAATAATAATACAGATTTAAAAAAAAATAATTTGAATCATCATTAATATTTTACTCACAGCATTTTTAAAGATAACTCCTTTGGAAGTGACAAACTTTTCAATGTTTTTTAATGGTTCAAGAGAGTTCAGTATCAAATCTTGGTCGTCAGTCAGAAAAATAATAAAATTAAATTTACCAAAAACTCGACTTGATAAGAATATTAAAAGTGATAACGCGATTAAGTGAATTTGCATATTATTAAATATATATATTTTTTCGTGTATAACTCTTAAAATTTTTTTATGACCTTAGGCTGTATGAAATATTTGTAAACATAGACGAAAAATTTATAGGATGATTGAAACTGCTTACGAACGTTTTTAAACAAAAAATCAATAACTAGCTATATATACTAAATTATTCACAGAATACACATTAACAATGTAAAATAATACATTTTAAGCGACTAGTTCGTAATTCGGACACATCCCTATTTGTAGTTGTATGGATGTGCTCATGTTAATAAAATGTTGATTGCTAACGGTTGAAAATTTGAATTTTTAACAAAGATAAAATGATTTGAACTTAAGTTCGTTAAATTTTTAACTTTTAATCAAGATAAATTACATTTTGATCATTTCTGATAATTTATTGATCATTTTTGATCACTTTATCAGTTCCGCCCCTTCTGCTTTTAATCGAGTTTTATTGGCACCGGTGTTATATTGTGCGTGTGAAAACGAATCCAATAAATTTTTAATTTTTTTTTGGGGGGGGGGGGGGGGTATATTTGTTAAGGGGGGGGGGGGGGGTTGGTTTGAATTTTGAATTTTTAAAAATTTCAAAAATATCTGTTAAGTTTTTTTTTGGGGGGGGGGGGGGGGTATAGAATTCTATTGTTCTTGTTTTCGAAAAATAATTGTATTTTCAGACGTAGTTTAAGAACGATCCCTTAGAACAACCTTATAATCATGAAGCTACTTAATTCCGTGTAATCTAGTGAACTTTGAGCACATCCATATAAAATTAAGTAGTACTAAGAAATCTGCAGAGACATCTGAAATTTCAAACGGGAGCATACTTAAAAGATTGATATTTTTAAAGTGGGAAAGTTGCCTCTATCGCCATAAAATGTATGAATTGGTGATAAAAATACCGCAATTAATCATGTTTTGTTCACAATTATTTAATTACTTTGTTTTATTTTATATTTCTTGGATTTTTCTATTAATCTAATTTAATCTTGTACACTTTTTTTTTGTTCAGTTGCCTGTATGTATATATATGGTTTCATTTCTGTTTCTGATAAATATTTTTTTCTTATAATTTTTCTTTATCATTTTGATAAGTTCACTTGAATGATTGGCAAAAAATGAGTTGATTTTCTCATTGTCATTACCTGTTGTTGTTGTTGTTGTTGCTGATCTGATCAAGATTCCTGATTTCGGTGATATTTTCGGCAATGAATTTGTAGAGATTTCTGAGAATTAAAGACTTTTTGGCATATGTTACATGGAATCTCTTGCCGCTCTTGATGCGTTACGCTAATATGAAATGCAAGGTCGTTACGAGTAAAATATTTTTTTGGACATGTTGGCACGGGACATTTGAAATTCTTGATTTTTGCATGTGCCTGCAATTAAAAAAATCGCGACGACAAAAAAGGTAAAGCACAAATTAATATTTTTTTTTCTCTTATCACTCAAGAAATAAAAACGGAGGTATAAATATCTTTTGAAATTATAAGTAATTAATCTTACCTGTTCTATATGTTTGTTCAATTTACACTTGAACTGATATCGCTTACCACAAAAACATACGTACCTATATGACATGGGAAATTAAAAACGAAACAAAAAATAAAAAAATTGAAATGTCATAAAATGATTTTTCATTTATTTCGTACAAAATGAAATAAATAAATGAATTGAAGAAATAGAAAAGCAATACTCACGGATAAATTCCTAAATGCCTTTTCAGATGGCTTTTTAAGTTATTTTTGTATACAAATTTAGCGTGACAGACATTGCAGAGATATTCTCCGGGTCCATCACCGATTCTTGGATTTGACAACACCAATAATTGTTGATTTGGATCACCTGTTTCTGTTGAATTATTATTATCATTTAATGGAGATGATGAATGCATAATTGTTCCATCATTTGAATCATTATTATAGTGCTGCGAACTATGTTCACTAGTACGATTACTGATATGATGATGTTCTGGGATATTATTAGTCACGACCATATTTTGTGGCGGCAACGATTCCTCTTCCTCATCCTCACTGATTGGTTCAATTTTAATTTGGTTCTTTAGTTCTTCCGGTACAATTGGAAGGTTTGAGGTCTCTTCCTCTGTTACTGCCGACTCCCTACTTCTTTCACGTTCTCTCTCCCTCACCCTTTCCTGTATCATTATGTGATTATTGTTGTTGTTTTCTACTACTGATGCTACGACTCTATCACTACTTGACTGACTAAGATTATTATTATTATTACTATTACTATTAAGATGAATTTTTGGTGATAATGGTTGTGGGGGGATAGATATTAAATCTCTTTTGACTAGTACGAAAGTTCCATTTTGATGCAGCTCGAGATGATCAAGAAAGTGATCTGCATTTGTAAAGTCCATTTTACAGAATATACAGAAATATCTGTATATCCGCGAGAAGTAAAAAAAAATCGTTTGGTATTAGAAAGAGAAAAAAATGATGATGATAATAATCATAATGTCTATAAGATATATAGAACGTCTCTCACCTTCTAATTGATGCAGATGTCATTTGTTCTTCTTTTTCTTCCTGTTTTATTCTACTTGATGTGATTCCATTTACTGGCTGCTGTTTATGGAGCTCGGTGCTTTTATTGACAGTCAAGTCTTTTGCTGTTAAGTTTTCGTCATGCAATGAATTCACTAATTAATCGAAATGATGAGGGATTGTATGCGATTAATATAAGAAATTAACGTTTTAAAAGAGTTAAAAGATCATTGATAAGGCTTTTCAGCATTTAAAAAACAAGAAATTATCAGTAATTCTACCTTCTTGCTGATGATAAGAACGTTCTTTTAAAAAATTTTGGTTTTGACCTTTTAAAAAAATATTTTCACTAAAACGGTGATGATTTTCATAATTTTGTTCACTAATTGATCTTTCATAAGCTCTCCTTAATGATTTTGAATAGTGATGGGTTATTAATTCCATTATTTTTTATTTTTTAATTTTATTCTAATTTTACTTAATTTTTTTCCTAAGATTATTCTATTCAGGGGGACCAAGACTCACTGTAACTAGCCACGGGATCATTTTCGATTGAATAATTACGTGCGGGAAAATTCAAACTCATCATTTCGCCGATAATTGTTATTTACTTAATTAACGTTAATTGTTCAATATTTTTTGGATAGATTTATTGAATAATTATCTAGTGGATATACTGACACGTGCTGTCATATCACTTTTAATTCAAAAAATGTATTCATAAAAATAACCCTTTTACTACTGAGTAGCCTATAAGTGAGTCACATGTTGATTGCATATTCATGCCGTGGCTTTACAAAATATTGAACTTAATTTTTGTAACGTATTTTTTTAAAAGTTGAACTTATTTTGAACTCATGTAAAGTTCAAAACGATTTTCATGAAATTTGAAAATAATTTGTTCGTTAAAATTCAAATTCATTTTGACAGTTACAAATTTGACTTTCAAAAAAGCTTTGGCATCATTTATGAAATTTAACAAATTTAACTGTGCTTAGATTTGACGAAGCAACATTGAAGAAGTGCTAAGAGTTGTGAATACAATGAGTTCAATACATTTATGCTGATCATATGACCAGAAATTCTAAGAAATAAAATTAGATTTCCTAGAAATCTATTAAGGGGACGTTCACTTATTACGTTACGCAAAAAAATGACTTTTTTCACCCCCTCCCCCTTGTTACAATATGTTACAACTCACAATCCCCCCCCCCCCCCTTAACGTTCATAATTTATTTTATTTTGATAAAAAGGTGGAAAATTTAAAAAAATGTTGTTGGTGTGAATTTGTAAACAAATTTTTTTCGTGAACTTTTTTTTAAAAGACACCCCCCCCCCATGTTACACCCCCCCCCCCCCCCTCCCCCCTAAAATGCGAACGAAATAAGTGGGGCCCCTAAGGTTTAAAAAAATTCAAAGAAACCGGGTGATCAGAAAACTTTCAATTCGTTTAAAGTCATATCCAACAAGATTACCATAATACGGTGTGAATGTGAAAATATCCCTATTATTTTTTCAAAGGTAAGAAGTTCTCTAGCAAATTTAATTAATTAAAGTGGAATATCTCAAATTAAATACATTTAAATAGTGCATATTTTTTATTTATCAAGCATAGAAGTGGAATTTAGTGAATTAAAGTGTATTTACTTGCTGAAAATCATAAAATTTTCAATTATTTTGCACAACTTTGCTTTCGTCATATTTTTTGCCACAAAAAGATTTTTACGATTTGAGAATTATCGGAATCACAAAGTTAAATTAAAATTAATAGCCGTACAAAAGGTTTAAATATTGACATAACTCAATGAACAATAAGAATACAGTCATTTTCTCGAATTTTCTTATCGTTGTTATCTATTTTCATTCCAATTACTCATTATTCCCAAAAATTGACACATAAGAAAGTTCTTCAATTGTTTTCTTTTCTCTTTCTGTACAGTTTACAGTTACTTCCAATTTTCTTCATCATCATTCATCAAATTATATATTTTTTAGAAGCTATAGTTTGTAGCAGAAAGAATAGATATCAATACATAATCTGGTGCTGTATGTAATTTATAAATAAATTTAATTATTATCTCATTCCAACATATGTTTCTCGTCCCACAGAATGATTTTTTAACGACATAAAGTTATTGATGACAGTGATTACATTTTCTATTTAAATAAACAAATATTCAAGACTACGTAAAAGTATGGATAATATGGAAAGGAGGAAATATTCACAACCACAAATGCGGCCAATAGCTAGGAATTTAAAAATTCCAGCTCCACCTAAATTCATACAAGACAAGCCAGAATATGAAATCAGTGAGAATTCAAATCCAACATTTAAAAGCAATATTTTCGTCTTTCAAACTGAGCATAAAGTTCGCATTAGTCACTACGAGAAAGGTGTGCATATGTTCTATGTACAGTTAGAGTCATTAGATGCTCAGCTTCAGGCATTGTTGAGCAGAATCCAATCTATAAAATTGATCAATTTAAAAAATCGTCCGACACAAATTGGAATGGCATGTCTCGCACGGCATCAGAAGAAAATTCATCGAGTAGCAATTGCGAAATTCCTTAATGATCCGGATAGCTTTTTATGCAATTTTGTAGATTATGGATATTCAGCAACTGTTAAATTAGAAAATCTCTTTTACATTCCCGACATCGTTTTGAACCATCCGACATTTGCAGTTCAATTTTCCTTTGCTAAGCTACAAAACGTCACATTCAAATGTCCAATGCAAGAAGTTAATGCCTATTTCAAGGAAATCACTGAGAATCGACTACTTTCACTTAAATGTCTTCCAATTGACGGTAAGTTAAACATTTTAAGGCATTAATTACAGCTACAATTTTAAGAGTTCTTTTTTTGTGTCCATATTAGGTCCGCCTTTATGTCAATATTGTGAACTTTACGATACTGAAAATAATATTTTGGATGTTTTAAGAAACTACAATTCAATGGACATAAAAGTTCCAGAGCAAGCAAAGTTAAATATGAATAAGGAACTTATAGTAAAAGTTTGTTATGTTCAGTCAGTCAAGGAATTCTATGTGCATCTTCAAACAAACGAAATTACATTAAAATATGACATGATGTATGACGACTTACAAAAGCAATTACCAACAACTCCAATAATCTACAAATTGCGACGAGATCAATATGTAGGCGTGGTAATTGAATCAGAATGGTACAGAGGCAAAGTTATAGAAATAAATGCAAATAAGTTTGCACACGTCGAAATTATTGATTTTGGAATTATCGAAGAAGTACACATCAATGCTATCCATTTATTGCCAAATAAATTTATGGATATGCCTGCGTTCGCTTATCGATGTTGTTTAGAAGGATTTGAGACAAATCGTGAAATATCAGAAAATATTACGACTCAATTTGAAATGTTCTGTAGTGATGTTCACGATGAAAGAAGGCTCTTTAGGATGAAAGTCGATGGAAATGATCCAAAATTTGGATATTTAGCTAAATTAGATGATGTATCAGCTTCACCGCCAGCAAATGTCAATCGTATCTTATTAAAAAATAGCCGTCCATTAGCAGAAACAATAACCCTCGAGAATGCTCGTAAACGTCACAAAGAAACTCAAAAGAAAAATATAGACAACAAAAATTACGTTGCAACGACTCAGGAAGTTCCTAAAGAAGCCAACAATAAAACAAATGAAAAGAATCGCAGCAATTCACAAAGAGGCCGTGCGAATCAAGTAGGCTGTCGAGGTGTTAATCGTTCGATACCACAAAATAATAATAATAATGATATTGCAAATAATAAACGCCAACGCACACATTTCGATAAATCGAATGGTGACAATTCTAATAATTCTATTGCTGGCACTTACTTTAAAACTCAGAAGGAAGCTAGTGTTTGGAATGACGCAAGGCAACAAAAACCATCTGATTGGAATCAAGCTAAGAATATAGCAAAAGAACAGAATTCAGATTCTGATTGGAATGATACTGATAGTTCCTCAAAGAAAAGCCAAAAGTCTTCAAAAAGCTCAAAAAGTAAAGGCAAGAATGAGAACCAAATGCAGAACAATGTTAAGCAAAAATCACCACCAAAACATGAGAAATCACCAAATATCAATAATGTTAAGCAAAAGTCGCCAGCGCTTGAGGAACCGACACAAAAAGCAGTGGAACCAGTCAAACCGAAACAAAATGAGAAGCCAAAGGATAAGCTAATGAAGTGTGGCTGGGTTTCAACATTAATATCCACAAATGAAGCTTTTATACATTTTGAGGAACACATTGATGGCTTAGAAAAGATTCTTGACGAGCTTTTCGTTTTTTATGAGGGACAAAAAGGTTCGTATTAATCCTAAGCTTAATTTTTAATCCAAGGATTTAATTTTCAAATTCCAAAAATCTGTTATTTTTCTAATTTTTAAAATACGTCATTTTTCATCAATTTAGGAACCCCTCTAAAAGAACCGAAAACAGGCATGATGACTGCTTATAAGAGTCAAGATGGAAATTGGTATAGGTGTGAAATTTTATCAGTTGACGGCGAATTATGCAGACTTAGAAATCGAGAATATGGAAATATAGAAAGTGTTCAAAATACATTCATTCGAGTGCTTGATGATCGATTCAAAAAGTATGGTAAGCTAGTTGAAAAGGCATACTTTAGTATCAAACCAAATGAGCCGAAAATTGACAATGGAAAGCTTTTGAAGGAAATGTTAGCCGCATTTAATGAAGGCGCAAAAGAACTGAATTTTAAAATCATAAAGAACTTCAAGGACGGAATGATAATTGACCTATTTGATCCAGAAACGAAGGAAAATATCATTGAAAATTTGATAACAAAAAAGCAAATGGCAGTTCGTATTGACGAGAATGAGTTGATAAAGATTTTGAAGAATAACGTGAAAAAAGAAGAACAGGAACTGAAAGAAATAGAAGAAAATGTCTCAAAGATTTCAGTAAATAGTAAACAAACTGAGTCTGCGACAATAACATATGACACACAAGAGGAAGGAACTATAAACACAACTGAAAATGATGTAATACAGACAACATTAAAATCGGATAGAATCTTAGCAAAATTAACAGCATTAACATCACCAAATGATTTCTATTTGACACGCGTTGACATGTTGCAGCATTTCAATCAGTTTCATACAGACATACAAATTTTGGCACCTGCCTTACAGCCGCTAATTGATTTTGAATGTGGAACATTTTGCTTAGCGCTACAGCCATTTGATAATCTTTGGTACCGCGCCAAAATTATTGATAGTGACGAGAGTATTATTACTGTGCTGTGCATTGACAATGGAAAGACATTTTCATTGGATAACATCTTAAACATGAAGGCTATGCCTGAACAGCTGCAACAGAAATCAAACTTTGGAATTCCATGTTCGTTGGGCATCAAAGTTGATAGGAAATGTGAAGAAGATGCTACACAATTGATGCTGAAAATGGTCGAAATGGAATTAGAGTATAAAATTGTTCTAGCGACTGAACAGAAAAGCTATGTTGAATTGTATGATAATAATGAGAACATTGCTGTCTTACTAATTGAAAAGAACTATGCACAACCGATTGATATATTCCCATCTGGAAGTGGCTATACATCCCACATTAATTCCATTAGTGACTTTTTTGTGCAGCTTGAAGTTGATCAATTGAAACTTGATCTCATTGCCTCAATTATGGACGGTGCTAAAGGAAAGTTCAATAAGGTTGTTGATCCACAAGTTGGACAAATCATTGCAGCTAAATATCCAGAAGATGACGGATGGTATCGATCGAAAATCGAGTCCATTGAAAGTGACGGATTTATTGTTAAATTTATAGATTATGGAAATTCATGTTCGGTGAAGGAAATTGGAATGATTGATCAGTCTATTGCAGAATTGCCTGCAATGTCGAAGCAATGCACTCTATTTAAGCCAAAAAATATAATTAGTTTTAGTGACGGCGCTGAAAAGGAATTTATCAAAATTACTGCAAATGGCGAAACAATTTTACACGTTAAAGTTGTCAAGCCTGGAAATGTAACGGAAGTCGAATTGTTTTGTGAGAATCAAAATATTATCGACACGCTAGCTCCACTATGTAAACTTGAAAGTGATAAATCAAAAGATATAAACGAAATTTGAATTATTCTATATTGCACAAAATTAGTGCCTTAACTATGTGTCTTCCTCGAATCATACATATATTCACAAATTATACGTTAATTAAGTTATACAGTTATTTTTCTATACATATATTATATGCTAATTTATTTTTGACTGCACAAAAATGAGATACATAAACGAAGAAAAAAAAATTGCATATTCCTGTTCGGTCGTATTCAATTAACTTAAAAAAAATGAAAGTGTAAAGAAGAAATGCAATAAATTAATTTATAAAAAATGTTACTGTTTAATCTGCTAATTTAATTGTTTTAATTCAAATATTTGATTCTTTTAAGTCTGAAGTGACTGATTTTCTTAACGGTTATTTTAAATTTGAATTAAGTCCAACAATTTCTTGAAAATTCTATCATCTCGGAACAAAATGTGAAAATCATTAAAATTAAGGTATTTTATTGAAAGTTAAAAGATTAATTTGAGTGCATTTATTAAACTTACTTTATAGTGCTACAAAATATTTAATTTCTGACGATCTATAGCTTTAAATCATGAGAATTTCACATTTTTTGACAAATTTCTTCCGAGATGACAAAAACTCTGTTTTCATTTATTCAAATTTTTAAAACCCGTTAAATTTTAATTTTTTGGATGTTAGTCATGCGTCTCGCTCAGAATAGCTTAAATCTTTCCACCATAAATTTCTTCCAGCAGATCATAAAATGCTGAGTACTCTTTGAAGAGATATTGAATAAGTCAAAGCAAAAACGTCGTAAACGCAATCGCAAATGCAACCAATACGAAAACATTCACTTCCTGTCTCTTTGCATTATTCCATCCACATTCCAAGTCTGATTTTAAAATTTCTAATAATGGTTCGCCGTTTTTGTTTGAGCATCTGGCTGATCTTAGGTCATCGTCATGCTGTGGATCATTACAATCGTCATCATATAATTCCTCACTCTTTAATGCTGTATCTTCAGCCCAATTTTGTTGATTACAGAAATACTGGCGCTTCTTTCGTTGCCAAAACTCAATCCATCCTATTTCACAGTCACATGAGAGCGTTGTATAATGAATATTTAAATCAGTTAATAAAACTGTGTCTGGCTGATTTGGATATAATGCTGAATTTGGATTTGGCAGTGTATTCAACTTCTTATTATTGGAATCAATATCAATTGATATGTTATAAACGCTTCCGACTTTTCTAAACAGCGTTGATGGTATGCCACTTAATGTCGTGTTGAACAGTTTGATACGTAATGTTGTTGCTTGAACGCCCTAGTTTAGATTTTATAAGCTATTAATATCAATTCAATAATTATATGTTTATGGGGGTGTATTCAAAAGTTTTCTGATGGAATACAGAGATCACCTCCATCATTATACTTACATCAAAGATTCCATCAGCCAAACTATTAAATCCAGCACCGCTGATTGTGATTGAACGAACTTTATTTGGTAAATATCCAAACAGTTCTTTCCTCAAGTCACTTGCAGAGTCCTGAGCTAGCTGGTATGTCTCAAATCCTTCCTTCGATGTTACTTTTACCATTTTTGGTGCTGGAGCCTCAATTATTAATTCTCTTAACCCGTCAACGTCTTCAAGAATCACTGGAATGTTGAATTGTGTAAGTTTTGGATATGTTGATACTTTGAGAGACCTTAATGATCGTAGCTTGTTCAAAATTCCGAACTGTTTTAAGAAAGTTGATAGATTAAAATAAATCCTTGGATTAAAAATGAAATTAATCCTAAAATTAATTTAACGTACCTCAATAGTCGTCAAAGGAAGTTGAGAGATATCCAAATGTTCAAGAGTATCAGCAGGTCCTAACAAACTTGTGTTTGTCAATGAACTAATTGGATTTCCAGCAAGTGAGAGAGTGTTTAAATTTGCCAATGAATGTGTTATTAAAGGAACTGTCGATAAGTCATTGTATGATAAATCATAGACTCGTAGGGACGTCAAATTTGCAGCATGTTCTGGTGGAATTGATGGAAGTTCATTGTATGCTAATCTCAAAATCCTTAGATTTGGCAATGCTAAATCCGGTGCTTGAATTAAGGAAATATTATTCAAGTTTAGTTCCATTAAGTTTGTTTCTAATCCAATAAAAACTCGTCCAAAAACTTCCAGTTCACTATTGTGTGATAAATCCAAAGCAGCTAAATTAGGTAGTGTGGCAAAGGCTGCATCATCAAGACGTGCTAGTCGATTGTATGATAAATCGAGACTTGACAGTCGCTGTAAAATGAGATTCCGTTGAAAATTAGCACAAACGTGCAGAATGTCACTAATATGCATGACTTACTCTAAATTTATTTGATAAATCCATACTGTGAATTGTCCCAATATTATTATGCGATAGATCCAATTCACAAAGTGTCAAGGCAGCTAAGTTCGTTAGTGACGATACAGGAATTTTAGTCAACAAGTTATGCGACAAATCAAGCTTCTCCATATCATCTCCAGCAAAGACGTGATCAGGAATCATTCTGAGTAAATTGTGGGATAAATTTACAATCCTTAAATCACCAAGAGTTTTGAAAATATCATATCCAAGCTCAGTTAAGGCGTTGTTTTCTAAGCTAAAGACTTGAAGCTTTCTAGTGCCTCTAAATGTGTCAGGAGCGATGTATTCGATAAAATTGTCTGACAAGTCCAAGATTTGAAGGCGTGCGAATTTTCCGAAAATTTCAAAACTTGTGTTCTATAAAATAGACAGGCAATATAGCATAAAGCAAGCATGAATTAAGCATAACTTACTTGCAAATAATTAAAAGCTAAATTCAGGGAAACTAATGAAAGCTCTGCTGGCTTGAAAAATCCACCACCAATATTGGAAATATTATTGTGTGACATGTCGAGTACCTTTATGTACGAATGATACATTGATGTGCCTGGAAAAAATGAATTGCATAAATCTAATCTCAATTAAAAGTCGTGCATGCATATTGTTCAGTGAGGATAAGCTATTATAATTCTATATACCTTGCTCGCGTTGATTTATGAAGCTCGTCGTATTGTCAGTTAGGTCTGATAAGGCATTATAGCTGACATTGACCATTAAATGCGCTAAAGTCCCAACTTGATCGAAATAATCAAAATCAAAGTTTTTCAATTGATTGAAGCTCACGTCCAAGAATGATAGGTGTGGGAGGTTCTGTAATTAAAAAGGTTTAAATGATTTTGGAACTGACTAGAATTTAACGAAAAATTCAAATTCAAATCAACCGCAATAAAAATTAAGGGGTAGGAAATTGCAACTCACATGTTCAAAAAAATAAACAGTGTGTGTAACACAAAAAAAAATCTATTTTAATTAAATTACATCGTAAATACTAAGTCAATTAGCAGTTATTCAACTTTATTCGACAAATAGAGCATTGAATTCATTACGATGGCAAAATTCGTGGAGGAATCAAATGACGAAGACAGTTATGATGAAAATAGTTCAGACGAAGAAGTAAGAAAAAAAAATTATATTGAAATCAATATAATGAGATTAAATACATAATTAAATGCTATTCTAGTTACGAGAAGCCTTCAAAAAAGGGCTAATTAAACCAGGTTTGAATGTTCAGATTGAGACAGAAAAGACTTTGGCCAATAATATCGTAAGTTTACAAATTTCAAGCTTTACTGGATCTTTATAACTCAAGTTAAAAACATTTTACAGCCAAAAATGAAGGAAAAACTAGACGAAATGATATTGGAATTACCGTGGATAGAGCGTTTAGACATGACAAATGATTTAGCACCAATTGCGCCTGAATTAGCTATTCAAATGGAACGTCATGAACAGAAACGAGAAAATCAATTTAAAGGAAATAAGAAAATTCCATATGTAGAACCAGAAAATGATCCAGTTCTTAATGACTTCAAACGTGAAATTATATTTTATCGTCAAGCACAGACAGCGATAAAAGATGGAATTAAAAAGCTCATAGAACTAGGAATTCCCACAAAAAGACCTGATGACTATTTTGCAGAAATGGCAAAAACTGATGATCACATGCAAAAGATTCGTAAGCATTTAGTAGCTAAGCAGGAAGGTAAACAGCGTTCAGAACGTGTAAGACAATTGCGTGAACAAAAGAAGATGGCAAAGGCAGTTCAACGTGATGCTGAAGAGAAGAAGCAAGCAAACAAGTCAAAGATGCTTAAAGATCTCAAAGCTTACAGAAAGGGTAAGCTGAAGAATTTGGATTTCCTTGATGATGACAAAAAGAAGCAAAAATCAGGTCCAAGAAAGCCTGGCAAAAAACGACAGGAACGAGACAAAAAGTTTGGATTTGGTGGCAAGAAACGAGGAATAAAGCAGAATTCAAGAGATTCAGCAGGTGATGTCCGTGATTTTAGTTTGAAGAAAAATCGTGAAGGAGTTGGAGCTAAAGCATTCAAAAATAAGGGAAATAAGAATAAGAAAACCGACAATAGCAAGAATAAGCGGTTGGGAAAGAGTCGACGAGTAAATAATCGCAAATAAGGCAATGAAATTTATATTTTTTTATGATACAAAAAGTTAATTAATAAAGACTTACTTGAAATGCTTCATCTGAAATGCTCGTCAATTTATTTCCTTTAAGATTAATATGCTGTAATTTCTCCAAATTCATAAAAGCACGTCTCTCAAGTCGCTCAATTCTGTTGTCTCGTAATCTGATTGTATGCAAATTCTGATTTTTTTTTTTGTAAGGAAGTCAAGCAAGCAAAAAAGAAAGGAAATTTCCAATTAAATTGTTTTTATCATGAATTAAGGCAGTTTTTCTCAAGCTTTATGTCTCGCGTAATCGGCTATAAATGGGATCTCTTACATGCCGTACCACAAAGCTTGAGAATCACTGATTCTGAAGCATACCTCCAAGTCAACAAACGTATGAGTCGAAATGTGACGAATTAAGTTAAATTCTAAAGAGACTTCTTCCAATTTTTGATGGATATCGCGTTGGAAGATTCCTTTAGGCAGTTGTTCCAAAAGATTATCGTTCATTCTAAATAGCCTCAAATTCTTCATTGCATGAAATGCTGTATCGCTAATTGATTTTAATTTATTATTGCTCAAATCCAATTCTTCTAATGATGTAAGCTCTCGAATGTCTGGCAATTGATTCATCATGTTTGAGAAGCCACGTGTGATTCTTAAAGAAATTAATGTATGTCCAATTTCTTGAAATGCGCCTTTCTCAATATTTTCGATATTATTTTCACTTAAATCTAATCTCTTAATACCCCGAACATGCATGAATGCGTGACTCTTAATAGCTTTTAATCCAGCATGGAATATCCTTAAATTCTCTAATTCAATGCCAAATTCTTGGAAATCTTCCGGAACTAGTTGATTTGAATTGAGTCGTCCGACAGCCAAGCTTCTTAAATTTCTGAACTTTCTCAGTTCCTGGAAGCTTGACGGTCCATTCTTGTTGCCAGTTATATCAAGCTTCATAAGACTGAACTGAAATCCAGTAAAAGTTGATTTTTCTGGAATCAAATTGAGGATTTTATTCTCCTTTACATTAATGTACATCAATAGATCAAAGGAAGTAAAGAGTGCATCAGGCAAGCTTGTTATATTATTTCCACTCAAATCTAGCACCTGCAAAGACCCTTCTAATCCAGAAAAAGCAGCCGGCTCAATAGAATCCAATAGACAATGTCTAATGTAAAGTTCACGAATTCTGGCTGTTTGAAAGGCATCATTACTAATTGTATGAATTGGATTAAAATCCAAGAATGTTTGATTGACTGACAAAAAGTATTGAAATGAGACCGGCTGTATGTGATGAATTTGATTGTGTTCGAGATGTAATTGCTCCAATGACAATTTAACATTCAATCGCTGTGGTTGATTAACGTGATGCATTTGGATGCTTGTTAATCTGTTTGATGAAAGGTCGAGAACTTTTAATGATTTGAGTAAAGACACTGCAATATATGGAATTTCAGAAATGAGATTGTCAGCAAGTATGACTTTCTCTAATGAATTCATTTGTTCGCGAAAGACGTCTGGGTTGATTTCATGAAGATTGTTTGAACTTAAATCAAGAACTTTAAGGTTTGGAAGTCCTTGGAATGACTCAATTGTTACTTCCGATATTGAATTATCAGACAGGATTAATGTCTGGAGGGTGTTTTGTAATCCTCTGAATGAATCACGTTCTACTAATGAAATCTCATTCCCAGTAAGGTCCAAATATCGTAACTTTTGTAAAAACCGCAGTGCCTTTGTTGGAACTCTAGCAAGTCCATTATGATTTAATACAAGTTCCCATAAACTTCGTTCTAGTCCAATAAATGCCTCATCGGAAATATGAAACAAGGGATTATGTGAAATTTCTAATCGATAAAGTCCAGTAGCTTGTAAAAAGTGCGGTACTATTTCCATTAGTCCTGTATTTTCCATTTTCAATGAATAAACCTTTGAAAGGTTAAGTGCTTCAGGAATTGCAGGAAATACAACATTTTCACACTTGACGCTTCCATAATTATCAGGTAAACCGCTTGAGCACGTACATAATGTATTGAATATGCATGGTGGATCAGGTTGCTTCATTGCTCTTGCTGAACTCGCCCATATCATTAATCCAATTGTCACCAAAATCAGAGCATATCCAAACTTCATAAGATTCTCTAATCTAATCGCCTACACGAATAAACAATTGTAAAAGAATGTCTCTTATTCATTCATTCATGATCATTAATTAAAAGATGTGGCGAAAAAAATGAATAACATCGGAAATAGAGGGGTTTGAACAGGGGTCAAGATGATCAAATTGCTCATAAAGTAAACAGATGGAAATTACGACAGAATCATAACAATGAGAGAGCAAGAGAATTGAAGATGTGATGAGTACGAATGCATTGTTTTTTGTCGGTTTTAGGTGCAGTAATAGAGATGAATTGAAACTTTAAAGAAGTTTAATCATATAACGGCTTTCAAATTTGAATTTTTGACCCAAGATTTTGAACTTAAAATTTAACGGTTTTCAAAATTTCAAATATTTTTCTTATAGATTTTTGACCTTGAAATCAACGGGTTTTCAAAATTTTAAATATTTTTTTGAACTTAAAACATAACGACTTTCAAACATTTGAAACCCTTATTTTGAACTTTAAATTTTGAACCATTTTTTTTAAAAATCTTTTAACGGTTATTGACAAAATTCACTTCACACGTGTTAATTTGCACAGCTCTTAAATAAAATAAGAAGTAAAGCTTCAAAGAAAACTATTGATCTAATCAGGTTAAATGCACAGCCGAATTGTTTTAAGGGCAATTTAAAAATAGTTTAAATAATGTATAGATTATTTTAAGAAGTATAAGACCCACTAAACTTCATGTGACACATTGCTTTTAATAAATTGTATAAAATTCTCAATGTATTTTTCAAACTATCCAATAATCGATGAGCATTAAGAATTGCAAAAGCACCAACATAATTTCTTTTTAACCACAAATCGAAACTTTATGACATTCTTAAGTCAACTGCGAAAAACTCACAGAAACTTGTGAAAAATAAATAATTAAAATTGATCTGCTAGTTTATTAACGATTTTCTCAACATTTTCTAGATTTAGGCATGAGAAATTAATGAACAATGAAGAAATTTTAATTAAAATTTTCGTATATTTTTTTATGATTCTAAAAGTGACTAAGCTTGTCGTTATGTAATGTTGCATATTCTTTAGAAATCTCATGAATGAAGACTCATTATCGTGCGCAATCATATGACATAACAATAACATGAAGAGACACAAAAAAGACACTTTTTTATCGCTTAGGGTTTGGCACACAGCACAGTTAAGCGACTCTCTCAATTTCCGATGTATATCCACAAAAATAAAATGTTCACTGACCATTTTGCTGCTGCTTAATTTAATTATTTTCTAAGTTTTAAACTGTTAATATTAATGACTTGTTGTCAGCACTTATCACATTAGAAATTCTTAGCATATCATTAAGCACTTTCACTTGCTTATATCCACTATTTTTTGAGATAATAAATTTAATTAAATTTATTGCACCACACACAGAGCATCAATTTACTACAACTCGACCGTCGCGCGATTGAAAATACTATGGAGAGACTTCGTCAGTTTCAGTTCCTTTTTCAAGCTTTTTCAAATGTTCTTAGCTTCTTTTCTATAATTTAATTAAGCTTCAATCGCTTACTTTGCTCACTCGCATGTTTATTCAAATTTTTCGGCTCTCTCGCGACTTATTTTATGCATACACGAATTGGTATTAATAAACAATTTTTTGTTGCTTTGTCTTAACACATGCCTCGTACTTACAATCTAAAGATCACACCCGTGCTGTACACTAATCTCTATTATCAATGTTAAACATTTATTTAGGTTGCATATTGTCAGTAGCTAACGCAATAACATGACGGCACCCCAACATCTCGATTGTGCAGCTCGGGACATGAACTTCATACATTTGTGTATGTGAATTACTCAATTTTTAATATCTTGATGACATCAAGTTGATGCATTTTTTTTGGACACACAAAATAGGTCAAAGAACAAAGATGAAGGCCAAGTAAGTAATTGGCTAGACATTATTGGGTTGTAATTATCTTCATAAATTAATTAACGTAGAGATTATGATAACTGAAAAAATTAGCAGCCGTTGTCCATATCAACTTATTTAATTACGAAACTTAACGGCCCTTAACATAACTAGCTTACCTATTCATGTATGGACACAAATTCAATGTGTAATGAAAAAAATTTGATTTAATGTAGACGAAAAATTCACTTTTATTGATATTTCCCTCTAGCTTTTGTATGGCTTCATGGCTTCATGCTTTTTCCCTACATTATTTTGTTGAATGACCTGAAAGTCTTAAACGGATTTTTAAACGCAATATATTAAGGAAAAGGAGCTATTATTGTATGTTTTGAATGTTGGCTGGTTTAATGAAATTACTTGGGCAGCAGTGTTACCATTATTGAGGATCAAGTTCAAGTTTAAACATGAGATATAATATTAATCCTACGATTTAACATTAAATCGTAGGATTAAAGATTAAATCAAATAAATCAAAGTCTACGAATGTTCCAACAAACTCAACAATTTAACTTCCCCAATGAAAATGCGCAATAAACAGTCTATATTCCACTATTCTAATGACCTTCACTACTTGACATCCTGACAAATACAAAGTTTTACGAAAAATAAATGACTTAACTTTCTCAACAAATTACAAGTTTATGTAATACATTATTTAATGGCTTAATAAAGTACAGATCAAAACTTTGAACACGTGACAAAAAACAATTCTAATAATTCACGTGCTGTAAAAAATGTCCTTAACAGTTAGGATATCTGCTTGTTATACTTACACAATTGATGAGATGAAAAACGTCTCCTTTATTATCAGCAACATCACCTTTACTTTCCTTCTGCATCAATGATGGAACGATTTGTTCGACGTTAAAATAAAAGACATTCTCGACATTCTTGAATTTATTGTCAGATTTAAATGTGATCTTTTGGGAGTTTGGCATTAAATTTTCGACAAGTTGACTTACTTTCTTGTCACTAATTTGGATTAGCAGCTTATCGTATTTTTGATTTTGTAAATCCTCAAATGAAACCATTGGATTTTCGAGGATTTTCTTTGCAATTTGCTTATAATCATTATCCATGTTTAGATTATTCTGCATCATTAGTATATGTTCGATAGTTAAGTGAATTTGTGCCATTTTTGAGATACTTTTGTTCGATTCCTTTTCATTAAATCGACTGTTTCGAATTCCATCAAGATCATCATTACTATCTAAACTTCCAGTGCCATGCAATAAAGTCTTCCTGTTTTGATTAATTTCAAATGCGGAAGAAGCTAATGACTTTCGTACATTCATATTTGATTCAATTTGTGTTTGGATTTTAGTTTCGCCGACATTCATGTCACTTAACAAGCATATTTTGCTTTCACTAAAGATATATTCATAATCTTTCATGACTTTTTCAATGCCAATTTCCAGTAAGAGTTCTAATGGTTCTGTTGATGTTAAATGTGGAATTGCTAGGCGTTGTTGTGATATTTCTCGAATTAATTCAGCAAGTCGATTATTATTCATTGGAATGTTGACGATACTTGATCGTGATGAAATTTGGAAGATGAATGTGAGGATTTTACGTAAATCATAGTAAGAGCTTGCATACTTAATTAGTTCAAAAATTTGATCGGTGATGTCTATGAGTGGACGATTATAGACTCTCTTAATTATAGCTTCCAAGCTTATATCAATTTCATCTGCTGTATCGTTAATTGTAATAACATCCGATAAAATAGCATTGCATTTCTTCTGCAGAACATCATACTTCATCGATCCGTAGTTATAAGCAGGCTCATTTAATGTCCCATCAATAGATAAATTCTTAATATTAACAATATCATTTTTAATCATGTAAAGTAACTGAATTTGATTATACAGCTGCTCACAAAGTACATGACTCTTTCCAATTTCTACTTTTTGTTTCAGAAATACTCGAGACGAAGCATTAATATGGGAAAGTGTAAGATTCTCACTATTCATCGTATTTACAAATTTAAGTGAAACATCATCTGTCATTTCGAAGGTTGACTCAATATGTATTTCAGGCTTGGAACGTGGAACCATTGCATTATGTTTCTGTAGATATGTCCTAATTGATCGACTATCATTCTTAACTACACCATAATATTTGGCAAATCCTCTTATGAATTCTTTATTAGAGACATTCAATGATAGAATGAATGTTGAGTTATTAAGATCATGTCCTTGATCGTTGCCACATAAAATGAAGATCCACCCCTTTGAAGTCACTGAGAAATCTTCATTTGCGACATCATTTAAAATTGTTTGTGCGAGATTAATATCAATTGGACCATAGCTCTCTTCCACATCACGCCATGGATTCTTGTTAAATATCTTGCCAACAATAGATGTGTTAATCAGATCATTAATAGAATTATCATCTTTTAAAGGACTTCCACAAGATCCAGAAAAATTGAAGTTTGAATCACTTTTGTTGTTTCCCTCGCTTATTGGACTCTGATAATCTCTTAATGCCTTCAATCTAGCTACATCCTGTTTAAATAATAAGATTATTTTAGTAAATCAGCTGTTATTGTGTAATTAAGTTAACTTTCCTCTTTGTAAATGAAAATGATTTTTTGATTATCAATTCCAGTCAATGTTTTAACAAAAGAAGGCGATTTTCCAAACAACATATCAACATCTTGGAACTTATCACGTAAATATGCATATACATTCGTTAAATTAGACATATTCACAGAGTTTAACTAGTTTAATTAAGAAATAAATGAAAATGACAGTAAAATCAGATTCAAAATATTTTTGAATTAAGAAAATAACGAAAAAATCACGTTTCCTACCCCTCAAAATTAAGTTAATGTCGGATTTAAATGTTTAATCCAGTGGATCTAATTATTAAGTCTGAAATAAGTGTTGTAGATTGACTTAGACACATGTTAATCTCAAATGCTATCTATGCTTTTATTTATTCATGTAGATACATAGTTTAAAAATGTAATGTATAAATGCAGCAACTTGTAAAAAGGTTGTGGTTCACAGCACTAATTATTCTTCTTCTAAGTGAGTTTCGACGAGTTTTTTCGACCAGGACTCTTCGTAACCCTTGACAGTATCATCAATATTAGTTCCTTCAGATCGCATTGAATTAAAGTTTGAAATTGTAGGTTTACGAGAAATTGAGGTTTGTGAATCATTCAGGAACGAATCTACTCCTTTTAAAGTTCCAGCAATGCTTGTGTTGCTACGCATTGGATTGAAAAAGTTTAATGACTGCTTATTTCTTAAATCCATTTGGGAAGAAATGCTTGATGATGATTTTTGTTTGCTGTACATTGAATCCAAGTCAGATTGAGAATTATTTACACGCAACTTATGGAAAGATTCTGTCAAGCATGACTCTAAAAGTCCTTCTTCATCAAAATCAATTTCTTCAGTAAAATTACTGATTGGCAAGTGCTGTCCTGGTATAAGCTCAAGACAATCAAGTCCACAATGCTCAACAATAGAATATCCCCAACGCTTGACTTTCGACAATGCACATTCCTTCGAGTTATCTTCATTATTATGCAAATCACATCCAATATCACGGTATGCATAACTATCTCGTCGCATTATATCTCGAGCTTGAACCATCGACTTAAGTGGTATTTTGCCATCATTATTGTGAGCTGTAATGTGCTTATTTAAAGAATACAGCAATTGATCAGATTTAAGGATTCGAAAAGCGTTATTGCAATGATTCTCGTCTGCAATTTTCTGTAATGTTAGCTGTGCTGCTTCATAATCATCACTTTGGAAATCATCGTAGACAAAAAATGGTGGAATATAGAATGATGACAGTTCCTTTACATCCAGAAACTTAAGAATCTCGTCCAAAACTCGCTTATAATTCTTCTCTCCTTGAATGTTTGGTGGTATTGGAAGGCGATGAGTATTTTTTGAATGCTGTAAAGCAGTAGCAGCAAAACCCATTGGAAGATTTCCTGGATTAATCAGCATATGAAAACAATCAGTTATGCCTTCATGCAATGAGAACTTAGCTAGTGCAATTTCTGCTGGATATATCTCACTAGACTTTTTAATAAAGTATGAAGCAGAGAAGAAGTAAAACTCTTGTTCGAGCAAACTATTCTCAGCCATAGCTGATTCAATGACATTTTCAATATACTGGATATCCTTTTGTTCCTTTGTTCGCTTGTCAGTTTCTCGACGTTTTACTTCATCAATCGATTCTCCAAGGCAATTGTATCGGACTCTTGTGTCTTTAATTTCCAGTGTTATCTTCTTGTACGGGCCATTGCTATTTTTATACTGCTCACGATCTTCAACGCTCATTTTCTGGAAGTTATTAAGTTTATAACGCAAGTTTCTTTTAAATCAAATAATTACTGATTTACCTGCCAATTTTCTCCAGCAATCAGTTGTACCTCAGCCATAGACATCTCAGGATGTGATCCTTTTAATTCAAACATGTATTTAGCAAAAGCATTGATTTTCTTCGGCATTTTAGGACTTTTCTGGATGTTGAAGTGCTTTAAAATGTCAAAATTTTCTCATTAATTGCTTAAATTCTAATACTATTCGAGTTAAGCTAGCTTACATGTGATAAAACAGTGCTCCACAATGAATAAATTCACTTAAAATGATTAATTAAACTAGTTTTTTTTTTTTTTTTTACAATTTTAAGAACAAAGTTTCAAGCCCCGCGCACAAAAACGTGGAAAAATTTTTATTAAATTAATTAAAGTGTTCAAGTCGTTATTAGTTGGAAAAAAACCTTCTTACTTAGTGCCAAGGGTTGTGTTTTCCTCAAGGACAATGAGGAAAGCCAAAAGAAAGCAAGATTTGTCGCCAAAAATTGATTTGGACGAAAGTTCAATCAAATCTAATGAAAATTCCAAGAAGAGGAAGCAAACGCCTCAGAAAGAGGAATCATCGGTTCCAGTCACAACAACAACTTCAGTCAAGCCAATATTTGTGCAATGCAGTCTCAAGGATGTGAGAAAATTAATTTCACTATTGAAATTGCAGGTTATGCCTGCATATAAAATTTCATCATCAAATACAACTCAAGTAATTGTCAAGTCTATTGAGGATAAGGCCTCAATAATAAACCTTCTGCGGTCTCAAACTATTCAATTCCACACCTTCTCCGAGAAATCGGAGAAAACAAAGTCATTCGTTTTGAAAGGATTTTACGAAACACCAACGAATGAAGTACTAAGATTACTTCAAGAAGCCAAGGTTTCAGCTGTCAAAGTGACAATTCTCGTCAAGAAGCCCGAGTTCACCTTTTATCTTGTGCATTTTCAAGATGAAAGTGTGAACATCAACGTGCTCAATCATAACCACCGTAACATCGACAACATCATCGTCAAGTGGGAGAACATCAAGAAGGGCAACAAAAGCCCAACGCAGTGCTTCAACTGCCAACGTTGGGGTCACTCATCTCAAAATTGTGGATATAAATTCCGATGCGTCAAGTGCACGGAAGTTCACGGACCAAATCAATGTCAACGATCCACTCGTGATGGAAATGCCAAGTGCATTAATTGCAATGGCGATCATGCTGCCAGTTATAGACTGTGCCCATCGTTCATTTCGTATTCCAAAAGAATCGAAAAGTCAAGAGCCAAACCACAACTCAAAATGCTGCCACAGATATCAAGTCTTTTGGACAGTAACAATTTTCCATCGTTAAGCAAACGACATCAAGTTTCTGCTCATTCACATCCAGTGAATGCTGCAAGTAACTCATCAGCAACATTTAAAGAAGAGATTAATCAGCAACAACTGATCAATAATATCAGTTATGCAGAGAAACTCAACGAAGCAGTAAAGAATGAAAGCCTTTTCAAGAAATTCACAGAAGCTCAAGAACGTCTAAAGAGAATCCCCAACATTGAAGAAGCAATAAATCAGTTCTGCAGTTTCGTCGACGAAGCCGGAAAGATCCCAAAGGATGCACCTCAAGGAACTGCATTTAAAATCATGGTGAAGTATGGCTTCATGAGCTGCCCACCAGCACCGAACAAGCCAGTTCAAAAATAATTTATTAACGTAGTTCATAAGCTTAAAAAAAAGCTTTTTTTTTTTTTTTTTTCTCGCTCGGCAACTTTTTTTAAACTTTTTATGCCACATTTTCATGATATATGTAAATCTCATTCATCAAAATTAATAATTAATCAAGATATAGTTGAATTAAAGCCATATTCAGGCTGGTGTCAAAATAAGACTCAAAGAAATGTAACTTAAACTACAATAATTCCAAATTTGAAATAAAGAAAGATTTAACATTTACAATTTTAAAGTTTTTGAGTAAACTAGGTCGAGAGTTTATATCAAAAACGGAGTTTTAGACCCTGTGAGGATCATTTTATTCAAAAAAGTTATAACGGTTAAAAAGTGTAAACTTAATTCAAGTTTTGCCCAGTTTTACGAAACTTTTACATCATGAAAGTTTTAATTTCTCAATCACTTCATAAAACTCATTAGAAAGTTCAAAATTCATGTCTAATATCCTATTCAAAGACAAGTCATGAACACAAGTGTGTTAACAGTCGGAAGAAATTTGAATTCTGGACATTCAGTCAAATAAGAACCAATAGTATGCTGTTGTTGCACGATTTTCACACCCCTCTTTCTTTTTCTCATCGAATTTCTTTGATCTACACGTTTTGTAAAGTAAATTGAATATTTTTAATTAATTAAAGTGGTTTCTAATGCAATTTAATGATTTGTTTAAATGTAGACTAAGGTGCAACATACTTGTGCACTTAAAACAGCCTCAAAAGTGCTGTAAAAGTGATTAAATTAACAGAAAATTGCACAAAACCATAAAATATTTTCGCTTTGAAATATTTTTCTTGAATTTCAATTAATTCGTGCCTTATCATTTTAGGAAATTCATACATCAAGATGAAGTTCAATAGAAATGTCACGTCTTCACGTCGCAAGAATCGTAAACGACATTTTTCAGCTCCATCACATATTCGTCGCAAGATTATGTCTTCACCTTTAAGCAAGGAACTGAGACAGAAATACAATGTTCGTTCAATGCCTATCCGAAAGGACGATGAAGTTCAAGTAAGTAAAATTACATGCTAATTATGATGTTTATCAAGATCAAGTGCTGATTTATGCTGGATTAATGAGTGAAATTAAGATTTTGACAATAAAAATATTTTTGTTTATTGAGGTTAGGGATAAAAGTTTTGCTTCTGATTTGGCTCTAAATCGGTTGTTCTATGACTTGATTCTCAGCTGATTAGTTGCTTTCTTATTGATTAAGTTTTTATCTAAGCTAAAACATTGATCCAGTTTGAAATTAGAATGATATTCAAAACAATTTGTATTTAATTCAACTGTTGACCAACATTCAATCTACTATTTCAGGTTGTTCGTGGACACTACAAAGGAAACCAAGTTGGCAAAGTAGTCCAAGTGTACAGAAAGAAATTTGTAGTGTACATTGAAAGAATACAGCGCGAAAAAGCTAATGGAACCAATGTTTATGTCGGCATTCATCCATCAAAGTTGTTAATTGTGAAGCTTAAGATCGACAAGGATCGCAAGAGAATCTTGGATCGTAGAGCTAAGGGACGATTGGCTGCTCTTGGAAAGGATAAGGGTAAATACACAGAAGAAACTGCCGCTAGCGCAATGGAAACAACATCTTAAATATCCAATTTCTAACAATAAACAATTTTATTGTATTTTAAGTAAATGAGAAATCCAGTCAGAATGTAAAATTCTGATCAATAAAATTGAATTAAAAGATCCAGTTCAAATACTTTATATGAAAATATGAATAATTGTTTATTGAGATTTTAGCTATGAATTAATTTCAGCTTTATTATTCTCGGCATTAATTGCAGCATATTTCTTGGCATAATCCTTCCTTAGATTATCATTGAATCCTTCACGATTTCGAGCAATTTCTATAGCCAGGAACTGTATTCTTACGACGAGTATTGCGTTCTCAGGTGAAAAGTCCTTGGATGAATCTACTCTAAGTAATGTCCCGAACGAGAAATCTTCAATTTTATCAAATTTTTCAATAAAGCTTCTCCACTTTAGTTTTGAGGCATCACTTTTCAACTCATTTTCGTCAATATAATTAACACGAAAGTTTGGAAAATCCTCTCGAAATATCTTGTAGATCTGATCATCAAAAGGCGTCAATTTTAGACTTCTTGGATCCAGTGAAATGAGCAAGTTAAAGTGTGTTTCACTGTGTTCAAATGCCTTTTTTGCCCACAACTCCTCTAAAAGTGTATCATTTCCAAATTCGTCAGCTGGTCTCGAAAGAATGTCCTAAAAGTGATCAAATTCAGTATAAAGATTGCTTGATGCCCTGTTTATTAACTTAATATACCATCTTTTGTGCAATAGATTTTTGTTCTTCCTGTAATATTGTTGATGCGTCTGAATGATTAAGTGAAGAACTTTTTGAGTTAACTCTTCGAAAGCGCATTTCTATATGATCAATACTAGCTGATCCAGGATATTAAATTTGACCTAAAACTCAATTTACAAGATGATTGACATCAGAAATGTAACTTACAATTAGCATAATGTAGCTTGATCACAGCAAATTGGTGATTGTGACAGACAGACAAAGAAGGCAAGGTCAGAGCTAATAAATGTGGATGCGACTGAATCAAGAAGTTAAAAGAATCATAAAGTCATTTTTTAATTTTATTATTTAAACGATGGTGGATAGACTTGGTAATATATAACGTTAATTAATCATTAGTTGTCGTGTGTAGTATTTCGTGAGCATAAAGTTGAGAGTATAAAGTGGAAATTGAGTCGAGAAATTTGTAAATTTATACTACTGGAATTTTAAATTGTCAAAATTGTGAATTCCTTTATAAAAATAAATTATTAATGCGGGTAATAGAGATTAAATTAAGTTTTGTGGTCTTATTGACGTCATGAAAGGTGTGAAAAGTGATTAATATAAGAAAATTGATAGCAATTAAGTGCACTGGATGATAAAAGTTCGTGGAATTTCCAAAAATATATTCGTAACTTACAGAAAATCCGACGAAAATAGAGAGTTTTCGAGTCATATGAGATATTATTATGTTGCTACATAGTTTATTTGTGTACAAGAAAACTAAGTGTGTGTATTATTAGTGAATCATAATATGAAATTTGGTGAATTTACATTTTCACTATCAAACACAATGAATGAATCAGCATCCAAGCAAAGCAAAGCAGGCAAGGCATTAAGCTTTCGTTTGATTTCCTTGTGACAATTTTCTTATCAAGGCTGTAATATTCATCAGAATTATAAATAAATGAATGAATGGATATATTGCATTAAATTGAATTATCGCAATTTATGTTCAGAATAAAGAGAGAGAGTGAGATTACAGCTTATTCGGGACATAGCTGATAAACTTGAAAAATAAATAGAGAATTAGTATTGTAATCGATGAGTCATATCATGGGTAATACTAATTGATGATAAAGGCATTAAAGAATTGCGTACATTGACATTATTCATCCGTCTGTGCTTCTGTTACTGCTTTAATGACAAGTTCAAGAATATTTCCATTATTAGCTTCCAGTGTTGTTGCCTTAGTTAATTTTAATTGCTACCTGTTCTATTAGTATTCATGGTCAAAAGTTATTAAAACTGGTTTGCTGAATAAATTTAAAGTGATTTAATAACTTTTATTAAGATCCAAAAAAGAATTTGTAGCCAACACTGGAAGCTACTAGTTTCCTACGAAAAAAATGACGGCGTAAATTAAGCATCATCATAACTTTACACTCATAGCTTCTTATTCATTCACACACTATTCATTTCTCTCATTCTCTATATTAAATAACATAATATGTGTCGCATGTAAATTGTCTTCTTTGTTTACGTTTTACTCACTCGACCATCGCATTAATATTACTTATTTTGCCGTAGTTGTAACAATAGAAATGCTATAAAAAAGTGAAAAAGCAACAGTCGAGTGCACGATGATGATATAGTTATATGCTTAGTGTTGGTGTGTATAACATCAGGTTGTTCATTAATCACTATTTCATTATTGTTAAAGAACTGGCATGCATGCATTATAATTTCCGGTAAATTTGTGGCAAGTCCTTTTGACTTTATATTGTCTTCCGTGTGAAACCTTTCAACTTTGACTGCCTTTGACTTATTAAAAATAAAAAAAATAGTCATCTTGTCATGCTGGCATTGCGATTATTATCATGCTTAAATTGTTGCAAATCATGCAATCGACTCGGATTTCTCTCAACTTTTTGTGTACACGAAAATTTTGACACACAAAATAAAAAGAAAGTGACGAAATTATTAATAATCCAATTAAAAATTGTTCAGTAAATAGCGAAGCAAATGCTCGACGAATACAGATGGTCGAGAGCTGCTTTGGTAGCTCAGGAGAACAGCTGCTTATACCAGGTCGTGTTTTAGTAGGCGAAGGAGTACTGACAAAAATGTGCCGTAAACGACCTAAACCTCGTCAATTCTTTCTTTTTAATGACATACTGGTGTATGGAAATATCGTGATTGGAAAAAAGAAATATAATAAGCAACATATAATCCCTCTCGAAGAAGTTCAATTACAAGGCCTCGAAGACACACCACGTGCGTTTATATAAAGTTATTCTAAACTAATTTCATTATCAATAATTGCCTATTCACACGTTTCTAGACACACGAAATGGATGGTTAATACGGACGACGGCTAAATCTTTTGCAGTTTATGCAGCAACAAGTACAGAAAAACAAGAATGGATGGCTCATATTAATAAATGCATAGAAGATTTACTCCGTAAAAGTAAGATCTTATCGTACATTTTTCGGCCTTTATCATTATCTTATCTGTTGACGTTTATACTTTAAGGTGGTAAGAAACGCTCAGATCAACATGCTGCTGTTTGGGTACCCGATAGCGAAGCTAATGTTTGTATGTGTTGTAAAAAAACGCAATTCACAATGATCATACGACGTCATCATTGCAGGTATTTTGTTTTTATTGGCACATCACATGTGTATTTAATGACTTGCTGCTGCTGCTCACATGCCAAACCATAAATTTTCAGCGCATTCCGACCGTTATAATATTTGAGTTTTGAAAATTTTTGAACTTTGATTGGCAGGTTATATTCAAATATTTTTTGGCAGTTATTTTTTTAAATATTTTATGACAGTTATTTATTTGAAAAAAAATATTGTGAGATGTGCGCTATTATTGGTTTTTGCTGACATGTTATTTCTCTAATAATCTGATAGAAACTGCGGAGCAGTGGTGTGTGGTCCATGTTCGCCAAAAAAGTTCTTATTACCGTCCTCAACGAAACCACAACGCGTGTGTTTGGACTGTTATGATGCTCTTAGCTCAATCAATAATCAACAAGTATGTGACTTGAAATTATAAATGACTAATAACTCATTTTAATGGAATTCCCGCCATATTTTTTAGAATAAAACAAATGCAAATTCTTCTGCCCAAATGAAAGCTACAAACTCAGCAGATGACTCAGATGGATCGGACGGCGATGAAGAGGAACAAGACGCAAACAAAACACATGATGAGGTGAGTCGACTAATATGTCGCTTATTCACATGTCTATTCACAAAATGATTTTAATATATAAAATGCATATTTCACTGGTGCTAATCTGACATACTGAAAAACATTTCTAGTCTTTTATAAACAAAATTCTTATATTAACTTGCCTACTTGCTAGTCTATTGTTTTCATATTTAGATGATTTAAAACTTTTTTCACATACTTTCACAAATGTGTCTTACTATAATTCTTTAAAAAAACATTACTACATTCCTATCATCTAACCATATCAATAGCTTTAAATATAGTTCATTAATGTATCACAACAAAAAATCTACTAAAAAGGAATAATGTTCTACAAAAAAAATCTTTCTTTTTATATCTTTCTTGCACATGATAATCACGTAATGTTAATAAAATGCAGGGCTTTCGAAACCATTGCAATCAAACGGTGTGTGTATGATAGGGATAAAACTTAATAGAGAGAGATTAAGCAATAATGTCTATGTACTCAGTAAGTCGTTTTTTCAATGAAACTCTGACTTTAGTGTTTTATTTGCCGTCTTATGCTTGATAACATTTTTTACACTTACTTCGTTGTTATTTTTGTTCCTTCTGATTTTTATTTCTTACATTAATTTTGCACGAAGGTCAGTTCATGCTCTGTTTTTGCTATAATTCTTTTTTCGGTAGCCACTTTAATATCTGCTTTTGATTGTTCGTGAAGTGCTTTATTTTTTTATTAATCAGAGATTTGTCAATTCAGAGTTGTTCGGGATACTGTTTAAAATTGATTTTAACGGATTTTTAAATTTTGAAATTTTAACGTTTATTTTATATTCAAAAGGAAGTTCAATTTTTGAACTTCTTTGTAACGATTTCTGAAAATTTAAAAAGATATATTTTGAATTTCAAGCGACGCTTTTAAAAGTTCAAATTTTGAATTTTAAATTTCCGTTAGAATACATTATCTTTTGGAAAACAAAAAAGATCCTTAGGGGCCGTTCACTTATTACGTTACGCAAAAAAACTTTTTTCACCCCCCCTTCCCCCTTGTTACAATATGTTACAACTCACAACCCCCCCCCCCCCCCCTGAACGTTCATAATTTTATTTTATTTCTTTTAAATCTAAAAGACGGTTAAATTTCTTTTGTGTTTTTTTTTTTCTTAAACATCAAAATACTGTACAGCTAGTCAATAGGTCATGTTTTGATTGATACTATTAGTATTCTCATGAATTATTGGATTAAGATATAAAGCAAAAATTTGTTTTTTTTTTGAAGAAAATTCAAAAATGTCATGAAAAATATTATGCCCCATCGAATTTTGGAAAATTCAATCAACTTTGATATAAATATCACATTGATGGGATCATATTAATCATCATATGAATGACAGATTTAGAGAGATTTACTTTTATGATTGATTTAATTTTGAAAATTTCCAAAAATTATGATTGTATTTTAAAGTCTTGTAAACCAGTTTTCTATTGATTTGTTACTTTATATAACAAAAACTATGTATTGCTTAGCTATCAAAAGTGATCTGGACATTCATAAATCATTAAAAAGTTGAAAAATGTAAAAATATGTTTTTGGTGTAAATTTGTAAACAAATTTTTTTCGTGAACTTTTTTTTCTTGACCCCCCCCCCCCTATGTTACATTTTTCAACCCCCCTCCCCCCCTCCCCCCTAAAATGCGAACGTAATAAGTGAACGGCCCGTTAAACAACTGCGAATCCACACAAAATTATGTCGCAGCACAACGTTTGCCTGTTTTTATTACATTTGAAAACATTTCATATTCTTTATTTACAATAAAAAATTCTTAATAATTTATAAATCATTGTGAAACATTTTCAGCCCAAATTTTATGGAGATGCAACAGAAAAAACTTCATCTGATGAAAAATAGAAGAATAAAAAAAAATTATTAATACGTTGACCAAGAAATGCTATCCACGTTTTTGATACACATGGAAGTAAATCTCTTTTTCGTTACTCGTGGTGGAAATCATATTATGAATACTTTTATTTCTTTTTGTTTTGTACATCAGCAGCGCAGAATAAAAGAAAAAAAGATATATTTTTTTTCTTCTGTAAAATTTATGTTAGTGAATTATAATTAAGATTTAAACAAACTGATATTTTCAATTTCCTTTTATTTTTTAATTTGATGAATAAAAAAACAAATATTTTACTATTTCTCTACAGTATGAAACTTGAAAATAAAAACCCCCCTCAAAATCACACTTTTGCACTTTTTCACAAAATTTCACTTTCTCATAATATTCTCTGCCTCCTTTTTTTATAAAATATTATAATGTTAAGACAGGAGATAAATTTATTAATTGTAACAAAACTCTTGAATAAAATCATATGGTATTAAATATCATTAAAATTCTGTATTTTTCATATTTTATTAATTTTTGATGTTTTGGTTATTGACGATGAAGATGGTCGAAAAATGAGTTATTCTAATTTGTTTCAGATTCTAATCAAGCTTTAGTTCTTTGCAGCGAACATCGTCTAATCTAATTAAAGCTTTTTGAAAGCTTTTTTTCCCTTAAAAGCTCCTTTTAGCTAACCTTTAAATAAGCAATTGTAAATACGGAAATGAATATTGCTTCCAAGGTTTGCTAAAGCCTAAAGGTCTATAAATGAGAGAGATGATTTAAAATAGCCTACTATGATCAAAACAAAAATGCTTTAAATTGCATTTTAAAACATAAGGCAATTTATATGATAAAGAATGCTAATATAGATATAAAATCGATATTTTTTTGAAAATAGCCTACTATGATCGAAACCAAAAATGCTTTAAATTGCATTTTAAAACATATCTAGGTTTTATAAATGATAAAGAATGCTAATATAGATATAAAATCGATATTTTTTTTTAAAATAGCCTACTATGATCGAAACCAAAAATGCTTTAAATTGCATTTTAAAACATATCTAGGTATTATAAATGATAAAGAATGCTTAAATAGATATAAAATCGATATTTTTTTTGAAATAGGCTTCTATGATCGAAATCAAAAATGCTTTAAATTGCATTTTAAAACATATCTAGGTTTTATAAATGATAAAGAATGCTAATATAGATATAAAATCGATATTTTTTTTGAAAATAGTCTACTATGATCGAAACCAAAAATGCTTTAAATTGCATTTTAAAACATATCTAGGTATTTTAAATGATGATATTGCATTTTAAAACATAAGGCAATTTATATGATAAAGAATGCTAATATAGATAAAAAATCGATATTTTTTTTGAAAACAGCCTACTAATATAGATATAAAATCGATATTTTTTTTGAAAATAGCCTTCTATGATCGAAACCAAAAATGCTTTAAATTGCATTTCAAAACATATCTAGGTATTATAAATGATAAAGAATGCTAATATAGATATAAAATCGATATTTTTTTTGAAAACAGCCTACTAATATAGATATAAAATCGATATTTTTTTTTGAAAATAGCCTTCTATGATCGAAACCAAAAATGCTTTAAATTGCATTTTAAAGCATATCTAGGTATTATAAATGATAAAGAATGCTAATATAGATATAAAATCGATATTTTTTTTTGAAAATAGCCTACTATGATTGAAAACCAAAAATGCTTTAAATTGCATTTTAAAACATAAGGCAATTTATATGATAAAGAATGCTAATATAGATATAAAATCGATATTTTTTTTGAAAACAGCCTACTAATATAGATATAAAATCGATATTTTTTTTGAAAATAGCCTTCTATGATCGAAACCAAAAATGCTTTAAATTGCATTTCAAAACATATCTAGGTATTATAAATGATAAAAAATGCTAATATAGATATAAAATCGATATTTTTTTTGAAAATAGCCTTCTATGATCGAAACCAAAAATGCTTTAAATTGCATTTCAAAACATATCTAGGTATTATAAATGATAAAAAATGCTAATATAGATATAAAATCGATATTTTTTTTAAATAGCCTACTATGATTAGGGGTTCTAAATTCGGGAATATTCCCGGGAACGGGAATCTGTCTGTTGTTAATGCAATCAGTTTTTTAAAATCGTACTTTAAGAATTGTTCTAAAACCAAAAAGAATTGAAGTTTTAAACGGAAATTATTGTCAAAAGAATCAATTTGACAATCGAATCAAATAGAATTTAAATTTAATTTAAAAACCCAAATAAAATACATGGTGTAAGTGTAGCTTTTAACTTTTTTTCTTTGTTGATTCCCTGGAATATTTCCGTTCCCGGACATCATTCCCGTTCCCGTTGCTGATTCCCGAAATCTTACGGGAACTGGAATTTTGGAACCCCTACCAAAAAGTTTCTAAATCTTCAGTTGTCCTTTATTAAAAATCTTCATAGCTGCTTTTTTAACCCTTTTTGTTTCTACGACTTTTTAGCATCATTTAAATGTTTCAAAACAATTTTTAATGCGAAGTCTAGTCACACATGGCTCTACAGATGCTACGAAAAATATGAAAATACATAAATATAAAAGGTACATATGCTGAAAGTGACATGAATTCTACCTGAAAATAAATTAAAAAGCTCTTCAAAAACAATTAAAACAAAAACATTTTCAAAACTGATACGTTCAATTCATGTTCGACAGACTTATCGAAAGTCTAGGGGTGTTTTAATATGCACGTTCGAAAAATTTAAATTTGAAAAACCGTTACAATTTTTTGTTATTTTATTCAAGTTTTTGATAGTTTTGAAAACAGATTTACCTATATTATGCTTATTATCAAATGATAAAATAATATATTCATCAAAAATTCGTGAAAAAATTGCTTAATTTAAGTTTTTATTTTTTCCTAATTTTCGAAAATTTGGAATTGCAGGGTATGAAACTTCGAATTTTGCATCGCAGACAGACAAATAAGACATTTTTGCAAGTGTTGTTGGAAACTGTAACGGTCGAAACTCTTGAATTGTTCGTATCAGTTTCAAAACAATTGACAAGTTTTACGGCTAAAATGTTGCATTCATATTTATGCATTTATGCCTATCAACTCAATTTACACATTAAATTATTTGTTTTTTTTTTTTATATTTTTGTGAATCTTTTATTTCGTTTCAAGTTCCTCTCTACGAGAAGAAAAAAATAACATAAAAACTATAGCATAAGAACTTTTTCAGAATTCCATTCATTAAATAGAGTTAAAAAAAATTATTAAACGATTTTCTAATTTTATTAAATATTTTATTCTTTAAACTTTTCGTTTTGTTTCTATGCACTTCTAATAAATGGAATTAACAAATTATATGGCAAAATGGACAAGTTTCAATTTTTTTAAATATTTTTTCTCTATAAGCTCTTCAAATGTTTCTGTATTATCTCGAGTTAGGCTTAATCTATTTTAGTTTGTAGCAATTCCTCTGGTAATTTATGTCTAAGTTGTCCACCAACTAGAGGATCTGTTTGAGCGACTTTAGTTTTGAGGGATCACAAAAATGATTAAAATTTGGATGGATTTGGATTTATTTATTTTTATACATAATTCAACACCCCTCCTCCACTTTGATTAAGCTATTTATGAATCTTGTACTGATTTCTAGTGAAGTTCAAAAAATCATGTCAGTGCTGAAAAGAGGGAGGGTGGGGGGGATGGGGGGAGGGGTGCGATGGAAATTGTTTTCTTTAGAATTTTTGTGACAGAGGGGGAGGGGGTCTAAAAATCAGGTTTTTTGATGGACGTCATAAGTGAACGACCCCTTACGAAGTTCGATTTTGAAGTAATCTGAGATTTTAAAACGGATCAAACATTACTTAAAGAATGAGGGAGGCTGAAAGGAATATATTATGTTTTTGATCATCACTTTTGCATTATTTGCTTTTGTTTATCAATAATCGATAGCTCCTCATCATGTATAAATCCAATATTAGTTGGTGGTTGATGGAAAAGAAAAATCAATAAGTTTCACTTCATAATAATCATCCTATAACATCAATGTACTCTACTTATCCTTTTTCTGAGATATTAAATTCTATGATTCTCGTTACTGTAATTGTCATTTAATCCTAACAATGAGATATCATTTTTATTACCATCATTCATAAATTTTTAATTTGGAAGATTTCTTTATTGTTGAAGAAGAACTAACAAGTATTTGGTTTCCGGAAATATAATTAAGTTTTTCTTTCTTTATCATTACAAGTTTGTCAACAACTTTAGACGTGGAATACGACGTGAAGTTTGGCATTAATATTTAATGCCTTTTGGGTATTTTTTTTCTGTTGTGTTTATTTGGCTTTTCTTTCTTATTATTGCTTCAAATATGACCAAAAACACATAAGAATGTATTTCTATATTCAGTTCAATTTCTTAGTGTAATGGATTAAATTCAGCTTTAAAATTTTGGGATTTAAAGATCAAGCTTAAAGCTTGATTTTTGTTGACATTAAGTTTGAAATGTTACATTCTTGGGATATTTTTTGTATTTTATTGCTGAATATTAAAGGCTATTATGTGGATTATTGGGTTTATTTATGTTATTGCTTCTTGTTTATCATTGATTCAAAAGTTTCTTACTTTCGAGACAATCATTATAAAAGCTCAAATCTTAGGCTTCAAAGTTCAAAACCTACAAAATGTTTTTCAAATCAAAATCTCAAAATTCAAAAGCTCAACATTTGAAAAAAATCTTAAATCTTAAAATATAAGTTAAAGTCGCACAAAAAAACTTTATTTTTTATAAATATTTTCAAACTGTTCCAAACTCTCGCAACTCCTGTCATTAATCCAATTTTAGAGCTGAATTTAACCCATTAATAATTATCAAAAAATGGAATTTTGCTTCTACAATTACGTTCGAGAGAAAAAGAAAAGGTTTAATTAATGAGAACTTTTTTTACAGCAATCTACACCTAATTGAACAACATCAACAACAACGAATCTATTTAATCTAATTTCTCTTCCTTCCTTCATTTCGCTACGAATAATTTTCAATTAATTAAAGAAGTAAATAGTATTTCGAATCGTTAGGAATATTGGTATAGAATAGTGTTTTAAGGCATAAGGATGTGATTTGATGAAGGCTACAGTATGGGAAGAAATTGTTCTACATAAAGCTACATATTTAACTATCTATGCTAAATTATGTATGATTATGTTGTGGACTCGATTGGTGATAAATTTTTATAATTCTTTTCTATTTTTCTAAAGATTAAAGGCTTCTTTTTATAAGGAGTGGTTGAAAGTTTTTCTCATTAAGATAATTTTTTTGTCCTTAATTGATTATTCATTTATTTACAACAATTTTGTATTTTTATCGATTTACTAATCGAGTTTGAATCAAAATATTAATTAACAAATCATAGAATTTTTCTTCTTATTAATAGAAATTTAATAAAAATCGATTATTTTCAAGGTTCGAGTGCTTTGGAGAACTTTGGCGTTTTGTTTTTGATGAAAAGTTCTTTTTGAAGGTTAGATTCTAAACCTTTGATTTTGAAGAAAACAAGAGTTTTAGAATTGATGAATTTCATAATTTGATAAAGCTTTAGGTCGGAGAATCTTTTATTCTGATTGATTGGGTAGAAATCTACTGTCCTTAGTATAACTTCGACGCTGTCTAAGATGCATAACTGATAAACTGAATATTGATCAATTCTGAATCGCTTTCTAATCGGTTACCTTCATCAATGTACCAACGAATCATCTCAACTTACAATTCAGATTAAAAGTTGTTGGTTATGGTAATCAGAATGCATATTTATTCATAAGTTTAATTAAAGATTTCTCACGGATTTCATTTAATAAGACAGATGTTTATTCTTTAAAGTTCAAAAACAGACTATATATTTCTATAAAGGGGCTAGCAAGTTTATAATGAGAGAACAACTAAACATAGTTGCAAATATAATTTAAACATTAAACGACAATTGATATATTCTCAACAAAGGAAAACGAAAGATAATGTTGAGCATGAAGAAAAGTTAAAGGAATTTGAGACTGAAAAACTTTCTTAATCTTCAACCTAAAACAAAACAATTTTTTGATCCAAAACTTTTTTTCATCTTAAAGGATAAAATGTTTCTCAACTCTTTGAAAAAGCACAGCTTTAATCCATTCAGCAATTTAGGAAATGTCTCATTTAAAATCTCTACATTTCTATTCAAATAAAATTTTTATGTCTATATTTGATTTTTATATTGTCAATCAAACTTATTCAAATGTCTTTTTATCTACCTACTCATATCCATTCACGATGTGCAAGCCTAACAGTAATTGAAATGAAAAAGCTCATTCACATTCAGTGATGAAGTCAGCTTTCGGAAATATTTTCATCAATTGACAAATAAGGTAAATTTGAAAAGACATTTCAAATCTGTCAGAAAACCTGCTGTGTACGAGAAAAATGCTTGAAGCTACCTTAAAGCAAAGGTATAGAAGCAATATTTCATCCTTAATGGAAAAATTCTTTATAACTGAGTATTTTATAGTCGGATTATTAAAGACAGCTAGTAAGTCTCTTATGAAACTCATATCCACTCCTGCGTGTAACTTCAAAGCACTGTAAAATGATATTCTCAACCGTGCAAGCTCTTCCATCAAATTAATGTCAAACTTTTCCAAAGCAGTCGTTCCTTGATAATTCTTTTTATATCCATCACTCTTAATTTATCATAAAGCTTATGAAAAATATTTAAGAATCAATTAAGTCAAATTTTTTTTGTGCCATTTGAAATGAGGTCACTAGTTTTCAGCAAATTGGTAATCAAGCAAATCCATCATTAAATTCGACATTAACAAAGAAAATCTTAAAATTGTCTATAAAAACATTAGGAAAAAGTTATCACAAGATGAAGAAAAAGTTTTTACAGCATTATTATTCTTATCCATTTCAAAAAATTAGTTCCACTTGAACTGTTTTGCAATTCATGAGCATTTTTTTTATTTCATATTTTGCTTTTTGCTACCAAGCAATAGAAAAAAGTCGGTAGCAGTGAAAGTTTTTAAAGCTTTTGGGAGGTAAAAACAAAAAACCAATGGAATTTAAAATGAAATGTAAATGTGGGAAACAAATCCCATTTGGGATTACTCGAGCGCTTTTGCTGGGTCAATGCTTTTTACATTGGAAAAAAACTGCTTTTATATGCAAATTGGGAAGTAAGGAATTTCAACGGTTTTTTTTTGAACTTTCAATTATTTAACTGAGAATTTTTTGTCCACCTCGAAAAGTTTTTTAAAGTTTTCGCTTTAATTAAGCAATCTTACAGTACAAAACCTACTTGGTGCCTTTTTATGATATGGCGCAAAAACATCTTGATATCATCCATTTCCTAAAACGCTCTATCTTTTGAGATATTGTGACATTAAAATTCTGTTCGTTTAAACCGTAGGAACAAGTCTTTTATTAATGCAAAAATGTTATTGGAATTTTTGATGAGGATAAAAAAATGTTTGATGACATTGCAAAAACGGAAATCCTTTAGCAAGCATTCGATCATATCTGGTCGTATTTAATTATCATGGTATATAAAGGTCTCATTTTTAACCCAAATTGTACATAAAAACTTTGTTATTTGTTAATCATTAAGTTAAAAATTTACAATTTTTGTAATTAAACTAAGAGCATTGAAGCTTGTCGTAAAAAAAGTTTTTAAGTCAACACTCTTCAGAACTTTTATATAGTCATAAAAGATCAGAAGAATACAAAAATCGCCATAAAAGGGACAATAACATGAAAAAATAATCTCAACTTGTAATTCCTGAGGAACATCCATTGCATTTTGATAAACTTCCGTTCTTAAAGAATAATTTCTATTATCTTTTCACGCAAAATTGATTTTCTTAGTGAATTAAATTATGTATGTACGCTAAAATAATTTATAAACTGAATATATATGTAGGTACACACACACAAAAAATCCCATGAGATTATTCTTTCCGTAAGATAAAGCATAAAGAATTTACGCACGCAATGATTGAAGATTGAAAGAAGTTGAAAATAACAGTACAACGATAAACGGATGAAATGATAAATTGATGGGGAAAAAATATCGATCGTCTTGTCATTTTTACTCTACTCATTTCTCGTTCTCATTCTTTGGTTTTGAATCATCCTTACTCTTCTTATCATCCTCGCTTGGAGCTTCTTTAGTATCCTCCTCCTCTTTGTTCTTCATAAATATGAGAGGAATCATTCCTAAAAGACATCCTACTACAATTCCAAACACACGACCCTGTTGTGTTGTGGAAAAAATGATAGACAAAGAAGAAGAATTTATTACAAATTTCATTATCATAAATTTGAAAATACCTCTCAATCTTAATAAAATTCACTAGGCAAGAATTTTAATATTATTTAAAGTATATTTTTAGAGAAAATTTGAAGCTATTGTGGGCAGAAAAGGTTTAGAAAAATTGAAAATCTTCTTTTATAATATTTTGTTTACTTTAATAGCTTTTACCTTTGTAATGATCAAAGTTTATGCTATTATATGCTTACAGAAGGATGCTTTGTGATGGAATAAATCATGTTTGGGATTTCATTGTAAATTCCATTTTGAAATTGTTTATTTTTTAAAATTTGAACTTAAAGTTCAAAATTTGAACTGGAAAAACTAGGCTCCAAATTTGTACCTTTTGGTGTGGTTCAAAATTCGAAATTCTAGTTGAGATTCAAAATTTAAACTAGGAAAATCTAGATTCAAAATTTGAACTTTATGTTGAGGTTCAAATTTTGAATTTAGAGTTGAGGTTTAAAATTTGAACTAAGAGTTAAGGTACAGAATTTGAACAATAGTTGAGGTTCAAAATTTCAACCAAGTTTCAGAATATTTTTGAACTTTTTCATTTGAAATTGTAAACTTTTCCATTTCTAAACTAATTTTAACTGGAACAAAAAGTTTTAAAACTGTTCACAGTTCATGCAATCAAAGCTTCTATTGTTTGTTCCATCTGTATTTTTTTTTTCATCGAAATGCCAATTCCACAATTTTATTACATTGGAATATTCTGTCGATTCTTGATTTTATGTATACACTGATAAACACTTGCCAAAAGTTCAATCGAGAGGCATTTCCATAAATTTAAATATAAAAAAATATAAAATATCTTACAAAATTTGATGCTCGTCTTGCCGATTTCATTTCCATTTGTATAGGCGTCAAGTCAGGAGGCCTGATTCCAATAACTTCAACAATTCTTTCTACATATACAGCTGATCCAATTCCTAATACATCGCTAATTGTGTTACCGAGAGCTGCAGCAGCCATCGTTGATATTGTCATGACTGTACCAACGCTATACTCAATATAATCACCCGCAATAATCATTGTGAAATTATCCAAGAATCCAAATCCAACGAACGGAAGTGAATTTATGAGACATACTAATGAAAATGAGAATTTTAATAAAATATTTTTCATGACTTGCGGTTATTAAAAGGCTTACATTTGAGTAAATCATTTGCTTTTGGTTTTGGCGTAGCAGCGACTATATAGTTGATGTGCGAAAAAGAGGAAATAGAAGAAGTAATAAATTTCATATAAATTTCTAACAATTTTCCTTAATTTTCAGACAGTATGTTACTCAGCTATAGCTACTTTTTTATGATAACACATGCGATATAAATATATGAACACTTACGACGATCAATAATGCCAGAATACATACACACACACATAAGTACATAACATTGAATTAAGTTCTAGATAATATGATGCAAATGGAAATTGAGAAACGTGAGGACTTTACAATAATTTAATCAGTCTTTTCATTCAAAAATTATAATTTTAGTATGTTCACAGTAAAATGAAATTAGAAGCTTAAGAAAATCTTCTGAATAATTTATAAACATTTCCTTTTTTCTGCTCGGGAATATCATATCTCGAAGGGGATAACAACATGATGGGAAAACGTTTTGATGAATAATTCCAATAAAAATGATTTAAAATAATTAAAAATGATTAAATCAATTTATCAGTTCCGCACTCTTGTAATTTTTGTTTATTTTATTACAAGATTGAAAATTTCCATTTATGGCAGGAAACTTGGTCCAGTTTCTATGTCTACCCGGGGGCAAAAAATGATTTAGATGCACTTTTATAAGATATAAATAAAGTTAAACTAAGGCTGAGGTAGGATGCCCCGTGGAGCCCTAAAAACCAAACCTAGATGTAACTTGATAATCAAAACCTTTTCCCATCATGTTGTTTCCCCCTTCGAGATCTCCAATTCTGTCACTCACACAAAACGTTCTTACTCAATTTTTATGATATCAACATTGTCCTTAAGACTCATCTGTGACATCTTTGAGTAATTAAATTTGTTCTTGTTCTGGTTTTTGACAAAAAAAAAAGTTGGAACATTTTAATTAAATTACATAAATCGTCCAGAACAAACGATTTAGCAATTTTTTCTGATGTTAATCGCTTAATACAGATGTAAGTGTGAGACATAAATTAAGAAGCATAGAATATTAGGGTTTCAAATTGTTACCACATTTGTTCGGGAAACTTGAATGGTTGAGCTTTGTGTAAATGAAGTTTGGCAGCTTCTTTTGAGTTATCTTTTTAGAGCCTACTGTTGAGTTTGTCGAATATTTTGGGTATGAGTAAAAGATAATTTAATTAAATTAAAAATAGAAATAGGAGGAGATTAATTTTGGCACCAAAATTGACTACTGAAGGTTTAGGAATTTCTCATAAAGCTATGGCAATGTTAGAAGTTGGGAATCAACTAAAACTTCAAAAAATCATCAATCTTTAAACAGAAAATTGATAAATACCTAAACTTGAAGCATCAAAATCACAAAAAATGCCAAATTAAGTGCAAACAAAAAAGTTTTGAAGCTTAACATTCATCTGTCTGTAAATAATCAGATAACATTGAAAAATATAAAAAACAATTCTTGATAAAACCTAAAGAACAAAAGGCATCAGATGATAAGCAATTGTGGCAGCTTAGGGAAAAATATTCAAGCACTACTTGAAATTCAAGAACTCTTAAAAATTAAAGTCACATTGATTACGCCTATCTAGCAAATCTTCTGGAATTAAATATGCAGAGGCTGGTAAAGGTTTGTTGTAGATTATGCTTGATGAAACTTGATGGTTTTGAAAAGCAAATTAATGGTTCAATTAATCCCACGATGGTTTTTAAAATGGTTATGTATTTTTAAATTATCCTTTTGTACTTTTGTGGATTATTTAACATTTATCTAGGACTGTCTGGGGTGTTATGATGGAATTGTATCTTTTATTGATTAACAGATTAATATCTGCTATTCAACATGTCATCAACATTCGTGCTTTGAAGGAATTCACCGGAACAGCACATAAAAGGCAAAGTGAAGATAATTTTTTTATAAATTCACTAAAGTATTGTAGAGAAAATGCTCAAAACATCCTTAATATTTTTTTGGTCATTAAGGTTTCGACTAAAGGCTTGAATTAGCATTTTATTTAACGACCTTTGCTACAATAAATTATTGCTTAGCAAGAGAAATAGAAAATGTGTAACTTATTTGGCTATTTAGTCGTGTAACCCCCTAAAGCTCTGTCAAGTATCACTTGAGGTCTTGCTTCGTTTTTTAGGATAACCCAGAGCAAGTCTAATATCCATTAAACTTTGTACTATATTGGAGTACATGAAATTTCATTCTGGCACTCTGAGAGTCCTTAAAATCTTAACCTAATAGTTCAAATTTTTATTCTGGACATCTAATATAAAACTGAAAAAACCCCAAATCAGAACTCATCTAAAATCTCTGCATGTCAAGTCTCATAAAATAATCTACACCTCCCTTAACCCCAAAGGATCACACAAAAATCTCACATGAATCAATTTCATTCCACAAAACACTAATTTGTCAGCCCCAGACAGCTCATTTATTAAGAAAAATGCGCCACAATCAGTCACACACAATTTGTTAAAGGCAATAGACAGACCGGAATATGAAGAAGGATATGAAAATAAAAATGAAATTACGAAATAATTACTTACACAACACACAAAAGGTTTTGTTGTGTGTTATGTTCTATTATTCAGCAGAACAGCAAAAGTTTTGTATGTCTCGAATATCAACAGCACATGATAAGGCATAATCATAAAGAACATTGAAAATGAAAATATTTTTCTCACTTCCGCCAAGAATCTCAATTCCCGATTGACGAAGAAGGCACAATATGTGTAGGAGCTGTATATTTACACAAAAAAAATGTAATATAAGATATGGATGATGTTATGGCGCGCAAGTGAGAAAATGTAAGAATGTAGGTTGGGGGGAAATGATTAATGCGAAGATTAATATAAAGTTTTGAGCTTTATAGAAGGAAAAAATAATTATTTTGCAGCAGGTCGGGAATGAATTCATCCCCGTGGGCATATAAAATGGTGTAAAAGCATTTACAATACAATTCCTGACTCAAACAATGTCGTGGAGTGAATATCGTGAATAAAGCACTTATTCCTCATTTCTATTCCCTCATTCAACAGTGCTGGATAGAAGAAAAAATGGAAATGAAATGAGCGCAACACTAAAACATGATATTTACGGTTGATGTGTTGAAAATAAGGAATGAAGCTTATTTTGCCTGTAAGCTTGATACAATTTCTTTTATGATACTTTCAGAGAACGTATGCAGGCAGTGAGGAATGAAGAAGTTAATTTTTCCCTGAAGTATTGTATGAAAACATATATGTGTGCTATTAAATAATGTTATAAAAAATTAAGTCAAAGTTCTGGTCTGTGGACTATGTATAGTTACATCTAGAGTGTGCCAATGATAAGCTTTACTTTAGAATTATTTTAAAGGCTGTCGAGTTTCATTCAGCTGGGAGGAAATAACGGCTGCAAAAAGGTACAATGGCTGATTTTTTTATTTTTACAACCTTTGCTTATTTAAGCCAATTGAAACATAAATTGGAATGTAATCCCTTTTTTCATTGTTGTCTGTACGGAGGTTCATAAATATTTTTTTTTGTGGAAATTAAGTATTAAATTCTAATAAAGTTTCAGCATTTTGGATTTTCAGATATTGGTTCTTTTTTGTAGGTATTACAGAAAGAGATTTTCAGCAGTGCTTGCCAAAAATTCACATTCCTTGAAAATTCCATATTTACGTTTTATAATATTTGCATCAAGATTTACACCGAATTATGCAAATTTATCTTTTTATATCATTTTTTAATATTAAAGTGCAGATTAAAATCAGACACATTAATTAAAATCTCTATATGACACATGATCTAAGAGAGCTCGACAGTAATCCAAAGCGTAATATATTTTTGCGGTTTTTGATGAATTTGCTTCAAGGTCATTAAGATGCAATACATCTCCGTCTATGTTTTGTTTTACAAATAATTATAAATAGCTTTTTAGCTTCAATTAGGTAATTTTTATGGAAATTAAGATTTTATCATTTTCATCCGTACTGAATGAGTCACAGCTACAGTAATGAAATATTAATCGATACTGATGTTGAAAGTCATTAAAAGTAAGAAAAAAGCTTTTACTTTAAGCTTGCAATATAACGAGGTGAGGGTGAGCTATGTGACAGAGAAGTAGAAAAATTTAATTATTTTCATCGGTGGCATAGCCAAGAATTGATTTTTCATCTAATTAACCCTTTGCATCGAAAATGTTGCAAATTAACACATTATAAGGTGAGTTTTTCTTATTATTCCTACATCCTGCTCTACCCCTTTACCTACCCCTTTTCCTACCCCTTTACCTACCCCTTTTCCTACCCCTTTACCTACCCCTTAATATTTCTTATTGAAGGGGGTAGATATATAGCAGGAAACTCAACCAATGCACTCTATCTGGTTTACAGTTTTCGCAATTCCACAAGAACTTCACATCAGCTACCATGGCAAGCTCATAAGAAAGAGACTTAAAAGCTTCGCATGATAAATGTCTTTAAACCAAGAAACTTCTGTCACGCAAAAGAACTTTTAAAGCAGTCCTTACAAAAATCAATGTCGAATTTTCCATTGGCACACTTAAAGGCAACACAAATGATAACATAAACCATAACAAAATGTACTTATATGTATCATAATAATAAACATGTTAAATAATAATGTTAAAATAAATTATGAAAATAAAGAAATAAAAATAAATTAACTCATCATACCGATTTTCTTTTGAAGCCAATCTTCAGGCATTTTACAATATGCACCACCCACAACTTCGCCGAGTGTTTCAATCTTTGTGGGTCGACCAAAGCGTGAGCGCCATGTGTTTCCAGCTAGCTGAGCTATGAGGTAAGTCACAGGCGTGTGAGTGTGTTTTATTTCAAAGATTTGCAGCAACAAACATATTTTGTAGTACGCAAGTTGAGAGATTATGTGTGAGTAAGTAAGAAAAAATCATAATTAAATCATTTCATTGTTAAATCTAAATTCAAGCTTAAATTAAAAATAGAATTGCTAAAAAATAATAAAAAAAATAAAAGTTTGTTTACACTTCTTTCTATTGTAAGGTAATATTCAGCTATTGGAGACTGATATTCTTTGAATTCGTAGAGTAATGGAAGCTAATAAGGATAATTTATGACAAACACCCCCAAAAAAGGAACACAAATATGCTTAGGGGCCGTTCACTTATGACGTCCAGGGGGGGGGGGGGGGTCAGCAAGAAAAGAACAATAGAAATTCCTGGAATTCCATTGTTCTTTTTTGAAAAATGACCGTTAATATCGGACGTCATAAGTGAACGATCCCTTATGGATTATCTTCAATAAATCAATCAGATCGCTTGTGATAATGTTGAGCAATAAATGTATATCCATTCAATATTAATAGTATCGATAGCAAAGCAATCTAAATTGTTGAGAGCTTTCGACCCTTTTCATAAGTCTAGACTCTATACACACAGCTACCCTTATCAATATCCTTTAGAGACCTAATTAACACTGCTTATTCAGGCATATTGTCATGCAATCTGTGTTCTCTTCTTGAGCGTTGTTTGTGGATCGACAAAAAAAAGTTGTGCTTGTTGTTTTTAATAACCACATTAATTAGGAGAAAAGGTTTTTGTGTACGAGAGTATTTATAAAGGACTAAAGGTAGATGCAGGAGAATGTGGTGTAGGGAAGACAAAATCTAATTAATTTTTGTGTTATTACAGCTATATAAAAATTTTGTGTACACACCGAATTAAAATATCAAGCAAAACAAAACAAGAAAAATTAATATTTGGAGAAAAAAAATCAGTCAATCGAAGAAATCAGACGAAGGATATCTTCGTGCATTTTTAATGAGGGATGACAAAGGATTCAAAAACATGGAAATAAATGGCAACTGGAGCAGGTAGGAGATTAGAAAAAGGTTGTAGTCAACTGTCATTTAAGGATGTTCATCAAATGATTGATGAGATGCCATTTTAAGGGTCATAAAGTATAAGTATTCGTACATATTTTTCATATTAAGACTTACACTCCAATTTCCTCTTATCTTCTTTTAACTGAAATTTTTCTAATTGTTCTAGTAACGTTGCCCTTTCCTCTTCATTAAGTCTGAACACTAAATCATGCGCCTGATCTTTCGTTAAGCTTCCAAGTGCTTGACTATAATAAACTTTTTGACTCAGTGGATTTATATTATTTTTGTAATGATGACTGTAAATTTTATTTTGTGACATATTAACTGAATAAGTTCTTCGACATAAAGTCACTATTTGCTTATTCGACTTATGAATTAGTGAACACAACTTTCTTGCACTCATTTTCGATATCTTATAACCGGCAACACACAATAGCAACTGACACGAAGCACACTGATAAACAGAAAATGGAAAAATCACGGAAAATTACAAAAAATAAAAATTTTCTCACTATACACAGAAAATAAATTTCTTGTTCACTGAACGGCTACTAAGGGGAGACTTGCTTAAGTGAAATTGGCTTTTCTGTAATGTTCAAGAAGGTTTTGAATTTACAGTTTATGTAAATTAATGTTTTTGTTTTTATATTGAATGAATTCTCTCAAAATTGTTCTGATTATTAAGAATGATTATTTTGGTTTTGATCAGCTTTTGAGGCAGATAGTTCCTTACATTTAAAATTGCTTAATTGCTTACTTTAATAAGTCTTTCATTCGGAATGTATTGTTCGGATCATATGACTCTTATCAGCTACAATCAATGGTCTATTTTATTAATATGTTCTTTTGATTAAGTGTCAGACTTAAAATGCTGAGACCTTTAATACTATTCTATTACCAAATTAGCAATTCTATTACTTACTCGCATAATCATAAATTTCAAAAATTGGAAATAAAAATCACTTAATATTGAAAGTCAACTAAAATAATCCACAAATCACAATTGACAATTCATTCCTTAAAGCCTTTAACTGTTACTCATGCATGAGGAATGCATTTCACAATAATCCAGATCAAAATTACCACAAGGATATCTTAAATAAATTTTAAATCGATCATAAAACTATCAAGTTTATTAAGTGTGAAGCTTATAGATTAATGGAAAATTGTATTAAAATTATTTTATTGCTGCCAATTACTCAACAATGAATTGCAATGCAGGGACGCGATATAGGTGCCATAGCTTCCATGCAGACAATTGATTTCTTAATTGAAGTAAGCGACAATAATTGTGTTATCAATATTTCATGTCGAAATTCACACCTAGTGATAAGAATAAATTGCTGATTAACAGTGCACTGGCTGCGATTTCAATAACTTAATAATAAACCCATGGTGTTACAATTCTGCAATAAGCTCAATAAATTATTCTTTAATATGAGTCCACAATATATTTTAAATGATTAAGTTGTCAGTACAATGAGAGTTTATGACATAAAACCGGAATCAATTGAAAGATTTTTATTAAGATAATGCGAATTATTGAGGAATTTAAATGCATTTAGATATATCATAAATAATTTATGAGCTGTACAAGATTAAAAAAACTTTATTTCACAGAAATAAATTATGCCGAATTTTTCAAAGTCAGCCACGTGAGAATGAGGACCGCTAAGTGGGTTGTTCATAAATGATGTCAATTAGCCTTAATCAATTAAGGAATCAGAATCAAGGTCGTATTTAGGAGGATATATTTCCCCAGATTCAGATTAAGGATGGTTAGGTTGTTAATAACCAACCATTTCCGAAATCAATTTGAACAAATAAAGCAACAAAAGGTATTCAGGTGGAGAGGAAATTATTTTGGATACCTCCTTGATCAGGATTCTCGTCGTTATTCAGAGGACATAATTACTGCCTAGCGATATAGCTATCATGGGTTGACGCTTTATTGTATCATATTAACTGGAAGCGAAGCTAGTCCTTAGTACCATGAATTTGAATAAGGAGAGGGGCTTAGCACTTTAAAACACGTTCCTGCTTAAGGAAGTATCATTAGTTTGGATTTTGCTATAGCCAGAAGTACCCGTCACTGAATCCAATGTTATTATATTTCCACCTCATTTAAACGAACGTCAAGCATCAGAATGGTTGGTATTTGGTTTCAGCAGAGCTTGAAAACAACAATTTCTGATGTCATGTCATTTAAGAACATCTCCTCCAAATTAATGACGTTTTTTTGGAAAGTCGAAGAAGCCATACAGCGTAACACATTCATTGATAAGTTCGTTGGACGATTTAGTCATCGTTTCCCTCCTTTCGCGCGCTTCCTTATGAATATTATTATACTTTATTGAGATATTACAATAATCGACTAAACGATCGGCACTTCTCGATTTTCTTAATTGAGCTCTCAATCGTATAATGAAAAAAAAGCATTGGTATTTGAATGAAAACAATTTTCAAGAAGTTTCAGTTTTATTTCAGCGACCGATGTGATCAGTCGCGAAAAATCACAATTTTTGCAGCTCTAAAATATTTTTTTTGTTGGTGACTTTTTTTTTGTGTGCATATCGAAAATAAATTTTCTTCCTTCACATGCAGCAGCATCGAATAACATAGAAAGTGAAAGATCTGATTAATAAATCATTATTACTGTTAATTATATTGTGTCAGAAAAGTGTCAAAGCAATGTTAAATCCCACGCCATTTGACCACGCGACTCGCAATTGTGAATGTGTGCTTGCAATTTGCAAGTTTGATAAATGCCAAACAAAATTGACGTTGTGTCACTCTGTTCCAAAAAAGTAAACATTATTAAGATAATTTATGGAGATAAAAAACAAATTGTCAAGTCACATTTTTGATTGGGATCAAAGCGATTTTGGAGATATCTTAGTTGTGATTGAGGCAGGGATTGTAAATTATTTTAATAGGCTTGATTTGAGGAATCCTAGTGTTGTTCTAAGTTTGATATCAAAATAATATTGACTTACTTTATTGTTTTAAACTTATGATTAATTGACTATTTTCAATTTTAATGAATAATCAATTCAGTATAGCTCATTAAAAGCCTGAGAAGTGTGAAGGATCTAATCAAATTAGCATAGTAATTAATAATAATCGGTCGTGTGCTGTAAAAATAAGAAAATATATTTTTCAAGAGATAGATTAGCAGATAATGTGTTGCGGGATATTCCGTTAATAAACTTGTTCTAGATTGATTTTAATCCTGTTAAAGATAAAAGACAGAAGTACTCGAGACTTCTTAAGATTAAATTATGAAGCAATTAAAATTGTTTAACATTTTACATAAAATAAATCATTAATCTGAGCTACGTATTGACAGAAAATATGGAAAATCGGCACAAGTTGAAACGTGTAACAAGTGGCTGCTGTTTAATTCTTAGTATTCTATCTACTTGGGAGTCGTTTGGACAACGTTATAATGTTTACTGAATGGATATTGTAGGATAATGAAATTGTTTGATTGCAATTTTGTTTAAGCAAATGTTAATAAGTTCCTGGTCAATAGAAACGATCGCTTTTTCAAATGAGAATGTCACAAATCTTTATTTTTAATCCTGAAAATCCTGGTTACACTATTGAATCTCACACTTTGTAAATAAACCTAGACCAAAGGCTAAGAAGTTCTAAGGAGCTTGCTACAGTTTCGCTTAATGCTAAGCGTGTAAACTTTTGTGCTATTGTCTTACTTTATTTGTCTAAACTCGTCTTCATTCCTGCATAATATTGTAGTTAAATGTGTTCAAACCAAACTTTATTTTGTTCAACATTTCAAAATTCGTGTGGTCTCCAAAACGTGGCATTTTTAAAAATTCTATCTTTCTAAATTTAAATACCGTATGATTTCATTCCTGAAATATGAATTCTCATCTGATTAATAATTGTTCAAAAACAGTTGATGTAGACCACAAATTGACGTTCTTAAACTTCTATCAAAACTTTCATGTTTAACAATTTTTCTTATAAAATTAATGGAACATTGCTTTGTATTTAAAATGTATCTTGAAGATTAGACATCATAGATGAATGACCCCTAAATTCTCTATCGCAAAAAAAAATTCAACCAAACATTTGCGGCCATAAGTTATATTGAGGTTGCAAATTACATCGTAAATTAAAGCAATTGTCTTTGAAATTGTGCCTGTTTATTAATTAAAAACCAATTCAAGATTTTATGTCTTTGAAAAGTTACTTCATAAAATTGACACTGAGACGATTACGATAAATCATATAGTTTATGAGCAAGCATGTAGCTATGTTGAAAATTATTATGTTTATGTAGTTTATTCACTTGGTCACGCGTCACATCTTATCGTCATCGAGATCATGAACAACATTTTCCTTCTATTATTAATAAAAGAACATTTTTCACGCCAATTAATCGATGCTACATCTCTCTTTTAAAATAGTTTAGTTTAGTTCTATTTTAATATAAAAAAGCCCGTGTCATAGCCAAAAACATTCTCTTTCATTAAACTGCCAAAAAAAAAAAATCAATAACAACGCTACCTATTCTATCTGTAAATAATATTATTGAAGATGTATATAGACGTGGGATGTTTTCTGCCTTGTTCTCAAGTATCGATGAATAATCGCTGTTGCACTTTCGGTAACAACCTTAATGGGACGTTTCTAAATGCCGTCCATGATAAAATTTTTTAAATCAAGTATTCAGCGTTCATTGAACAAAGGAAATTAGTTCAAATCTAGATAAAGTATTCAGCGTTCATTGAACAAACAAATTAGAACTACCAGAGCGAAACAGTCTCGTCCTCTCAATAAGTATGACATCATTTAAGAACGATCCCTTATGAGAATCTTTTGAAAAATTTAAATTTTTGATCGAAGGGAAAGTAAATATTTAGAATAGTGTAATATATGCCAGCCACGCTCTTAAAATTCCACAATCTACATCTTAAGTACCTCCTCTTTATACCCCCAATTATTCACATCTTGTGCATCTCATACTTAATAGTAAATAATTAAATTAAAAGTGTATTTTATAAAACACACCAGATGATCGCAAAAACACAGAATTTTCTGTTTGTTCAACAGTTGTTGTATGTAAAAAGGCTAAAGCTCACAGACTCTACTAATAATTAATTTGTTCAAATAATGAGAAAAAAAAATTGTATCGATACATGTGCATAAAGTCGCTTACATGAGTATATCATCCATGCTCGACTTCAATTGGGATTTATTTTTAAAATAAATATTAGTGTAAGTCATTGAATTCAGTTAAGTGCTCGTAAAGGAGCTGAGCGCAGCATATGTTGTCATATAAAACTGAAAGAACTTGTTTTGCGAGAAATCTTGAAACGGAAATTTAAAATTTGAATTTTTAAAAATTTCAAAACAATTCAACAACAATTGACTCTACAAAACTTTAAAAAATCTACAAAATTGCAAAAAAAAATCTACAAAAATGAAAATCTTACATTTCAATCAGACCTCCGAATTTCCCAGAAATCAGATAAACCAAATAAACTAAGCGTCGAAAGTGAAAAGAAACCAAAAGCGTCCACTACACAAATAAAAATCTTTCACACGCGAGAATCTTAAATCTATAGAATCATCAATATTAAGGCTATTGAGTAATTTAGATGACGTTCAAGTTCATTGCTATTTATGCTTCTTAGCAATCCCACCTGCAGTATGACGTTGCTTTCATAGATCAATATAAACTTATGCGATGTTTATAATATGAAGAAAACTTTCAGTTTCATGCTGTGTAGTAAGTCTGGCATTACAGAATAAGTGGGTGTTGATGTTCTTAATTGATAGTGTAATTAAGTTTTGACTCTCCTGTAATAGCTTGTTATCAATTTAATTTGAGACTTATGAAACTTTTTTTTTGAAAGATCAACGTGTAAAATTGTGAAAGTTGATCAGGAAATGTTTTAGTAAAACGTAAATTCAAAAGACATGTGTGCTGCTCATCATTAAACAAAAAAAAAATCATTTTGATCTTAAATGAAACATTTACAAACATGCCAAATCGATATTTATATTTTAGTGAGATATTCACTGTGAGACAATTTATCACCCTTAAAGTGATTGAAGTCAATTTCAAGGTACTTTTTGCTAAACTACACCTGAGGGGCTGTTCATTTATTAAGTAACAAAGAATTCCATTTAAAAAAATTATTTGAATTGTCACAAAATCTTAGACCCTCCCCTAGAGCGTTACCTAACCAATAGACGACCTTAGGAAATTTTTCTTTCGCTCGAGTAAAAAAGCAACCTGATCATGAGTACAAGAGTACGAAAAATAATTATTTTTATGAGGTTTCTCGAGCATTAAACTAGAAAAACACAATAAATGATTTCCGTTTACCTAAATGTTATTTTATTTTATATTAATAAACATGTACTGGCTCCAACTAGTTTTTTTTCTGATCCCGAGTCATACATGATTCATTTAGGCATGTTTAAGCATGACTGACATTATGATTCATTGCTTCAGATTTAATAAAGTATGAATGGCATGAATTATAAGGAAATTTGTTGAAATTATTTATAGGATTAAGAGTAATTTTTGCGTTGAAATTGGATATGATTTTCGTCATTGTTCTTGACATCCGCTAGCTTTTTACTCTTAAAATTCTTTCTGTATGAAGCACAAACTTTAAATAGTGAAGACAACATAACCGAGTGACATAAATGACAAATGCTCTGCCACGGATTAATCAAAGACTATAAATTCTTTTACTCACTTACTTGCTGTAACCATAGTTTCACATAGGAAGCTTAGGTTACAATAAAAGACTCTGTGGCTGACTCTGTCACGTAGTTTATACGATATTTCTGCTGGCACATTAAGTCGCATTCCTTCATGAATGTTCTAAGCCAAGCAGCTTTTGGAGCTTCCGGACGTCTTTTCTCTTGCGGATTCCAACCATGGACAGTTTAAAAAACTTGTGTTTCTTATCAATCAGTGGAACAAGTGGAACAATCAGTAACAACCATGTGTTTTGGTCCCAGCAACAGATTTTTATGACGATTTAGTAAGTGACTCTGACACAAAACTATTGAACAGGAATTTGTATGAAGTCTCATACCCGAATAGCATAAGCTGGGGGAAAAGAAGAAAGCTCGAGCCCCTTAACTGAAAATGAAACTTGGTCCAAAATTCTCTTATTAATTTTTTTGGCTAGCTTTTAAAGTTTTCAACTTTAAAATTTTTGAGCCTAGAATTCTAATTGTGACGCTGTTTGTCAACAACCCCTTAATAGGGTTTATTCAGTCATTATATCTGTTTTCATGTAAGCATCAGCCCCTCTTTCTTCAATTCAGAACAACACATCAAATTTCTTATATTATAAATAAAAGTTACTCATTGTAAATATATCCACGTGCACTCCCGCATCCAGATTTTTTATTTCTCTCACGCAAAACAACGCATTGCATTGCCCGGGAGTGTAAATGATTGGAGAGTATGAGGCATGAGAAGAAAAATATGAGCGAAAATAAAATCTATTGAAAATTCATTGGTTTTCAAAAAAATCAGATGTGCAGAAATATTTGCCTGCTCTTGAAAAATATTTTTCTATACATTCAGTCGATGCTGTGATGTGAGAACGATCATCTGAAATAATAATAATAAAAAAATATGTAATGAATTTATTTTTGTGAAGGAAGAAAAATTATTAAGATGCATAAAATCGATGCTAAAGTTGTGAATGTAATGTGCAAAAAATCTCAATTTCAATGCTATTAAAATATATTTTTTCTCATTACACGATGTTTATTTAATCAGTGTGGAAGTAAAGTTTTATCGACAACAAATAAACTTTTATCGAGGCTTAAGGAATCAGTTTGTTTTCTTTTCCCCAAGACAAATAAATTCGGGAAATTCGATAAGGAAATTTGAGAATGTTTTAAAAATAAATTGAAATTGAACAAGAAGCAACAAAAAAAAATAAAATCAGTTTCAACAGACGTCCATCACAGACAATCGATAGTTCATTATGTATCGAATTTTAGTGATTCTCTTTCTCTGGTTTGGTAAGTCATGGCAAAAATTCAATGATCAATGTCATAAAAAAAAATTTCTCATTTCCCATGCCAATAATTTTTCCTCATTTCATGAAATTGACTTTTGACTCATATTTCTAAAGATTGGGACGTGATGTCGATCACTCTGTCTGTGAAACTTTGTCGACCTGAACGATTTTTTTTTGTAGATGAAAGTGAAAAAAGTGATTAAAAGTGACGCAAATCTGTAAAAGATGTTAACGATAAAAATGTTATTGCGGGTTATTTGGTGCTGTAAAAACTTCTGCACGTGGAATTTATTTAGCGAGAAAAAGTCTAGAATCGCAAACATCTCTTTACACATGATTAGGGCAATGTTAATAAATTTAGAATAAATATATCAATTGAAAATTATTTTGGTAAATAAGAAGTTCTTTGAGTTTTAGCGAATATAGAAACGATAGACATTGAGGAATCAAGATTAGTAAGATGAAAAGCTAGTCACATGTTTTTGGTTGGTTTTTTGGAGACAGTTGAGAAGAGCAGTTAAGTGCCTTGCTGGTCGAATAGGTAAGACGCTTGGCTCAAATTTATGATGGTAACTTGAAGGTCGTCGGTTCGAATCCAACCATTTCCAAATTTGTTCTTTTTCGGAAGTTTAGATACTTCGACTGCTTAATGTAGGAGATCAAGTCACAATTGGGCATTTGAGCAACGTTGGATTAAGGAACGAGTCAGGAACTTGAAGTGTAGCGGGAGAAATAGGAACGAGAGCTACAAGATTACCCACGAATGGAATATTGTTAGAACGGACCTGAAAAGTATCACGTTACGCCCACAGAAGATCGAAAAGAGAGCCTTAGTTTATTTGAAACCTAGATATGAAGATTAGAAGTTTGATCCTACATACTATTAATGTAGGTGTCAATAAATGCAATAAAGTGCAATTAAAATGAAAAAAAAAGAATTTTTAAAGGAACTGAACAAAAGTGTCAAAAACCCTCTTCTGATTTTTTAATTCCCTAAGTTTAGAATTATAAAATGCTTTTTGTAGCTTCAAGAATCCTTTCATCTTTCTCATTCTGCAACCTTAATAAAATTAATTGGAAAATTAACTGCTTGAATAATTTAATTGGAAAGCTTAATGAATCTCATTTTTAATATTTTGTATTTCATGACAGTCCTGCGTGTCAAACACCTTTTTTAAATCCCAACTTCCTGGATTAATAATTACCTCATGTGTTCATTCAGCATTAATGGACATGAAATGAACAGAAACACGCACACTTATTGCAATATCGATTACATGCTTTTTAATTGTCCGGCTGATAATCAAATTAATTCCATCTCATTAAATATGTTCTTAATAATTTTTAATTGCGTAGGATTCCAGCCTGAATAAACAATCTCAACAGAATGAATCCATAACAGCTTCATTTCCATCAATAAGTGTAATTTGATGAGCGGAAAGCAATAATAATATTCCACAAAGGAAAAAAAAATTGAGGAACCAGAAGATTCATCTTTCAGAGAATCCATTAATTTTTGGAATAAAGATTATGTTAATACAGCAACGATTAAATTGACTGTAATGAACTCATATGTAGGAATTATAAACAATCAGAATGAGAAAATTTCGGTTACTTCTTCTTGTTCTGAATATTTTTCACGGTTCGGTTGAATCGAGCAGATTTCACAGACACGAGACTCAAATGAATTTTTTTATTTTTAATTTATTGGCACGTCAATCGACGCCTTTTTGTTACGTTTATTGAGCTATGAAAGTGGCTCATCCCTTTGAAATTTCATCCATTTTAATATTAATTAAGTGCTTCTACTTCTTTGGCATGTTTTTCGGTGAGAATTATGGATGATATTAGTCATTATTTTTTGCTTGTTGGAAGGTTGATTAATTTTTTTTTTGGATGAGATTAATTGATTGAGGAATCAAAAATGAACAAAATAACCGTTAAAATAGTAAATATTTGAATTTTTCAAAAACCGTTAAGGTTTTAAATTTTGAATATTTAAAAACCGACAAATTTCAATTTTCTGAAATTTAATTCAATAGACTTTAAACTTACTTGTAAATGATCCTCAAGCAAGCAATACCCTCGTCCATAAAATTACAAAAACATTGTCAGAACAGCCTGAATTCAAGTTTATTTATCCTCGCTGAAATAACATTATTTTAAGATGAATTAAAGCGATTTTTAATAGTGACTGTCCTACTTGAATTAAAGTCAAGTACCCAAGAAATATGAATTCTTTGAGTGCTGTTGTCCACACCAGTCATATTATAATATCCGTGTAAATATGAATATTTAATACTTTGTTAACCTTTTCATTACAGACACAACTCGCACATGGAATTTAAATTTCAATTCGCACAGGTAAACGAGTTCATAAGACACATTAGGGACCGTTCACTTATTACGTTCGCATTTTAGGGGGGAGGGGGGTTTGAAAATTTGTAACAAAATGTAACATAAGGGGGGAGGGGTTGTGAGTTGTAACATATTGTAACAAGGGGGGGGGGGGGGGGTGAAAAAAGTCGTTTTTTTGCGTAACGTAATAAGTGAACGACCCCTTATGAAGAACGTGTAAAATGCAACTAACTGGCTTGTTGAAACTACATGCTGCAGGCGCCTCTAAGGAAATTATTTAAAATTCGAAGAAAAAAAATGTGTCTAATGCAATCGTCTATTAAATGTCGTATTAGAATCGAGAAAGCGATAGGCTATGAAATTATACCTGTTGTCTTACACTCAATTACTCGAGAGCAACTTAATTGAAATTACTATAGATTAGCGTTTTATGTGATTAATAAGTTAATTCGTTATGATTACTTTTTAATGACTATTCAGTAGCCGCAGTTTGACTAATTGATTTGAAGTTGCGCATTTTAATGTTTTGTTGATTAATTGATTTTATGCAATTGGAATCATTTAGCGCAGTTTAGATAAATATTTGTATTATAGCTCTGTTGTTTGGTGCTGCATGTGTAGTTTCACTTGGAATTGAATTTTTAACTAGAGAAGGAAATTTAAATTTTAACGGTCGAAAGAAATTTGAATATTTTTTTGAATTTTCAAGATCCGTTAAATTTCAAATTTTCAAAAACCGGTAAACCAAACATGTAACTTGTGACAGTCTTGTCGATAAAATATTATGTCATCCAAACATTTTCAATTAAAACCGCAAGCATAGCTAAGCTTTCAGAAAGTGTTGACAAATATAATCGTCGACTATGTCTACATGATAAATCAAATATTTAACTTGTAACTAATCAAACTGCCTCAAAATAATTTGTATCTTCCTCTGTAGCAAAGGCGCCAAGCAGCATATAAAGCAATAAAATTTATTTATGCATTAAATTAATCTATCCGAGACTATAAATTTAAATTAAATGATTAATTTTTTTTACAAACATTACAGAAATGATCCATATGAAGCCTTCCAACGAAAAAATTTTCTTCCGACAGATGATTTTGATATAGATAACGACTATTCGAGGTAAATGTTTGTGCTGATTTCTTGTGTTTGTCGAGTGTAAACTAATGCGTGCCGTTTTGAAAAACTTCATTTAACTTCCAAATTAAGATCCCCTAACGCAATTCCATTATCACCAAAAACAAAGACACATTACTACTACAAAACTCATCAAAGTCGAACTGTTTCTATTCCAAGTCATCAGCGTGGTGGAAAGATTCATGTTGGACCTGATGATAATGAAACTAAATCTTATGTTGCCAGAATTGACACTACAAATTTGGGACCGAGAAGACATGCTAGACGACTGGGATCTGAAGAGGAAATGATGGATGAAGATGACAGTGGACGAAATGATATGAAGCCTTTCTTTCGAGCTGGTGAGTTACTTTGTATGCTTGAGGATAAGAAAGGCACTTATTTGAATGGATTCTTGAAAATTATAAATTTAACGGTTTTCATTTATTTGAATTTTGTCAAAACACAGTTCAAATTTCATAAAACCGTTATAATTTAAATCAATTATTCAATTGCCACAAAAATGTTATTCAACCATCCGTACACATTTTTTCACGAACATTTCCCAATTAATTCTCATCAAAGGAAAACTTTGCATAAAATGTCCACCAGAGAAAATTCTAATAGCCAAAAAGGGTCTTGATGGAGTTCAAGTAATTAATTTCATTTGTAAATGACTTTCCAAGTAAATTAATTACTTTTTTACATGAAAGGTTGAAGTCCCACAGCTGACAACTTGTAACGATAGACCAATATCAAAATCACTTTACGAATTGGAGACACTGTTCAGTAAGAAGCATCATTTCATTTTACCCAAAGGACAGCATTCATTCATAGCACAAGTTGTGAACAAAAAGAATTACTCAATCGAGCATGTCTGTAATTTAAAGTATAAAATAATTGTCCGAAGCTGTGGACCTTACAATCCAATTAATGACAATATTAAAGTGAAATGTGACTCTGCAGATATTTGGGGATCAAAATGCACATTCGCATGTAAAAATAATGGCATATTGACACATAAGGAACCATTGGTATGCAATGATAACCTCGAATGGCATGGACCAGCCGAACCTGAATGTATCGTTCAACAGAGTAATAATGTGAATTTATTTTTGAATTAAATTTTGAATTTCACTTGAACTTTAAGACTTTGTGAAATGTCAAAAGTGCTTTGGGGATTGCTTTTATTATGATTGTGTACTTACCCAGTGAGTTTATAGCAAAATTAGTCTAGTCTAGTCTTTGCGGACAATTGGAATGAAGTGCCGCTTAATATAGCTTTGCTCACTACAAATCTATATATTACATCACTCAAATTCCAGCTAAAGAATGCAATAAGTCAGAATTTAATCAACAAAATCTCCAGATGGAGTTTATAAACAGATTTCCCGCCAAAAATTTCATAGATAAATACACTTGAGAACTTCAATGTCGAATAATAAGACTCACTGGGTGTTTACATAAAAAAAATATTTAAAAGCTTTTCATATTCATGCTGTATAATTTAAGATAAAAAAGTAACAATTTAATTTTGTTTTTCTTATACAGGAGATTATTATAAGAGAATCGAAAACTCAATAGCATCATGTCAACTACCATCATCGCCAGATCATGCAAAGTTTTCATGTAAAGTCAATCGAGATTTGATAAATGAGCATGAAAATGAGCTGTTCATCCCCGATGGAACGAGTTGTCGAATAAAGTGTGCACGTTTTCATGAGATACCCGATCACCTGCAAAAGTTTTCATCCATTCAATGTAAAAATGGTCGTTGGAATTATACGATACACAGTAATGTGAATTTCTGCACGAAGATACAATTGAAGAAGTTTCCTTGATTGATGGTTGATGTTTATGTGAAGATTTAAGCACAAATGTACCTTCTTCGAATTATTTTTATTAACAATTTAACTCACTGAAAGAAAAAAGTATTCACTCCTTTCCACTTAATTAATATGTTCTTGTTTGTTGCTCGACTTTACTTTATAAATATAAACATTTTATTTGAGAAAAAAAATGGCAATAAAAATGAATATAATATAAATGCATAAAAAGACTTTAAACTTTGACGACTGCCTTTCCAAAATTCTTTCCATTCAGCATGTCAATAAATGCCTGAGGCGTGTTTTCAAATCCATCTGTAACTGTCTCATTGTACTTAACTTTTCCTTCTTGAATCCATTTTGCGACTTGATCAATTCCTTCCATCCATCTATCTGTGTATCTCCAAACTAGGAATCCTTCCATTTTCAGCTGCTTGAAAACGAATGCTGTTTGAACTGCTGGAACTTTTGGAATTTCTGTATTGTAGCTTGAAATAGCACCACAGACGGAAATTCTTCCATAGTCATTCATTTGACTGAAGATTAATGAGCTGATTTCACCACCGACGTTGTCAAAATAACAGTCGATGCCTTTTGGTGCTGCATCTTTTAGTTGACGATACAGATTCTTAGTTTTGTAATTGATTGTTTTGTCGAATCCTAATTCAGTTTCAAGCCATTTACATTTTTCATCAGATCCAGCGAATCCAACGATTCTGCATCCTTTCAGCTTAGCTACTTGACCTACTAAAGTTCCGACAGCGCCAGCTGCACCAGTCACAACAACTGTTTCACCTTCTTTTGGTTGACAAAGTTCCAGAAATCCAAAATAAACTGTATTTCCAGGCATTCCTAAATATCCAAGCCCTAATGAGCTTGGCAGATTTCCATACTTTGGAAGGATGTAATAGTCACGAAATGCATTCTTCTGAACTTCAGTTGGATTCAATACTGTATGTGATCTCCATCCAAATTGTCCGAAAATTGTAGAATCAACAGGAAACTCAGCATTCTTACTGTCAACAATCTTTGCCATTTGTCCACCAATCATTAAGCATGGAGCCTTGTAGCTCATCATATAAGGCCGCATGTAAGGATCAACAGACAGATATTCAGCTTGAGCTAAGACTTCACCATCCTTTAATGCCGGTAAGTTCTCTTCAACTAAATCAAAATTAGCTGCAGTAGGTTCTCCACGAAAATCCTTTACGTACATGAATTTTCGTGCCTTTATCACGTTGTTGGAGAAAAATCGTCGAATCATGTCTAGTGTTGATATGAAAATTGATAAGGAACTGGATTGAATGGAAAAAATAATAAAACTTGATAAGAATTTTTAAAAATATTATGAGGTAGACAGTAACTGATAAAACAAAAATAAAACTCATATGCTGTTGACGTAAACATTAAATGACATTTTTTATTAAGATACAAAAACAAATTAAGCTTTCACAACAGCCTTTCCAGTGTTCTTTCCATTAAGCATATCAATAAAAGCCTGTGGCATATTTTCAAAACCTTCAGTGTAAGTCTCTTCAATTTTGATCTTTCCCTCACTGATCCAGCTCAACATTTGATTGATTCCTTCTAACCATCTATTGGTCCATCGATGAACAATGAAGCCTTCCATTTTTAACTGACCCCAAACGAATAAGCCTTGAGGTGCTGGAACCATAACTTGTTGATCATTATATCCAGAAATAGCACCACAAACTGAAATTCTTCCATGTGGTTTCATTTGATGCAAAATTACACTGCTAAGTTCTCCACCAACATTATCGAAATAACAGTCAACACCTTTTGGAGCTGCTTCTTTCAAAGCTTTAGCTAAATCCTTTGTTTTGTAATTGATGGCTTTATCAAAACCAAGTTCATTTTCAAGCCATGCACACTTTTCATCAGATCCAGCAAATCCGATAACTTTGCATCCTTTGATTTTAGCAATTTGACCTACAAGTGAACCAACAGCACCAGCTGCAGCAGTAACGACAACAGTTTCACCTTCTTTTGGTTGACAAATTTCTAAGAATCCAAAATATGCAGTGTTTCCAGGCATACCACAAGCTCCTACAGCTAATGAATATGATTGAGAACCAAAATCAGGCAGCATTGTGAATTCATTCACAGAAAGGTTATCTGGCTTTAAGATTGTGTGAGTGCTCCAACCACTTTGGGAAAATACGATAGAACCTACTGGAAACTTTGCATTCTTCGATTCAATGATTCTGCAGAAATGAATTTTATTATTAGATAACTTCGAGTTCTTTTAGATTAAAATCAATTACGTACTTAGCGACTTGTCCACCAATCATTAAGCTTCCAACCGGAAAACGACTCATATATGGTCTCATATATGGATCAACGGATAAATAGATAGCTTCAATGAGAATTTCCCCATCTTTCAATTCAGGCAAGTCTTCTTCAACAAGTTCAAAATCTGTCAATTTTGGTTCTCCTTTGAAGGAACTGACATTTATGATTTTCTTAGTGCGGACCATTTTTGAAACTTTTTATTTTCGACTAGCACGAATCGATATCACTTGGAAAACTAAACTGGAATTGAGAATTAGGACTGCATTTATATTGAAAACTCTCAGACAACTGATAACTCTTTATGGGCATAGCATTATCACAACACACACGATTATAATCAGGTGTCAAAAATTGATTAGCAAACAAAACTGACTTTTATAAACTTTTCTAAAACGAAAATTCTGGAAAATTTCATACACGATCTTCTTGCATGCAATAGTAATTGAATTAAGTTGATCTTTTCTTATTTCTAAGTCTAATAAATCAAACTTTGTTTGTATTGCAGTAAGAACAATTTTGATAACGAAATACAGACGCACAATAAAAGATTAATATGTTTTGATAAGAAATTCTCGATATTTGACTTTGATTTCACCAAAAATATGAAGTATGAACTTACAAGAGTGAATAAGTATTTTAACGGCAAAGTTATTCAAGAATTATTTAAAGTTTTCAAGAATCACGACTTGATACTCAATACCACAATGAAAGATTAATCAAGAGAAAAAGAACGAACTTTGAGAGACATAAACATAATAGGAAAGGAGAACAAATGATTTTAAAAGTAATAAATTTTACTTACAAAGCTTTGTGGATAATTCAATAAAATTACTGAAGAACTTTTTGATTGTTGAATCACAGAAAGTTAAAGATATCAAAGGTTGAATGTTGCTTTATCAAATCTCAATGAGAAACTAATTTAATTAATGACATAAAAGGTATCAAAATATATTTCTATAGAACGCCGCAAACTTATTATTTTGTACACAAGAAGTTTAGGGGGAACATCAGCTTTGTAAGTTTAACAGGTGGAATTCAAATTTAAAGTGACTGTTCGAACAAATATTAAATTGTGAATATTTTGAAGTATGAAAGCTTTTTGATTAGAATCTTGAAGCTTTTATTTTTGATTTGAAATTTGCATTTTTATCTATAAAAATATCAATAATTTAAAAAATTAAAAATTCAATACTTTCTTTTTCGATTTTATAAGTTTTTTACTTTTGTTGGTTTAAAGGTTTTCTTTATTCCATAATCATTTTAATCAGTTTTTAAATTTTCATTTTTATTATGTTTTCTTTTTCAAATATTTTAAAACGATAAAATTGTAAGAATATAAAAAAAACATAAATTACTTTTTAGCAAAAAGAAGTTTTTATTATTTTTATCTCTGTTCATTAGTTTCTGCTTTCATTTTAATTATTTTTTCAATTACAAAAAGATGAAAATTTGATTATTTGCTAAGAATTTGGTTTGATAAAAAGATTTAAAATTGTTAAATTAAATTAACAATGTTTAAAATTCTCTTTTCAAATCTCGTCATAAAGTTAAACGGAAATTTTTGTTTTAATTTTTAAATTAAAAATGCAAAAAAATAAATATGAAATTTTTGTCATAATTTTAGTTTCTTTACCTCTCAAAATTTTTATTCATCGAATTTCGCTAATCATTTCAATTTTCAATAATTTATAAAATTTTAAAAAAATTTTAAACTTACAGTTCCTGTTACATTTCAATTTCTTTTTATCATCTTTAGCAAACAAAATGTTTATCCATTCATACATGAACATTAAATTTGCAAAAGGGAATCATTATCATTATTATTATTTTTAATCATTTTTAGATTTTTTTTTTGATTCTACAATTTTTACTTCCATTTTTTCTTTAAAAATCTACAATAGATGCTGCGAAATAAAAAATTGCTACAGAATGCTACATAAAGTCTTTCCGCAAGTATGCTTCTTGTCATATTTATCAAATTTTTTAATTTTCTTCTGAATATGAAATGAAAAATCCATCCATTCTTCTTCCGCTAATCCGTAAAGTTTAATAAACTTTAACATACTCTTGCACTTCCATGCGCAAGCACAGAAGCTTTTATTAATTACTTCACTTCGTAATTAAAAAAGCTAATTTTTTTCATTATGCTTAAAGTAGTAGTTATGCTTTTATTCTCACAATTATTACTTATAATTTATAATAAAAATGTTATATAAAATGAAGGATTTTTGTGTGATTGTGGAAATAGAACATGACAACAGAATTGAACAAGTTTTGTGGATTTTTGAATGATTTTTTTTATAAGAACTTTAGCTGATTTTAAGCTTTATTGATGTTCTGCATGAAACTTTTGGTTTTATGAGATTGAAAACTTAAGATCGTCGTTAGAAATTCTTCATTCGATGTTATTCTCTAAACGAAGATGATTTAGTCTAATTTAACATTCTGTATATATGAAATTAGAATGAGAATGTGAAATAAAGTGAGACTTGAATTTGCAACTTTCAAATCATCTTGATCTTGGCAATTTAGGACTAACTTTGCAATGGACATCTTGAGTCAATATGGGAAATATCCTTTTAATATATGAATCGTTCTGAAATTAAACCAAAACCAGGCTTCCTATCTTCTAGAATATTAAGTTCAGAACCTTAGCAGAAACTTGTTCTGATCAAAATTGAATCACCAAATCCACTCGAAAAAACCACAAATTCTGCTCAATAGAAAACAAATTGAAATGAAAGAATTTAATGAGTCACAAGGATACATAAATAGAAGAAATCGAGCTTTGTTGTTAAAAATGTGAATGCTTTTCAGTGATGTGAGTTTGATTATTTTTTCTTTTTAAAATTATTGGTCAACTTTTGTGTATGTTTTGCAATTTTTGTTGTTGTATAATTTAAAGAATTTTTCCTTGATCTAAAAATTTGACCTAATTTGTGTGTCTCAAAAAGAGCAATTTTTGAACAAATTTTTTTTATATCTTCTCAATAAAGTAAATTTTTTCCTTAAGAAGGCATGATTTTCGATTTTTTTTTGGGTAGAAGGATGCAAAGCGACAAAGAAGCACATCATTTTTTGCTTATTTTTTTTTATTTGGATTTTTTTTCTTCTTTTTGACTCAACAATGCTCGTATTAAAATATTTTGACCTTTTTTTTGACCACTTCAATAATTTTTTATTTTTACTTTAATTAAACTTTTTAACATTTAAATAGTTTTATACAATCTTCAAAATACATTTTTTTTTCACTTAAAATTTATGTGGTTTTGCATTGCATAAATTTATGAGAATCTGGGAAATAAGAATTGAGTGGAATTTGATGTTTTGACATTAATTTATGACTTTATTAAAAGGAACTAAAAAGTTAAGTTGGATTTTTAAGGATTTTGTGCAAGTAAAATAATTTTTAGGCACCCTGCCGTGTTTACGACACCCTAATGGAACACTTCATATCAGTCAAAGCTTATTCGAACATTTGCAACATAAATTATTTAAGAATAGATTCAATCTAGTCATAAACTTTGATAAAACATCAAAATCCACAAATCCCTCACTACCCAGGATGCACTATGTTGTGATACTTTTAAACTTTTATTGGAAATTCAAATTGTTTTTGTCTCATTCTGATTAAAAGGTAAATTTTGTCATTCTTTATAGGAAAATAGAAACATTTTTTTTTAATTTTTTAATATTATTTACTGCATTTTAATAATTGTCTCTAGATTCATTATGTCTATTGAATTATGTTTGATGTTAATTGTGAGTGTATATATATGTATTTACTATCAATTCATTACATAAATAGATTATTTAATGATTGAATGATTGATTGATTTAATGATGAATGTGGCTTGAATAATGGAAAAATCTTCTTTTTCTAATTTTATCAGAAAAAGAAAAATTTCTTTGTTGATTTTAAAATTAGGAATATTTTATGGATAAAAGTGAAAAGATTTTTTATTCAGTTACTTAAAGTATAAAAGCTTTCTATTTGCTCGGTTAATAAATCTTGATGTTTTCTTGTTTTGATAATTGATTGAAATCTTATCAAATATTTGTTGAATTCTGGATTTTGAATAATTGTATAATTGAGTTTTTGCTTTAATTCAGAGTTTTTAGGGATGTTAAATAATAAAGTTTGTGTTTTGCTACCCTAAATGTTAAAATAACTCATGTATTATTCATTTAGATTGCTTAACTAGCGAAAATTTCAACAAAATATCTTAAATATAATGAAAAAAATTTATAAACAATAAGTTGATTTTTAGGGTAAACTTAGGTTGATAATCTCCTATTTTCAAGGTTTCCTTTCTTTGAATTAAATAAATTACAAAATTTGAAACTTTAAAAAGGATGTTAAACCTTAATTTTTAAATTTTCATCCAGAATTCAACAAATTCCATCCAATAACTTAATTCAGAATCTTCCCTAGAGCTTAAAATTTACAATAATAGATCTTAGATAACAAAAGTACTAAAATTATTGTAAAATTTACATATTTTCTGTTTCTATTGGACTTACAGTCTACAATGCTGTAACTTTATAAAAAGACTTTTTATACCCTATAGATACTTTAAATTGTAATCTAATTACCATCAGCCTGCATAAATGTTTCATCAACCATTTGACTGCTCAAATTTCATGTAAATTGATATTTTTTTTTTGTGTGTAAAGCTTTTATTCAACTGCTTAACACGCTTTAAGCTGGATGATGTCAGCCAAAAAAGCTGGAAAGCAATCAGCAGATATATTTGTGATCGTAGTCAATTGGTTACTGAACATTATCAAAACCCTTCTGAGACTCAGCTAGGAACTAGCTGTAACATTCGTTTACTCACTAGAAAAATTAATTCAACCAAAGTGTGGACAACTTAAAATGATAAAAATATTTTAGGGATCAAGGGCTGGCACTTCATTTTAATTGAAGTTTGTTTTATGTGCCCAACCCTTGGATCTCTAAAATAAAAAATTCAAAATTTTTTCTGCTTTATTTCCCATATTCAATTTTGCATGATCATGCTGTCAAATATTTCACACATTTATCTGCTTTTTATGTAATAAAAATATCCTGAAAATATTTTTAAACACGAGCCATAATCTTTTCTTTTTCACTTTTTTTATGTCTGCTATTTTTTCTTCATTTTTGATACATTCATCATAAGTTTAATTAATTATACAATATCTTCTTCGGATAAGAGAAAGAAAAAACAAAAAAATTATGTGAGTGACATTGTAAATACGTTTAAATGTGACTGAATATTTCTCTTCTTTTGTTAAATCTTGTTTTTTTTTTATCATAATTATTCGCATTGATAGATTCGCATGCATGCGGTATGTCTGTATGTGTGTGTATATTGAGTGTAATCTTTTTTTTGTACAGTAAATTCAAACTCAATTTCTATGCTTATTATAAATATTTCATGATTTATCACTAGAATGTAGTCATACAACGAAGATTCACTGTACTAAGGATCTTTAAAATTCAACTTTCATGTTGACGGTCTGGTCAAATTATTCTCAAATTAAATCATACATATTAATACACTGCTGCTATTGTTGTTTCTGCCATGTTTTTCAGATATTTTTTTTTCCTTTTATTTTTTTTATTTATTCATGGATATTATCAAAGCTGCATCTCAAAAATTGCCAAAGATTGTGTCTCTTCCACACATATCGTTATCATAGAGTAGAATAGGATTATGCAATACACTAGTACATAAGAGATGACAGAGAAATAGAGAGAAGAATTACAAGAAGGAAGAAATTTTTTATCATCATTTCGTTCATTAAATGACATCATCTATTGAATCACACAACATGCTCGGCCCTTCTTCTTCTTTTCATCAATCACCACGTGACTTGCTGATTGTGGACCAGGAACTGTTTGATTTGATACTTGTGTCTGTGGTGCATCTTTTGTTGCATCTCCATTTACTGTTGTCGTTTTTTGCGGTGATTTTGTACCGTTCTGCTGTGAGAGAAGTGGCGACGCCTAAAAGTAATCAAATTTTGTTTTATTAGCAATATTATTATATGATTTACATCAATTTTATGTCTTTTGCCATAATTCTAGACTTAATAGTATTTGTTTTATGAAAATTTATCTTTTGCTATTCTTAAGTTGCTAAAACAACAGCTATTACTTGTTCATCTTCTTTAATTAATGCAAAAACTGACAAAAAATCTTAAATATGGAAGGAATTTCAAAATGGCGCACTTTTAAAAGTAAAAATTTAAAAACCGTTGAGCTTAAAATTCATCAAATATTAAATATTTACCTCAAGTTTTGTCATCGCACTGTCTACAACTGCTGTACCATTGGCATCATGACTATCATCTACATGAGTTCCATTTGCTAATAATGATTGATCACCGGTTGGTGTAATTGGTTTACCTCCTGCAAATTCAATTGAGATAATTTTACTTTTTTTGGTTAATTCACGTCGTGTTTTTGCTTATAATTTATGGTTTGTCTTCTTTCCTACCCCATCGAGAGACTTTCATGGTAGCAAAGAAGACGGAATTAAATAAATAGACATTTGAATTAGGTTGTCTTGAAGAGATTGAATTGGAAATAATCAAGATAATTCAAAATTGATGACGGATTGAATTTTAAATTCATTTAAAATTAAATAAGAAATTAATGGGAGGATATTCATCACATGGAATTATCTAAATTGGTCATCAATTGCATTCTGTACACAGATGCTTGAAACTTATTGTCAAATTGTTTACGAGCAGTGTATGAATGCTTTAGGTATCACAATAAATGTTCCCATCTGTGACTCATTTATTTATTTTTGCCAGCACAGGAACAATAAATTTTTGTATTTTTGGCAGAATGTTGGTTTACAAATTTTTCATTGTCACGGTCAAGTGAGATTTAATGTTGATAGCAATAATAAAAGATTTTGTCAAAAATGCACACAGTGTCTTTTAAAATGGCAGGAATAGATTAAGTGCCTCCAAAAATTATAAGATTACATTTAATAACACAATTTCTCTTCAAAACTTATTCTGATTCAAGAATTTCCACGAATTGTGTCATAAAAGTGTGTTCAGTAACAAAACTTTGATTTGAGAGTCCGTTCAGTGACATCTGCAAAGCTCTCATCAAATAAAAATCATAAAGTGATCCTTACCTTTAATCATATTAACTATTTCATCAGCCTCTCTCGATAAATCGCCATCTGGTCGAAATGGATTGTCCCATCCTGAATCGGTGCTATAAAAATAGGATAGAAATAACCATTGAAACTCATCTGTTTTTTTACACCAATTTAAGTTGAATTCATGCATTCATTCATTCATTCATAGACTATTTTTAAAATTGTGGATTATTATAATGATGACTACCTTTTTGTATAACTTTTTGTATAAACTTTATTTTCTGTAACTGATGGAGCTTTTCTACTATAATGATATTCATCCACGGGAACTTCATAAACATAATATAATGTGCCACCGTGAGATGAATTTGATCGAGGTATTGACGTTTTGTTGATCATTGCTTGCTTATGAGTTATCTTACTAATAATTTTACTTTCATTTGTCACTTAACAAGAAAATCAGTTCCTGTTTTTTTTTTTATTTTGATTATCTTCTAATTCTTAATGTCCTGTAAAATTCACCATAAAAGTTAATCATCGCGATGATATTTGTATCATAATAATCATCAAAATGTTTACAAAATAATAAAATTTAACGCAAATAATCGCATTGTAAAAAGGGAAAGCTAATGACTTTACAAATTGTAGCCTTGCCGAATGATGCGTGAGCTTTTTTAATGTCAAGTTTAAGTTTGAATGACTTTCATTTATATTTTATGTATGTATGCGTACAATTATTGATATTACTACACGCGAATATGGGTCAGTGGGGGAGAATCAATTGAAAAAGGCACGTTGCCAGTCACGCATACGATTAAAGGATTTCATTTTTCTCTCTCTTGCATCTCAAATACAACGAAAGAATTTATTGTGAAGGAAACTTGCACAGTCAGAGTCTTTTGTTTAGCAAAGTATTTCCCTTTTTCGATGGATTTGTGAGTAGAAAATTTAGGTTATTTACTCATTTTGGCTTGTTGACAAGGACGATGGAAATCTAGACTAATTTTTACTGTTCTTAAAATACTTTTAATTGAGCCATTTGTCATTTTCTATTATTAATGCTATTCTGAGTAATTCCTGTAGATTCAGACTCGAGAAAAGTGAAAGTAAATAAAACTTTAAAGCTGAGTTCTAGAAACTAAACACGACAAGCTCTGTAATTGCATTTTTATTGATTTCGACGACCCCTCCCGTCAAACTTATAACAATTCACTTATTTCTTCTGACAAGTTACCGCTACGGCGCCACAAAGACTGATAAAATAACCATTTTGATTTGATGTTGGTGTTGCTCGAAGATAAATTTCGTACAGATGCTCTGCATTCTAAGAAGAAAGTGAAATATCTTGGACATTGAGATTTTCTTCTTTTTTTTTTTTTGAGGAAAAATGATTGCGAGAGAATCATTAAAGAGACAAAATTTATGTCACAGAACTTAAATTGGATGTGATTTTTGAGATTTAAGAAATCTTGAACAAGATTATAGCGATCTTATGGAACTTATCAATATAGGATCTAGAAAATCGTCATTGTAAGCATTTTGAACTGCGTAGGTTCAGATCTGAAGTTGCCAGCTTGTAATTCAATACAAGAAATTAAAATACCGAGTCGATTGTGATTTTGTAGGATGTCTAACAGTTTTGAATCGATTTCGTGCTCTATTTGTTATTTTAAAGGCTTTAAACTTAACTTTAACAGAACTAAGAATCTTTATTGATCTTAACAATTGAAATTCATGTTTTTAGTAAGACTAACCCTTAAAAATCGACCAAAACAACTGTCCAGAATGTTCTTTAGTTCCTAAGAATCACGCATTGAATAATCTCTCAAATTTCAAGGATTAAGATTCTTCGTATGACTCATGGATGGTGTTATGAGAGAATACACCTACTTTCCTGAATAATAAGCTTTATATCTCTCATTACGAATCTCATAGCAGATCTAAATGTATCCAAAATCATCTTGAAAAAGTTTTAATGATAATCTTATTCCCAAATGTAATAATTGAGCTTCAAGAATATGAATCCTCGATTGTTATGTAAACAACCTTCAAGATCCTTAAACTTTTGCTTCGTGTCTATCGATTTTTACATAAATTTTCACTTCTTCTGCTTTTACATAAAAATTTTACATTCCCTGCTTGTGTTCTGCATTAAAAATCTACAAAATAATTCAAAATGCTTCAATCAAGCATTATCGATTGGTCGCGACTCGCGAGAACAGAAAGGGAAAGAAGTGGCACTTTAGACATCCGCTTAGCGGCAACCCATCAAAGACAAATGACAATAAATGAATTTTTCGAAATTCTTCTTAAAATTTTACGTTGTGACTTTCACTTGTCCCTTCTAATAATCAAATTGATTTTCTATCGACCAGCTGAAAATTGGCAACAACTGATTTTTTTTTACTCGTCCTATTGTTATTTTACATGTCTATCAAGTCGTGTTTTCTTTAAGACTTTGTAAACATTTTTTTTTGTGTCTATTTTCCTTCAATTTTCTGAGCACTTTCTTCATTTTTACGACTGTGGCAAGAAGAAAAGTGACGAAAAAAAAATTCCAGAACGAGTGTGAAATTTTCTCCTTTTTACAGTCAGCGATTATACACGCCCGCAATTTTTTAAAATTTCTACCTATGCTCAAGACTTAAACTTCATGTTTCGTGCACTAAAATACTGATTTTTTGTTTTTGCTTTAATAATTTTTCACAAATGTTTTTTCACATGTGTTGGTTGGTCTCTCATTGATTTTCAGATTATTATGCCGTTTCCATTTACTTTACATAGCTGAATTTGAAAATGAAATGAAAATTTAATTTTTCCTTCAAATATAAAAAAAAATGCCGCGCAATTTTTTTCTCTTCTCGGGTCTCTTTTATTTCCTCGCGTGCAACTCGAATAACATCAAAATAAAAACTGAGAAAATGGAAAATTTATCGCTCTAAAACCTTTTTTTTTTCGTTCTTCCTCTGACGATTTTTTAGTGTTTTTTTTCTATACGCATGCGCTATTTGACAGTGAAATACTTCTCGTTGAGGAAAATTGTATTACATGGGAGGAAAAATCTATGGAGAAGTTACGTTCTCAGTTGTTGTCTTTTTTTGTGATGACTAAAAAATTTTCTGCTATTTTTAAGAGCTTCACACATACACGTTTGTTGCATTCACGTGAAACTTTTATTTTTTTTGCCATTACGAAATGAGAGGAAAAATGATTTTTTTTCTATTTTGTGACACATTCTGTATGCGTTTTGTCTTAACTGATGAAAATGCTTGTCGGTAAGGCGCTTTGTCATGGTGGATCATTAATCATTTGTTGATCAAATTTTATTAAAGATGTGGAGTTGAATTTCAACAAAACCTTTATTGTTTTAAATTTATTCGGAAATAATCAGATTTTTATATTTTTTGGAATGTGCTGAAAATGATTTAAACCTGTTTAGAATTTCAGCGATGAAAATTCAAGAATTGTGAACGGTAAAGTTTCTTAATAAACTTTCAAAATTTGCTTTTTTGTCTGTCTGCCATGCCAAATTCCAAATTCAAAACCCCTATTTTGAAAAATTCGAAAAATCAAAATCTTAAATAATTCATGATTGCGTGTAAATTTACCAACTCTGTTTGTTGATAATGATTTTTAATCATAACAAAGCTAAATGCTTAATAATGCATACGAAAATTCTTTGGAAATCAGGAAAAAAAAATCTCAACGGTTTTTGAACATTTTAAATTTTTAAATGTGCATATGTTAACACCCCTAGATATCGGAAAGTCTGTCGAAGTTGAATTTCCACCATCTGCCCTGGTCCTATTATATTTTATAGTCCACATTTGCATAGAGAAAATGGTGAATATATGCTAGATTCCTCAAATTATCAAATAAAGAATTTTAAATCGTACCAGAATTACAGTCACTGAACTTTCATTGTAATCAAACTCACTAAAATAACTTCAAGTCTCTTAATGACACTTGTTTTCACCATGATTCAAAATAACTTCCAACAACTTATTTTTGGTGTTATGAACACCTAGAAGTAACTCAATTCTGTTGACTAAGGTTTCCTTTTCAAAAGATCTTCAAAAATACATTTTCTCTGATTATAAATATCTTCATTCAGCAGAATTAGCAATCTTCTGTTAACTAAATTCATCCTAATTTGACGTATTCAGCAAGTCAAACTCAATTACTGATGATGCTATATTTAGTAAGCTATTTAATAATTTTTTGTTTGATTGAATAAAGATTGCTGATTTGATCAATAAAAGCACTGCAAAATTGATCTAATTAAGAATGCTTAGGTCTGCGAATCTCCTTCCTATTTATAAATCTTCAATTGTTTTATGATTCATAAACAATATTATGCGCCGTCTGTTCTAAATATATCCATGATGACTAACTTTAAACTTAATTTTCTGTTTCGAGCTTCACTTTTAGTGATTTTATGCCTTCACGAGAAGAAACAAAAAAAAAATTTGTTATTTCAATTTACATACACGCGATGCGGCATGTGTGTGTTTGTAGGTTAAGAATGCGGCTGAATTTTTATATTTCTCGATGGCATTAGGAAAACTAAAACTTGCGATTAGCATGATTCTATTCTTGTCTACTCATACAGTATATCGGATTTTTTTATGTCTGCAGAATATCCGAATTGAATTTCATAATTAAGTAATTTTATTTCTATTTGGTGGCAAAGAGTAATAAATCTTTAAATTTGTGAAGATGAAAAAGAATTTTTCTCGATTGAACGTCAGTTTGTGGTATAAACAAACCCCAGCTATATCCGACCACACAAATGTTTAGGCCAATAATTCAGAAATCAATAAAAAGTTTTACATCAAATGAAAAATGCAAAAATTAACCGTCATAAAACTTTAATTTCAATGGAATGTGTATCAAAATATTGATGATTATAAAATGAGTGAATTCTTGACCTTAAATCTATTTAAGTATTGTTTATTTACATGCCACAAAGGCTTAAAAAATTTACATTCACAATATAAAATTAAATTTTGTTTTAATCGTCTCGAGAAAATGAAAATTAAATTCGTATAGAACAGAGAGTTTTATTCGGAGTGTAAAAAGAGTGGAAAACGGCAGTATTAAAAATAGAATTATTTGATCGCATTCGTACTTGAGTGTTTCCAGATTACTCCAGTAATCAAGCCATAATAAAAGGCGGAAAATGTTCATCGTTTGTTTATAACTAACAGGTTGGAAAATCTTTGTGGGTATTTTAATCAATTTTCACTTTATCTACTTGTAAATTTCCTCTGTTTATGTTACAGAAAATTATTTTATTCATCCTTGATCTTCACTTCATTTAATTACAACAAATCTCGACTTTAAGCAAAAATTTTTATTAGATTCTCGTGCCTGTAAGTTACTTCATATAAATCTTTACAGATCGTAAGTTTGATGACCTCATAACTCACTCATATTAAAGGTTGAATACATATTTACTTAAAAAAACTGATAAATTATATAGAGTATTCAGGAGTATTCATGCGAAAATTGCTTCTAGAATGTTATGTTTACACTTCTAGCTGACTGGTTCTCATGAAGTGTTCAAAGTTTTCTTTCGGCGCCAAAACTATGAGAACTATGAACGTTATTTGATATTAATGGCTGTTGACAACTTGTTAGAAATGAGAATCAAGTTGGAAAAGTCTTTAAAGCACTTGTTTCCTTTGGAAAATAGACAAAGTTAAGTTTTCAATAGTTTGTTTGTTCAAAGGGTCTTGGACAATGCGTTATTCTTTAAGTATTTAAATTTATGAAGTTTTTTAAGGTTTAACATTTCCTGTGGTAGGCAAACGGATCTTATTTTTAGAACAATTAGATTTAGTACTTTTTTAGTAGTCCTTATTTTGAGAACTTAATCCGTTATGAATTTTAGCCAATCAGAAAATTTTGTTAATTTTCAGCCAAAATCCTTGTGTTTTCTTACAGATTACTATTTTAAACATAAAATAGATACACATTCTTTGTTTTAAACTATTTATGGATTCAATATTTCATCTGGTTTTGATAAAATTTCGCGTTTTCTTTTTCAAATATTATTCGTCAAAATGTAAACAAACATGACGAAGGAAAAAATTATTTTGAGAAATCCCAAAGTCTAGTGAATTAAGCTACTTAATGCTAATTTTTTGAATATCTAAATTTTTACTGACCCAAAAAGGCTATGAAATAAACTAAGTTCTGTATTATTTAATAGCAAAATGACTTAAAAACAACAAAACAAATTATGATCAAATAACGTTTTTTCCTGAATTTAAATTTTACTGCCCGAAATGTTTAAAAATTCAAATTCAAATCTTTAAAGTTTCAACTGATTTTATAAGCTCTTTGCCGACCACAGGACATTTCATTCTCATAATGTTGCAGTTGCAGCACAAAAGTGCACTTTATTCACAACATCAACACATAAGGCATCAAACTTTTGTGCTATTTATTTTATTCATGTCACATAAAGTCCATATACACATCTTTTCCATTTAAAATCATTTACTTTATTCACTCGGTAATTAAAAATGTTAAATAGCTTTTTCCCATAAGCCTCACATTGAGTCTGACAACATCGAAAGAAAAAAAAATTAAAAGTAAACAAAAATGTTTTCTTCATTTTTATTAAAAAAAGGAATGAATTTTTTCTCGATAAACTATGTTTTTATGTTTGTTGGGTGTTTGATATACTATATGGTTGATGATATTCTATTTTATGATGATACTACAATAATAAAGAAAGATTAAAATACCCTCAAGTCATAGATGAAATGAAGTTTTTCTCTGATATTCGAGTGGAATAACCTTAAAGTTAATCACAGTGAAAAAGAATTGTAACTTGATGTTATTCTAAAGATTCTGTTTTTGATCTCAATGGGAATTATGGTCTTCACGATTGAATGGATAAATAGATAATAAAAAGTTTTAAAACTTATGGAATTGTTGCTAGCTTTTTGAGATGTAGCAACCTATTGAGATGATGCCTATTGTTGTGAGTGATGAATTTGCTGTCAATAGAAGCTCATCGTAATGAATTTCAGTCAGCAGTTTAGAGTTACAAAAGAAATAAATGATTTCGATTAACCTTTATTCTTATCAGAATCTACCACAAAAAATGAAATATTACTTTCTATTTTAGACAATAGATTGGTTTTTGTGGTGCTTTGGGTATCTAAAAGCAGAATGTGAGCCAAATGTAGGCGAAGTTGAGCTTCTTTAGTTGAATTGATCAATAATCTCTTTTGTGAGGACGTAGGTTTGAGTCTCATATTACAGACTTGTGACTTACATTTTTCGATTTCGTATCTTAATACATTTAGTAGCAACCATATGAATTTTGCACCGTTCAAAAATTAAATCATCCTTATCTAGATCGCATAAAACCATATTTACAAAATCAATCTATATTTGCAATCTAATTTCCTACATAATATATATAAAGTAAACATTCAAATCCATCAATCTAATTTTGCTCTTCAGAAACATCGCAATTTTTGCTTCAACATTTAGAATTTACATTTATGCTTTTCATTCTATTTAGTCGTCATTTTCAATTCTCGACATTGTATCATTTCTAAATGAATATTATCAGATGCTTACGTAATCCAAGCGAGTTCACAAACAAAAAGCACTAAATTTATTGCAAATATATAAAAATAAATGAATTCGTGTACTATTTTTTATGGGCAATCAAGCGAGGACTAGTTTGAATTAAAAATGCTTTTGACCATATACATTAAACGAATGAGAAAATACCTAATTAAATTAGAAGTCACATTATTGGCATGTTGGAAAGAAAAACATTGATATTGTGTATTTTCAGAATCGTTGGTCGCTACAACCACTAAAATGAGCAGTTTTACATCGATAATGAAGTAGCGTTTGAACTTTTATAACTCAATTAAGTCGATTTTTATGATTTTTTCGTAGCCTTACGATAACTATAGAATTTTAAGTGTCTGTTTGTCGCTTGGATTTGGAGATTATAGAAGCCATAAAAATTATAGGAAACTCTTTGATTGATTTTATTGAAGAGAATTGGATTGATTTTGCTTAGAATTAATGAGTAAAAAATCCACTTTTTTAATGGAAATTTAACTTTTTACAAACTTATTTTTGGCGAAAAATTTTTCCACTTCGAGATTTCAATCGGTAAATTTGGCTTATTTATTCAAGTCTATGACGATCGAAGTGACTCAAATTGTTGAAAAAACGTGAGCAAACACGTTTCTAGCAACAATTATTTACTAAATTGAAGTGTTGGTAGGATTTTATTTGTTTCTACAAATATTTGTTTAGGTATTTTTTCATTATTTTGAAAAAGAATTCTACAGAATACAAAAATCACACTTATTGTAGAATAAAACACTTTAGATGCATTCAGACTGTTTTTCTGTCCAATTAACACATTCACTCACTTTCATTCGTGCTGATAAAGTAAGGCTTACCTAACTTGCCTATTAAAATCTGGTGGTATTACAGCCGTCATTCTACTATCGGTTTCACTTAGTGCCGAATTGTGTAGAAATGAGTCAATTAGTGAATTGTTATTATAATAATTATCACCGTAATAAAGTGAGGTGTTTTCACTGCAAGGTGGACTAACTTGCTGTGGTTTGCTGCTTTGGAAAAATGATACACGTACTTTCGAACGTTCTAATCTGAAAATAGAAAGCAAAATAAAACAAAAATGAGTTTATAGCCAATTTGAAAAGAATAAATAATTTTTTTTTGTTAAGCCCCTAAAAGTTATACAACTAGCAACATTTTTACTCTATTGCCACAGTCATGTCACTTCCATTTCTCCCTCTCAATGTTTATTCTTCTTATTTACACAAAATTTTATTTTAATTTCTTGTGTATATATAAAAAAATGCTGTTTAATTCCTATCTGCTCATGACACTCCTTTCTATGTATGACCCAGATTGAAAGGATCCAAAATTCTTCTGTACAGAACTTTAATAGCCATTGTACGACTGATCATGATAAGTATTAATTAAATTTTCCAAGAAATACAAAATACTTTGTAGCACAAGCTGAACATAAAGAAATTTCGTTTCTCCAAAAGAATGGTAGAATTTATTGGAACTGATAAGATATTGATTTTTATCAAGTTCAAAGTCTTTTCTTTATTAAAGCAAAAATGATTTGAAAAAAAACTTTCCTTTATGGTCAGAAACATTGCAAGTTTGTAAGGCGTGGACAAAACTTTCATGTCGAAATGGATCAAGAACTTTCCATGTTTTCCGTTCAATTTAAAATGTCCCTGAAAAATGAATCATGTTGCCACGATGGCTGCAACACATTTTACAGTGAATGCATTACGTGAGGATGAATACTGCATTTTCTAGCGCGTTGAGAACTTTAATAGTTTGCCCTATTTTCAAATAACAAACAACTTAGTTGTCAGTCAGAAGTAATGCTTTGCTGCTGCATCGTTGCAAAAATGTATTAAATTTAAATCACTTTAAATTTATTACGATTAAAGCTTTAGTTCCATTTTACTTGCAAATTTCTATCAAGATAAGACAAAACTGTTTGTATTCTCATGATTTTCCATTCTGATCCAGATAAACTTCAACTTTCGATTCCGAATTGCAGATAAACTTTAATTTACATTAAACTCTTTTTTTATAGCAATTGTTATGGATAAAAAACATAACAACAAATGGCTTTAAAATAAGCAAGAAAGAGTTCTTCAATTTCACATTATCTTCCACCTTTTTGTGCAAATAAAGGATTGGTTCTTTGTAAGCAAAGCGATAAAAAACATAAATTTATTGAGTTGTATGTTATATCTATTAAAAAGGCTGTACTTAGCACTTCAATGCCTTGACATTTGCCGATATCTTACTTCCCTCCTTTTCCTATGAAAAAAGAATATCATCATAACATTTCATTTTATTATGCTTGTACTATTCTTCATATTCAATCTCATTAAAAGTCATGATTGCAATATTGCATGAGAAGGTTTCTGATATCTCAATTTATTCTTTTGTATGGGAAAATAAAAGGACTTTTGAATACGGTTAAATACAATGTAATATAATTCTGCTGAAGCCTTTGATTGAGTGCAGTCAGTGACCTAAAAAAGTTTGTTGAATTTTGGGTCATTTGCATGTTTTGCAGTGCCGGAAACTGCCATTTTTGACCCAAAAATTTCAAGGAATCAATGCTCAACCTTACGCCATTTTTTTTTGCTTAAAAATCAAACAACTTTTGAAGATTCAATTCAATATTTAAAATGCCGTTGGAAAATTTCAAATTTTCGCGCCAAAAATCTCTTCTTTTCTCCATTATAGTTCGAATCTCATGGATATTTTCACAAATCAACCTCAAATATTCACGCTCAATTACATTTTCAAAAGTTTTGTGTTCTTAATGATCATTCAAACTTCATTAATATTCACAAATCGAAACTTTTCTGCCAGTATATCTGTAACATCCGTCAATTTTTTCTACACTTTTACCAGCATTAAATCACTCATGCTTGACAAGTTGCTCATCTAGTGTTCCAATACATTTCAGTTTTAATCAGATTTGACCAAACAATACATTATGCCAAGTTGAAAAGAAGACAATTCTTTTTCGTTTCATTCGGAAACCTTACATTTAAATGCAAAAAGAGAGCTGTTGATGTGTTATTGCATCTATATCCATTGTTTATTCGTCTTTATTTCAGGTTCAATGATTTTTTTATATGTAGACTGATACTTTTTTCATTTTTAACATTGATTATTTTGTTGAAAATGAAATGTTGCTGCCTTTTTTGTGTGGTATATAAAAGCCACTATTAAATTAAATTGCATTTTGCTGTAGAAAATAAGTAAGTGATTGAAATTGAAAGCTGTGATTGGATATTTTTGGATCAAGATTGAGGTGAACATGTCAACTATATCTTCAAGTTCAATGATCGAGTTTTGTGGCTTGAGATGGAATTGATTTGAAGCTTTAGGGTTTTTTTTATAGATCTAATTACATTTTGACTAACAGATGCTGCTCAGAGATGTTGTGTTCTGTTAAATATGAATTTTGCCATGTTTTTCTACAATTTGCAATCAAATTTACTTTAATTAATTCTCTGATTAGCTAGAATTTTGCAAATTACTTTTCGAAGTGGAGAAATTTTTATGCCATTTTGAAATTTTCAAAAATTCAAAAGTAAAATCTGTTTTTTTTAGCTTTATGTAAAAGAGCATGCTTCGTGAATATAAAAGCTTTGAAATCATTGAATTCATGTCTAATGAGTTTGCATCAAAATTGTTTCCATTTGATTGCTCGAAACAACAAATTTTTCATTACTTCCAAACACATCCAATTACATTCTATCCAAAGTCATAATTTCATCACTTGTACTTCAAAGCAATAAAAATCAAAGCGAGCTGTTGTAATCAATAACATGATCCAATAAATCATCGCATATTTTCATGCCTTTCTTATTCAATAATCTTTATGATCATTCCACCGATCAATCGATATTTATTGCAATCAAAACTCCATTTTTTTTTTTCTTTTTTCAATCCGCTTTGACATTATAATTGTCGGAACAATTATGTGAAAGGAAGTTGCTCGTTTATTGCACTTGTTTTTTCTGCATAAGTACAGGTAGAAACTTTTTGGAATTCATTTGCCATTATTTATCAACACTTTAGCAATAATTTATTGGTAAAGAAGGTGGCTATAGCACGAAAAAGAAGTAAATTTTCTAAATATAAAGTAAGCTAATGAGTTGTTTGCTAAATAGAATGGTTTGAACTCCAATAGTGTAATCTAGTCAAGTAAAAGAGCACTGGTTAGGAAAACTTAAGATAAACTTAGGTTCGAATCTTTAAAAATTCATTAAATTTATTAAAATGGATCTAAAACATTAGGGGCAAGTTACTAGAGCTACCAGGGGCAAACTACTCTTGTGACTAGTGCTGTTTGTTTTAAACTGTCTTCAGAGACATCAGATCAACTAGATTAAGATTATCACGTATGACTCTTAGTCTAACCTCTAAATGACCTCTCGAGCCTCAATAATCTGCAGAATAATAACCAAAATTATTTGCTGCAAAATTTCCCATGAATCGAATCACTTTGATAATAAACCAAAAGAATTGAAAAATTGAAAGAACTTTTAAGTATAGACACTGTGGGAGCCTAACCGAAAAATTATGGATAATCACTAGCAATTCATGAAGAAAAAGAGAAAGAAGAATTTTTTTTTTCTTCCGACATTATTACCGCATTACCGATTTGTCCGTTAGACAACAAAAAAATATATACGTAAGTAAGTAACTTGCAATAGATTTGTGTATGAAAAAAAGGCAGAGAGCGAGAAAATTTTTGTTAGAGTTTCAATGACCTCTGCATGTACATTAAAAAATATTTATATGTAAGGTAACTCTTACAGATGTTGTTTAAAATTTTTTCTCTATCCATCAGTGAATTATTCTAATTTTAATGCATTATTGGATGTGAATGAATACAAAAACCAAAAATTCTTTCTTCTTTTCTTGGAAAAAAGAAATGAATAATTCAGAATTTCACTAGCTCGACTTTATACGAAATGAACTAATTATACATTCAGCTGTATTAGAAATGCTTAAAAAGTCACTCAATACACCGTTATTGTTTTTTCGTACTCCCGAAAAATTAATTTATTACAATAATATATTCGGACCTTGAAATTAAAAAATTCAATATTTGTTTATTTTAAAAATATTTTTACGGGAGTTAAGCATTGACCAAGTGATGTCAACTTGAGTGACTAAAATTAAGTAGTTTAATCTTTCTTTTACTGATAGTCGTTATCTTGTACTGACAAAGATTATTAGAGACTTTAGCAGACGAATGTCATGGCTGTCGTTAGATTTGAGTATAAATTAAACGAGGTCTTAATGCGCATTTTTTTAAAACATTTTAAACTGTTTGGAAGTTTCAAAATTTAACGGTTTTGTAAAATTCAAATGTAATTGTAATGTAAAGTTCAAAATTCTTACAGGGTTTGTAAAATTCAAATTTTTACAGCTTGAAAGTTTCAAATTTTAACGGTTTTGTAAAATTCATACTTTAATGGTGTTGTAAGATTTAAAATTAAGTAGTTTTAAAAATTTAAATTCAAACGGTTTTCCAAAATTTGAATATTTTTCTTAACATTTTACAATTTAAACATTTTTAATAGTATCAACTGGTATCAACTATTAAAATAACTAGAAGCATAATAAAATAAATTTATTACAAATGATAAGCACCTGTGCACACCTATTGAACCTGACAATACAAATAAAACACACATTGCGCATTGATCTTGAAAAAGTGCGCAAAAAATACAAAAAAAAATCGAAAAATTACGTCATTTAAAAGCCTTTAAAGTTCATGACAGACTTGTTGGCATCCAAGGTGAGCACAGATTTCATTTTCATCTTTTAAATTATGATAAATGTAAAATTTATGCAAATCATCGTACTGATGATATCACTATTACATCATTCACTTGCACACATAGCATTCAGCAGTGCGCGGATACCGGAACATGTTTTTATTTATTTATATTTCTTTTTCCCATTTGTTGCTAGAGGCTGAGCTGGATTAATAGAGTTTACTATTTATTAAAAAATTCGCTCAACCGGCGTCTGTCTTCAGTCAACAGGAAATTATTGAAAATTTTGTTTTCAT